AACAAATTAAATCGAAATTCCAGCCAAGTCATTCCATCAATTTATAGATCCATTCATACCTTGACGATCCCATAAACAATCCATAACTAAGGAAACTAAAGAAAACAAACACCCTGGAAAAAATAAAAAACGCAGTATGATATATGACATAAAAAAAGGACATAAAACCTTAAGGACCCATGGATCGTAAAAGAACAGTATATATAGAATGATATATGAGCAACTCCCACTCTCCCCGAATTTCCGATTTTCTGGCAGCTTTTTGGCTGTTGGTCGAAAGTTACCAACGATCCTAAATGCAAACACCCCCTAATCCTGCCGGAACTTAATGCCCAGGACGGCAGGACCTTCGTGTGGACATTTATTATTGACACAGGGGTTGCTGACTGAAAAGAGAGGGGGCGCAGAAAGAGACGGGCAGCGCAGGCTATAGAAAGAGAGGGGGCGATTGTTGAGCGATTGCTGTGCAGCAGGAGCAGATGTTTTTCGCGGCAGGATGACGATGCAGGATCAGTGGCGATCAGCGACCCCAGCACGGGACACGATATAAACGGGATATATATTCTATATAAAACGGAACACAATGGGCATTAGAGCGGGAAGGGATAACAGAAAGAGACAGAGCTAAATGCGAGGGAGACCCACGAGCCCTGTTTTCAAACCGGTCGGTGTCCTGCGGCCAAAACTCCTGGCACCTTAAAAAAATATAGCAGCTACAACTAAATCCATTTAGATTTATTTTAAAACTAAAAAAACTTAAAACAAAAATTTCTATAAATTTAAACTAAAAAATCGGATTTTTTAAAACTAAAATACGAATAAATCATAAAAAAATATTTTTTGTTTCGAGTTACATATAAATTCAAGGATTTTTCAATAAAAATATTAAAATTTAAGCTTTGAATTTATCTCTTGGATTTTCTCCATGTGTATTGCTTAATTTTTATTACCGCTTTTTCTGTACATTTGCGCCTCGAGCGATATACTTATGTATGCCCAGATTGGATCAGGATCGGGATCGGGATAGGGATCTGGATGGGATAGGAACAGGACCTGGCCCAAAAAAGAGGGAGCGGTTGAGGGAGAGAGTGAGCGAGAGAGGACGAGTGAGTGAGAGAGAGAGGGAGCCAGGCGAGGGTGAGGGTAATTTATTGTTGTGTGTTGTCAACCCCCGAAAAGCGCGCCAAGAGGCCCCGATCTATATAGTCTCATATATACGCATGGTCATGGTGTCCTGTACACTGAAAGAAACTGGTATATGCTATGTACGGTGTGATCATGAATTTAATTATTTTATAAATAACTTTGGACTAGATATCATTATGATAATATATTGTAAAAATTAAATGATTATAACAATAAATGAAAATATATTCCAAATTTTTATTTCGAGTGTATAGGGTCCCAGGTAGAACACCAATACCAACACGCACGCACAATCACACAGACACTCACGCACACCAATGTAGAGCATGAGGCACGTGCGCGATCGGAACAACAACAACATCAACAATTTACCATTCCATTCAGCTGCATTCAACTTTTTAGGGAAATTCACTATTTTCGCTTTTCATTGTTCTAGAAAAACGGTACCGAAACTGGACGCAAACGCACACTTTTGGCGCAAGCCGAAGGTCGCCGTTTTCCGCTGGTGGAAAAATGTGAAAAAGGATTTATTAGAAACCTCGAGAAGAATTTTTCAAACTATTTTTTAGTTTTACTTTCTCAACTCTTAATGTAAATTTTTTAATGTTAACATGAAAATGGGCAATGAGAAAAAGGACTTTAGTGTTTATTTTCTTTTAGTTTCTCCTCTTTGAATATTTTTTTTTCAAACAGATATTAATAGACAAATTAAAAAAAAATTTGTTTTGGAGAACATTGTTATTATTTTTTTTTTTGACGTTAAGTCTATAGAAAATTTTTGTTAATGTTTTTATAAGATTTTAGTTGATTCCAGATTTCATTAGGAAATCAAAAATTGTGATCACCCGCCGTGCGATCGAGTTCTTTTGTGAAGTTTTTCGCCTGGGTCCTGTCACTTTCCTCTTTTCATCCTTTGGGCTGCTTGATCCTGAAGTTATTTCGAGGACTTCCACAGCGAGACTTCGACTTCCGTTTGTTCAAGTTTCCGCCACTCATAAATCCAAGTCCCAAAAACGAAATAATACCAGATTCTGAATTTATGAACGCACAACTGCGCACAGATGCCGAGTGAAGAAGATGAAGGCTCCTGAAGGATCCACTTGAGCCGACGACAAGTACACACAGAGGACATACTTATTCGTATAACCATTCACTCGGCGCCTTCCTCCGGTTACAAAAATGAAAAAGGGAAGAGGAAAAAATAAAGGAAAAGCCAAGCCAATTTTGATGGCTGGGGATCAAAGTCAAAGTGCTTTGAATGCTTTGCCTGATTGATTTACGATTGCCGAGTGTGAACCCGAACAAAAAAAAAGGAACGTGAGATCTCCCAGGGTTTCCATGTGTTTTCCATAACTCCTGTTTGCTCACCGCTTTCACTTCCATTTCAAATTTCACTCATCATCTATATTCATATTTCCTATGCTCCCTTTTCCCTTTTCCATTTCTCATTTTCCCATTCAAGATTTTTTCCCATTGAAATCGATCCATTTTTCGAAATGCAAATAAACCAGAAACCATCGAAGCGTTTGCCAATCCCAAGATCGAAATTAGTTTTTGTTTGCCCAAATTGTTGTATTTTCTCAAGCCGCCAAAGATGAAAGTCAAAATTAAAAGAAAATGGAAAATATAAAAAAAAGAATACCAGGATTAGAAAACAGGATGTTAGTTTTTTAGAGAGTGGGAGAAATTTGGGGGTTGAACCTGGCTTGAAAAGTTAAATTTTAATAAAAATAAATTAGCTAACATAAATTAAGGGATCACAGCGTCTTTTGATCAACTGCTTAACACCCTTTAAAAACGTTTGCTCTTAAAAGATGGTTCAGTTTATAATTTCAAAAATTCCCCTAGTGATATTGTCAGATTTCTGTACACATATCTCTCTGCCTATATCTGTGTGAATAAGAGAAACGGAGGTGCATTAATGCGACTTTCAACCCCATTGGGAATCAGACAAATTATAATTCCATCGGGGGTTGTTCAAAAAGGCTACACAATAATATTCATTATTATTTATTTATGATTATTATTTTATTTTTATTACCAAGCTACACGATAAGAAAAACTTTCTAATTTTATATTAAGATTGAAGATTGAATATATCAAATTGGGTCAAAAAAATATTTATTTATTTTATTTTAAAGATTTGTGATCTTTTCCTACAAAATCACTCTACTTTGAGAGATATTTTCTTTCCAATTCCGCCTATTTTCTCTCTGTGGACCCGAGGGGCGTGGCAGGGGGCAGGGGGCGGCCAGAGAGGGGCGTGTCGTGTCGCGTCGTCAAAGTGGGACGCAACCGAGTCAAAGCGTCGAGGACAACAAAGGACGCCGAGCAGCAAGGACTCCTCAGTAAAATACTCACTACTCGGTACGCACAATTGTTGACTCCTTTTCCTTTTGAGCAGCCTGTCTGCATATTGCGAACGAGGATCCTGGATCAAAAACCGGTAGTCGAAACCCCTTTTCCCCCCTCCGATGATCCTGTGCTCTCAAGTCCGTTTCCTTGAACCTTTCAAGTGAACTCAAGTTTATAAATTGTGCAGCAAGTACCACATATATATATATATACTGTACTCAGGTCTCAGGTTGGAAACTACCTGAGAGAACCCGGTACCGAAAAAAGTTTATTGTAGCGCACACACAACACACCGAAAAACTAGTTTCCACAGACAGACCTAAGCTTCCAAAAAAAAAAAGGAAGGAGAAAAAAATAAAAGAAAGAACTAGACTACTCGTAAAATTATTTTCCCACCAGACTAATTGCCAGAGATTTTTCAGCTCGACAAAATACGAAAAAAATAAGTAGCTAGAGAAAGGATGGGTGTTTTTTCTCACCCCTCGAAGAATTTTCGGCATCGGCATCTTGTCAATTTTAATTAGGATTTATGGGCGAACAAATTCGCCAGGATCTTGCTTCTCTGCTCGCCTCCTTCTTTAATTTCCCTTAATTAGCTCGACAATTGGCAAATGATTTTACACAATGCCGGTCCTGATTGGTTTTATTTTCCCCACATCCAGGGGATCTGGAAAATTCTACAATAGATTAGTCTTTTGATTAGGTAAAATCTAAACTTAAAGTGACAAGTCGTTAATTCGATGATATATTGCTGGGAAATCTTCAGGATATTTACTGGGAATAATTTCTAGTGGTCTTTAACTTCTCAAGCTATCGGCAAAAGAAAAGATAAAATATTTAAACAGCTATAAGAAATAGCTATTTTTAATGGGAAATCAACTGACTAAGAAAACGGATTGGCATATAAATCTAAAAATGAAAACCGAAATTCAAAAATAATTTAAAATAGCGATCTACGATTAAATTGATACAAAGGTCGACTCCGAAAAATTCTCATAATATAAAATATGAAAATTAAACTATTCGAGAACTTTTTTTTTTAATTAGACAACCTACAAGATTTTGTGTGTGGGAATCCAAGGTGCCGACTGCCCTGTAGATTCTCAGGTACACTTACCTTCGCTACCAGGGCTGCCAAAGCTCCCCAGGTAATATACCTTATATGGTTATTATTATATATGCATATAGTATTTTTCGAGAGGGGCGGTATATAAACACGCTGTTTTGTGTATGCCCGATAAATAAGGAGAGAGAGATCGGATCGGTTGGGATCGCTTTGGATCGGGGCGAAATCCACCCTTAAACCAGGTGGAGTTTTTGGCTCGAGTCGATCAGATGTTAGTTTTCCCTATATGATATATATGATATTATGATAAAGGTGTGTGTGAGTGAGTGAGGGAAGGAAGGACACCCCAGTATTGCTAGGGGATGAAAAGTCAGGGCCCTTTACATAAGGGATACGCAGGACCTCGTGTGTGTGTGTGTCAGTCAGTCAACGAAGTCACTTCCGTTGAGTTTTTCGTTTTAGTTCGAGTTCGGAGTTTCGGGGCACGCGACACACAGAACGCAGAAGCCAAAAGCAGCTGTCCACTGAAAAAGACCAGAAACCACATTACATCAGTCACCTTTAAACATTCGCTCGGGAAACAACGTGCTCTAAGGACAACCACCCACTAAAAACAGCAAGAAAAACCTCAGATAACCATGGCTGCCTTGAGCTTCAGCCCATCGCCACCGCCCAAGGAGAATCCCAAGGAGAATGCCACCCCAAAGGCCACGCTAAAACCCTTTGGCAAGATCACCGTGCACAATGTTCTCAGCGAAAGTGGCGCGAATGCGCTGCAACAGCATATAGCCAATCAGAATACGATTATCCGCAAGATACGCGATTTCGGGATGCTGGGAGCGGTTCAAAGTGCCGTGGCGAATACGACCAGTACCACACCGATACCCAGTCAAAGGAAGAGACCGCTGGGAGAATCGCAGAAGCAGAATCAATTGCAGAATTCCAGTGCCAAATCTTCAGTGCCCGCCAAGAGAAGCAAGAAGGAGAAGAAGCTGCCGGTGGAGAAGACACCCAAGGTAGCTACTACCCCCAATCAACCCAGTAAAATCCCAAGCCAAAATCAAAGTGATCTGGGAACCCCCGGAAGAAAGGGTTTACCTTTGCCCCAGGCGGTGGCTCGTCGAAATGCGCGGGAAAGGAATCGCGTGAAGCAGGTGAACAATGGTTTTGCCCTGCTGCGCGAGAAGATTCCCGAGGAGGTTTCCGAGGCCTTCGAGGCGCAAGGAGCGGGCAGGGGTGCCAGCAAGAAGCTATCCAAGGTGGAGACCCTTCGCATGGCCGTCGAGTATATCAGGAGTTTGGAGAAGCTGCTCGGCTTCGATTTTCCACCGCTCAGCGGTCAGGGAAATAGTTCCGGTTCGGGCGAAGATAGCTTCATGTTCATCAAGGACGAATTCGATGGTCTCGACGAGCATTTCGATGACTCGCTGAGCAACTACGAGATGGAGGAGCAGCCTGCAACTCTGCCAGTGGAGACTCTGCCACCCATTCAAAGTAACCCCAGCGATCTCCTGCCCAGTTTGACCAGCCTGAATGGGATGCAGTACATCAGGATACCGGGCACGAATACCTATCAGCTGCTAACGGCCGAATTGCTAGGCGATTTGAGTCAGGAGCAGCAGCAACAGCAACCGACAGCTGCTTCGTCTTCGCCCGTGCCACAAAAGGTGGCAAGAAGTGCCTGCTCCTCGCCAGTTTCACCTGTCGCCGCCACGAACGAGCTGCTCTTGCAGGCGTGTGCCGCCCAGCTGCAACAGCAACTGATCAAACAGGAATACGTCAGTGGCAGCAGCAACATTAACAGCAACACCAGCAACACATTGACTTCCCCGCAGCAACAGCAGCAGCAGCAGCAGGTTCAGATCCTGGGATCCTCGCCCATTTTGCCCGCTTTCTACGACCAGGAACCCGTTAGTTTCTACGACAATGTCGTATTGCCCGGCTTCAAGAAGGAATTCAGCGATATCCTGCAGCAGGAGCAGCCCAACAACAACAGCAACAACACAGCAGGCGGTTGCCTCTCCGATGAGAGCATGATCGATGCCATCGATTGGTGGGAGGCACACACACCCAAATCCGATGGCACCTCCACCAATCTGTCCATGTAGCCGAAAAAAAAACAAACTAGAGCTTGAAAATTATCGATGTTTTCGATATTTTGACAATATCGATTCGATAATATCCAAATTAAATATTAATAAATAGCAAACGTTCGATATTTTTCAAGCTCTTAGGCGATCACTGATCTAAAAATCTATCGAAAATCTCTAGAGGTCATGGAAACACCTTAAAAAAGGTGCCTAACTATCAAAAACCTTTAAAAGTGATTTCCTTTCCCTAGAGCGATAGTATATCTAAAGTTTTTCTTCTTTTTTTTTTGTAACAAAGCCTTGACTGAGTCATTGTGTAAATAGCAATTTTTAAATAATGGAAATAATGAGTCTAAGAACAAAAAGGGAATATGAAAGTCATCTAGTGATATAAACCAAATCGAAAGAAAAACCTTCGAAGACCCAACCACCAAAATAGTTAACCTGATAAAGAGCTAAATGTTGAGCCAGTCGTAGTTTATAAAGTCTTTTAACCACTTTACTGTATTTTTTAACCTTGCTCACCTTAAGAAACCAATTTTTTTTCATAGATTTAATTGTACGAATGTTGAGTTGATAAGCGATTTTCTATGTATGCCTCTGAATATAAAATATATATGAAAATTTGTGAAAAATCAAATTATTTGTTGTGATTTTTATTTTGCATTTTTTTCCAGCTTGGAAAACGAAAAATTAATCCACATGAGTTCGAACATAGTTCCCATGGCCTTGATCCCGATGCCTAACGGTTTTTTGCATATCATATTGAGTTTCAAAAATAATGGTTAATGGCTAGCAAACATGCACATTCATCGGATCAAAAAAGAAAAGAGAAGTGTAATGGAATCGGAATATCATGTTCATTTTCATAAGCGTCCAAGCGTGCAAAAGGACTCGCAGCCTGATGAATAGATAGACAGTAGAGAGCGAACCAAGGATATACGAAACATATTTGCATATGTGCACTTGAAAAATATATTTGCTCAAAATTAAGAATCAAAAAATACAATTAAAAGGCTATTTTTGAAAATATGTTTTTTATTTTCTAAAAATTAACCATCTATATTTTAGAAAAAAATAGAATCTATGTCTTCTAATATTCAGGTTTTTTTTTTAGTGTGCCATAGAGGGTAGCAGATCCTGCAAGGCACTGCGCTCCAGTGCCCCGATATGCTAATGAGCCTCATGTCCTGATAAATGACAGTGGGCAAATGAAAAATATCCGAATGCCGTAACCCTGCAACGTGGGAATTCCGAAATGAGAACTGGGAATTTGAGAATTATGCTGCAAGTGTTCGGGATTCGTTTGTAACGGTTCGGTTCGAAAACATGTGCCCCGATCCATAATGACACAAGTAATTAAAAAATGCACCAAAAAGACTAGGGTGGCTGGGAAATAGGGCGGGAAAAGCCCTTAGTGCATATTAATTAGGGATTTAACCGGGCAACCGCAAGAGCAAACAGATTGCCCCTAAAAAACGGGGTCTTAAAAGTCCCGATGTCGAATTTTTTGATCTTGAGATTGAATCTTTGATCGATTAGTTCATCTAAAGGAGTTTGAGTTGTGTTTGGGATTTGCATAAATGATTAAATATCATAAAACTAGGGAATGTTTTAAAAAATTCTATAGGGATTTTTATTTAAATCTACAGAAATAAAAAGTTTGTACATAGATATTTCCAAATTTCAAATTTTTCTTCATTGATTTTTTGCTGTAACTTGGGAAAAAATTGCCCCAAATTAAAAAGGCGTACGGTTTTGAGCAGCTAACAACCAACAAATTAATATCAGTAGACTTTTCGTTTGATTTAAAAAAAATAAATTTTGGACCCAATTTTCACTTTTTTGAGAAGGGGTTACATCATAATTTTTGGCAAAAATTTGAAAAAATTAAAAATTTCCAGGTTTAAATGCAGATCGGTATGGAATTTTATAACGAGTTCAACGAGGTATGACAATCCTTATTTGGATCATTATTTCAGTTTTTATGACCAAAATACTATTTTTGTTAGGCTGGAAAATCATACATATGTATATTCCTTTATAGACTCTATTGTTTCCATTCATTCACTTTTTTAAAAATATTTATAATCTCCAAGAAACTGCACATGGGCAAAATATATAGGCACATACTTTTGGCATTTAAAGTAGCAAAATCTTGACTGCTCTCCGCATTATTTACAGGATATTTTCTCACCCTCACGCTGACTTGGCGCTAGACTCTCCCGTCTCCCCTCACCCAACTCCTGGCTAATTGTATGCAGGACCTCATTGTCTTGTGCCTACGTGTCCTCGCAACTGTCTCACCGTCCCTTTCTCTCGGGACATCTGCCCGAAAACGGGACAAAAACTGTAGAATAAACAGAGAAAACGCGCCAATCCAAAGGATATAGATGATGCAAAATTATCCAAGACAGTCGAACAATGAGGGAAAATCAATTGAAAATCGTTTGGCCATTAAGAAAATATGGCCTGTGCCAAAGGATCGGTCGAAGAAGGGGAAGACGAAGTGCATCTGCAGAGCCCGAAAAATTAAAGAACCCAAACGAATCTGAGTAATACACTGAGGTAAAAAATACAAGCCAAATTAAAGGATCTTATTTTAAAGATCTGATATTCTAGATTAATATAATATAATAAATAGATTAAAGACTTTTTCTGCTTTAATTGTAGAAAAATTCGATTTGATTTTTATATTATTTTTATTTTCAATAACATCTTCATATTTATGGATTACTTTATTTTTCTGTGTATTTGTTGGCCTGATCCCAAGATCTCCTGAGATCTCGCCTACAACCCCCTTTTTTTTCGAGCAGTTTCCAGTTTCCCAGTCCAGGTGCTAAGGTATTTCCCTGCCTTTCTTTTTTTTTCTGTGATTGTGGTGGGTGCCCGCCGTTCACCGTTAGCAGTGAAAATCTTTTTCACGCACCGTTATAATTATTAAATATTGGTAATGCGACACGCCCTTTTTTACCGTACACCTTCGATTCTGGATCGTATTTCGCATTTTTCCCGTTTTAATTCGGAACTCTTTGCCGTTAGTTGGGTTTGCGTTTGGTTTTGTACTATTTGGTGAATGCAAAAGGCTTAGGGGACAGATGAAATCTCAAAGGGATTCATGTATATGTCCTTCGATCGGTGGTTTCGGTTTCATAGCTTTGATTTTCCCCGTCGTTATGCCATTTTTGGGGTCACGCCCCCACATGTCACCATTGAATATTCATAAATCATTGCGTGTAATAATGAGTTATTACTCCGGAGTACCGTATGTTTTTCACTACACTTTAGCGTGTGCGCATGCGCATGGCATTGACTTGATTGGGTTCACGTTCCCCGATTTTTCGATCCTCCAATTTCTTGGCGTATTGCATTACCATTATCCAGGCAGCCAGGTGCTGATCTCTGACCCGATCGAACACGAGCTGCCGGGTTGGGGGTAAAACGATTGTAATTGCGACAGATGACACAAGTTTTCTTGGAGATATTGGTCTTGAATGAATAAATCTTTTTTTAAAAAAATCATATAATGGTATTTATAATAATATTTAAATAGTAATTAAGAATAAAGTTTATGCGATATATTCTTGGTTTCTTAGAGATTAGAGTCTTGAATAAATAAATAGTAGGGTAAACTCTAAGGAATATTAATAAAATGATTAAAAAACAAAGTTTCTTGGAGAGTATAGTCTTGAATAAATAAATAAGACAGTTGGGAGTTATTGAGAGTTTTTGAGAGATATTCCTGCAAGATTAGATGACTGATTGAGTGGAAAGTGGAAGCGCTGTGAATGAACCATTCATTTCCAGATATTCATTCAGTTTACTTTAGTTTGGTGCTTAAAGGATTTGACCACTTTTGCTGAGTGCCTGATCGGCTGAACCACGCTGATCCTTTGTGATCTAGTTTCATTCAAGGATTTCATTCAGCTGTGATTTCTCAACCCAATAGATATGCTCCTCTGGCAATTATACTACGAAATTAACCACATAGCCTAAGCCGAGCTACTTAAACTTAAGCAGCTACTTATTTTCCATACTTTTTCAGCTATTCTATTCTCCCATCCATCTTCGAGTGGACGCACTTCAGGCCACAATGAGGCACTTAAGTGTGCGCTTTGTGGCTAAGAACCTTAAGCGGTTAATCCAGCGACTGGGAAACCAGGTCAAGAGGATAACGCTGGACAAGAAGAAGCAGGTTAACACTTTCTGGAACCGCCTGTGGTTCACCTAAGCCCCCCGCCCACTTAAAATATTTTTTCCATTTCCCATTTTCTTAAACCACTTCAAACAGAGATGATCTTGCGTATGGCTGCGGCTGACGGAACCGAGTTAATTTCATTCATGACTCGCGTCCCGGTTCCATATTGTCCTACTGATCCTAACTAAGGAATGCACTTGAAAAAATATTTAGGGAATTTTTCTTGTACAAATAATTGAGAAAATAAGACCCTGAATAAAGTATCAAACTAAAAGTAACAAGTTAGCAAATATTTGTTATACTGGCTAAAATTTTAAAAAGCATAATTTTACGACAAAGATTTTAGCTTAAATGTTTTTTTTTTAGAAAAGTATCGTTACTTTGCAAGCAAAAAATGTCCCAATATTTTCTACTAACTAGAATATATATATTTTATATACTTTGTGAATTCCCATGCGTTTTTAAGGTTTAAATCTCAAATTAAATTTAAAATTCAGACGAGAAAATATACCAAAATTGATCAAAAACATACTCCAATTATTTGTGTAGTGTAGCCCCAAACCCGAAAGTCATAAGGACAACACATGTGGCCGTCGTCCTTTTGGATTCCAGTTTTAGAAGCATTAATTGAAACTGCTCCCCCGGCCTGGCTGCACATGTTTCTTGTGTTTCCAGGACATTTTCAGGATGTCACCGAATCCACGTGTTCTTCTTACTATAGGGTACTATTCTAAATTCCTTTATACTATATATATATTCCCATGTTTTGACTAATGCACCCAGGGTGGCCACAGGGATTACTTCACTCCAGGATGGAGAGTAGAGTAGAGTACTCCTGGCATTGAGTCATCACAATCTATCTCGATTGTATGATTGTATGACAACACACAATTTTGACACATTCTGTTGGCCAAATTCAATGGGCAGCGCACTCCAGGAAGCGTTTTTGCCGATGGTTTTGCATTGATTGAGATGTCCTTGTTCTACGATTCCCCGAGCTCTTTGTACGACTCATTCTGTTCTCTGTTCTGTGTTCCTCTGAAGCTATTTGTATGCAACTTGAAGGAGAAATTCAGGGACCCAAAGGAGATCTCTTCTACTATCTGTGGGGTCCTTTTCGAGAAGCACTCACAATGAGGCCACACGAAGACAACCCGGAAACAGCTCAATCAATGCAATTCCATCCCAAAAATACTCCCATTCTAAGCTATTTCTTCCAGAAATACGGAAATACAATAAAAAGAAACTGTATAAAATTATAAAAAAAATTTGGAAAAGAAAGCAAATCTTTAAGATTTTCTAAATAGTAAAAGTATATAATAAAACAGTAAAATACTAATAAATGTTCTATATATTCAACATTTTTTAAATATATAAATGGTAAAAAATATGTAATACTTTTTCTATTCACCCATTCGAAGCTATTCCTTACAGAAATGAAAGAAAAAAACAATAAAAACCAGCTCTAATTTTATACAAAAAAGTTCGAAAAGAAAACAAATCTTTCAGATTTTCTGAATAGTAAAATAATATAATAATTTAGTAAAATAAAAATAAATATTCTATATATTCTAAATAAATATATATTCAATATTTTCCAAATATATAAATGGTAAAAGAAATATGTAATACCTATTTTGAACCACCTGGTCAAACCCAAAATAAAAACCTTCAGAACAAACATTATGCTAAATTTATTAACTACTTCCTCCCAAGCGCATGCCAAAAAGAATGGGATCAACCCAGACCAATCGCCCAAAAAGGGTATAGTATAAAAACCTCAATTTTATGGTCACCACGTGGGATGCCATTAGGAAGTTCGGCGGTCATCAAAGGTCGAGTCCTCGAGTGTCACGCATGAAGGACATATAGCAAAGTTCCCGAAAAAGGATGCTGCTTTCGCTGCCTACAATTCCGCCATAAAAAACGAAACGAATGTGCACAAACATCCGGAGGCCGAAAAACATTGGATTGGATTACCGATCGACAGATCCACAGGTAATGCCGCTATTTGCCTAGCGCAAAAAAGGACAATGACCAAACAGAATCGATGCGTATCGCTTGGATTTCGGTATTCAGTTCTTCGGGGACCTGCTGCATGTCCTTTTTTTTAGGTCTACCAAAGAGATGCTGAAGAAGGGTTCATTAATCAGGAAATGCGGAAGAAACCGAAAGGATTTCCGTTCAGTTTCGTTCCGTTTCGTAATCCAATGCTTGTTAATCGAACGAAAATCGAACGGAAAATTGCTGAAAAAGACCAAAAGTGAAAGCCGACTCCCAAGGCGGAATTCAGCTAATCAAAAAAAACGAAGGAGTGAGAATTTCAGGTACTCCTCCTGGTTTTTGCCGAAACCGAAACCCGAAACCCGCGATAAACTGCCATCGATTTCGACACAATAGCATTTGCATTTGTCAGCATCGCAATCTGCATCCGATTAATCGCATTACAAATCGCCCCGCCGAATGAGGTGTCGACTTAAGATCAGCATAATGCTAACAAATACGAACAGGTAGGTAGCTTCGAGCTTCGAGATACAAAAAATGAAAATGAAATACCTCGCCAAGGACAGTGGCCCTGCATCAATATTTTGACATTGCCAGCGGTTTGCAAACTGCCGATTGCCTCGCATTAGCGCATTAACTCGATGATGGCAAAGGTCCAACAAGTTCTTCGATGGTCATTCAGATCGCTTATATATTTTATAACCTGCACAGAGAGAAATTATATATGGGAAATCATAATAAAATTGAAGGAACTACTGTTAAAAGCCTTACCTTACTATATTAACCCTCATAAACACAATATATTATTTAAATTAAAATTCTTAATATGGGTTTGTAATTTTAAATTTAATATAATCTTAAGATTTAAGACTCTGCTGTAAAAAACCTATCCTTACTAAGTATATTATACCTTATCAACACAAAATATTATACAAGATTAAAATTCTTCAATGATATAAAACTTGTTTCTATTTTTAATGAGGCTATTATCATCTCATGATTATATGTGTTAGTAATTTTCAATTTAATATAATCTTAAAATTAAAGACCCTACTGTAAAAAATGATATAGAACTTTAAAATGTTTTTAACAAGGCTATCATCATATCATAATTATATGGGTTCGTAATTTTAAGTTTAATATAATCTTAAGACTAAAACCCCTACCCCTTATAATAAATAAAATTCTCAAATTATACGGAATTTTCTTTAAACGAGGCTAGGATAAAGAGATATGAATGCCCCGATTTCCAAAGACATTATTATATCAAGATACTATTATTCTAAGCCCACTTGCCCGCCCAAAAAAGAAAACACCTTCATTTGCAATTACATTTTTTATGCAGCTCCATTGGCTACTTGCCTTGTCGTCTATGTATTTTTCATATTTTTTGGGTTTCATTCAAACCATTTGACTTAATAAATACTAGAATAGAGGAAAAAAAAATCACACTACATGGCTAGGAAAAAAAAGTACAGATAGTGGTTAGATAGTTGGGAGTAGCAGTAGTAAGAAAAGTTGAAGGTTGGTTATATATATATACGTATACATGATATAGGGGTACCACCCGCTAAAGACCAACAAACAAAAAAGTATTAATTAGTATAGAAAAAAGAAGGAAAGAATATTCGATTGGTTGACTCTCTGGCTGGCTTGTGTGTGTTGGGGTTCTTCATCTACGATATGGGTTCGGGATCGGGATCGTCATTATCGGGATTCATCATCGGGAGTTCAATATCCTTAGGCCACCTTGGCATACTGACGCTTCTCCAGCGAGACATTGAAGCCGTTCTCCAGCTTCAGGATGATGTCGGCCTGCAGCTTGAAGTCCGCCTCCGTATCGGTGGAATGGACAATGTAGTTCCTCACGATGGTCGAGAGCAGAACCTTCAGCTTGAGCATCGCATACTTGCGACCCACACAGCTCCTCGGTCCCGCGCTAAACGGAATAAAGGAGTAGTAGTGCCTGTTGGCCATCCTCTCGGGCAGGAAGTTATCCGGATCGAACTTGGTGGGATTGGGATAGATATCGGGACGTCGGTGCACGCAATACTGCAGCACAATGACCGTAGTGCCCTTGGGCACCGTATACGGACCGCTGGCCAACTTCAGGTCATAGTCCAGCCGCCTGGCGATCAGCGGTACTGGAGGATACAACCTCAGAGTCTCCAGAATCACACGCTCCAGATACTTCATCTCCATGGTATCGGCAAAGGTGCAATCCCTCAGCATATTGTCCCCGAAGATGGCCTTCTGTTCGGCAAATACCTTGGCCTGGATGTCCTTGTGGATGCCCATCATGCAGAGGGCAAAGCTCGAACCCGCCGAGGTGGTGTCGTGACCCTCGAACATGATCGTGTTCACCTCATCCATGATATCCTTCTCGTTCCACTCGATGTCGGGGTTTTTGGCCATCTCAACCATGGCATCCAAGAGAGCCAATCGCCGCTTGGCACCCACATCGTTCTCATCGATGTCATCGAGGTCATCACGTAGACCCTCCTTCTTGGTAGCCGGCGCACTGGAAACCGGGGTGGAGATCTCCTCCACAATGGCACGCGCCTCCTCCTGGAAATTCTCCTTGCGATCCTTCACCACCTTGCTGGTCATGCCCAGAATAATGTTCATCATTCGGTCGCCCTTCTCGCGCAGCTTGGTGAACTTGTAGATGGAATCCAGACGGTAGAGCAGCTTAACCTGCCTCTTGTGGATAATGTCGCACATATCGACGACGGCCTGGGCGTACTCGAAACTCTTGTTGCCCTCGGGCAGCTTCTTCACACCCATGGCGGTGGACAGCAGAATGTCGACGGTGGTCTGGGACATGTAGTCGTGGACATCAAAGGATTTGCCCGCCTCCAAACCCATGCGAGCCACCACAGATTTCGAGTGATCCACGAAAGTCGGCACAAAGCTCTTCAGGATGCTCTGATGGAAGGTGGGTGCAATCATCTTGCGATGATGACGCCAATGGTGTCCATTGCTGATCAGCAGACCATCGCCGAACCATGGCTTAAAGTAGCGATACTCCTCGGCTTTGGTCAGATGCTGATGACCGCTGAGGATCAGCTCGATGTCCTGGGGATTGGTGAGGAAGACCAGCAGGACATTGCCCAGCCAGGCCTTCATCGTTTCTCCGTATTTGTTCAGGTAACCCAAGCCAACGGCGAGGATCTCGGCATTGCTCAGACCGGCGGCCACATGAGCCTGGCCCAAAATGGGCAGCTCCGGCGGCGATGGTATATTGGCCACCATCCGGTATTCCCGGCTATTCCTTCGCCAGTACTCGTACAAAGCCATGGCCACCAGGGTGCCCACCAGGGTGGTCAGCATGGGGCTGAATCCCAGGACCGAACTGCTTCCTCCCGCCGCCTGTTGCAGCGTCTCCTGCACCGTTTCCACTGCCATGTTGGTTGCTCCTGTTTCCTCTTCTTCCTCTTCTCGATCTTCTCAAGATGGCACTGTTGCTATTCCAGCCGCCAGCGCTCAACTGTGGATCAGCAATGTCCAAGTCCAGCGTTTTATACGCTTCCTCCAGCGAGGGTCTAGGGCTAGAGTCAAGCATATTCCGATTCCCATTCCCATTCCGACTTTCAGAGTGTCCACTAATTAGCAAACCAAATCCCAGTCACGTACTCGTTGGAGGAACTTTTTGAGGAACCTTTGGAACCCACGGCTGCACTGCGTCATTGCGGCGGTAAGGGCGCATTGGTTCCATTTAGTCGGTCATGAGTGTTAGCACCGATAGCACAGTCCGTAGTTTCAAATTATCCAGTGATATTACGTTAACCGCAGTATTTTAATTATTCACCTTTCATTTGAAGTGAAAAACCGTTTCCAAGTGACTTCAAGTTCTTTTAAAACATTTCCTAGCAGATAAATATCATTAATACCATAAAGAATATTTCAAATCAATCAAATATTTGGAGTTTATCAAATTTAAAAATCCAAACATTGAAGAAACAACTTTTCAAGTATTATTCCCTTTGGGTCTTAAATCTATTACATCTTTTTATAAATCTTATATTTATATTAATCATTCAAATCAATTAAATATTGTGATTAACCAATTTCAAAATATATTAATATATTTTAAAAACTTTCCATTGCATAATTCCCTTTGGGTTTTAAATCTATTATTTATTTTTTTAATCTATTTGATTTATTAATCTATTTAATCATTCATCAGTCATTAAAATAACTCAAATTTAAATAATTATATTACATTTAATATATATCTTCAAATATTATTCCCTTTTGGGTTTTAAATCTATTAAATCTATAAAATGAGTTTCTTACCAGCAAAATCAAGAATCAATGTTTTTTTTAATCTTACATTTATATTAATTATTTAAATATTTTGAATTTGGTATAATCAATTATTTCATTCAATATTTTGGGTTCTTAAAAGGAATTCAAATATTTCGAATTTGCTATAAATAAAATATTTCAATTAGTTGTAAAAACCCAAAATATTGATTAAAATTAATATTTTCAAATATTATTCCATATTTTGAATTTGGTTTCATCAATATGTTGGGATTATAAAACGAATACAAATATTTTGAATTTGGTATCATTAAAATATTTTAATTAGTTATAAAAACCCAAAACATTGAATAAATTGAAATATAATTCCCTATGGAATATGACATCAATGTTTTTTTATAAATTATATATTTATGCAAATATTAAATAGGCAAATGGAATTTCTTTAAATCACGTAAAAAAGTGATATCAATTAAGATTCAGTTTGAATATTATAATCTGTATATTATCACAAGTATACTTCAATCAGGTTTATATATTTTTTTATAGTTAATTTTGCTAAAATACTAGACACTATTGAAGGGAAAGTGAATGTCCCTGCAAAGCAACCCGCTTCCTGCGGAAGTGCGCAGGATGGCAAGGAGTATGCAAACCAGCCAGTGGAAGTTCGACTACCTGTATGCCGCAGCATTTACCTGCTGGCAAACGGAAGTGGGTGATCCTGGCTGTTCCTCTGTTTTGCTTTCGCTTTTCATTAAATTCAATTTCGGCGCTTTTGTCCTCGACACCTGAGCACAAGTATGCAAAAAAAAATAATGAAAAAGGGAAAAGCGAGTAGGGGTAAACAATAAAATATGTAAACCACAGACAAAAGGAAGGAAGCTGTCGCTTTTATGATCCTCGTCCTTCGCATCCTCCCGCTCATTCATCACCATCCTGGCAGCCCGATTGTTATTTCGAGTGATCCTCATTACTATTTATTTTTATTTGCAATTGGATTATTTGTGCGCGTGTTCAAAGCGTGGTAACCAAACATTGGCTTATATGTTTTTATTCTTTCATTCTATGCATCTAACCTACATATTTTTAGTTAGAAATACCTATTGGTCAAATTCAATTGAAAAAAGTACAACATTTCGTCAAAAAACCAAGTTTTAATAACCCACTTTTACTTATTTGTATTTTTTGTTATTTTTCCAATCATTTTGTTGTTATAATATAAATAAGATTTTCGGGAAAGTTTAATCCCGAGAGCTTTAAAACAGAGGGAATTATATTGCGTAGAATTGGACAGACGAACGGACAGATCAACGGACAGACGAACGGACAAACGGACATGGCTATTTTGTAACGACTCGGCCATTGATAATGGTCCAGAATATACACATACATAATTTATCAGGTGGGAAATGTCTCCCTCACTGCCTTGAAAACTGTTGACTGAAATTATGATGCCTTCTGAAAGGCTAAAAATATATTACATACATATATTTATTATATATCAATTACTTTTTATTAATAAACATTATTTTAAGAACCTCTACTTTCTCCACTTAATTATGTATTACCATGTAATACCGAAAAATCCAAAAACAAGAAAACTGCCACATTAAAATGGTAAAAATAGTTTTATTGAATTTTTGATTGAAGGGACTTAAGCGATTAGAAATCAAATCATTAAAACGAAGTGTTAAAACGACTCGGATTTGTGTGTAGTGTGTTGTTTCGTTTTCGCAGAATAAATTACATGAATGTGTGGCTGGGTTTTCGTCTCCTTCCCGGTTTTTTTTTGATTTTTTTTTTGTTTTACTTGATACTTTTTACTTGCTTATGACGTAACTGATTTACATATTGATATATGCTAATTAATTTATGTATATAATATGTATATATGCTACTAAGAATATAGGTATGACTTTTATCGATTTGCGGTGACAGCACAGAAAGCAGAGTAATCGTATGTATGTTACGTGGTATACATAAAATTAAAGATAAGTATGCATTTAAGCTAAAGAATTTTTGTTTTTCGTTTTTTTTTTAATATTAACAATTAATGTCTTTTATCAATCGGGATGAATGCTGTTCGATCTCCTAATTGGAAACACAACCTCGCGCAAAGAAGGAACCAAACGCAATCTGGTGGGGATACAGTGGGTGGGTTACACAGGGGAATCAAAAACTGAGCAAGATGACACAAACAGTGACGGAAAACATATGGCATACAAGACGAAGCGACGGCAAAGTAAATTAAAAAGTTAAACAAAACATAAAACGATTAAGTATTCTATTTACAAGCAAGCACTCTAAATGAACAAACTAAAAAGAGGAGGAGGATGAATGGGGGGCAGTGGAAGTACTGAGTAGTAGGGCCTACGCCGTCTCATTGAGATGCACACAGTGGGCGTCCTGCATGAGCTGCGTGAGTTTCTGCGTAAACGTTGGAATGTCACTTGTCTGGCAGATCTCCTCCAGCGCCGTCTGCGCCACCGGCAACGAGGCGTGGGCAAAGCTCTCGAGCAACTGGCGTCGGTCCACCTGGCCCATCGCATACAGGGCCTGGGCAATCATATCGAAGTGCAGCGAGCCCTCTCCGCTCAGCAGCAAATTCAGCAGCGCTCGCTGAAAGGAGGCCAGCAGCTGCTCCTTGAACAAAGCACGCTGATACAGCCGACTCCGTTCGTTTACATTCTGCATGGAGAAGAGAACGCTGCGCACATTGCTGGGATCCGTGCCGCTGACCAACATCTGACCGTAGGCATTTAGGATGGCCATGAAATGGGCCGGATGCAAATTGTCGCTGCAGTTGAAGTTGCCACCGGAGCCACTATGCCCATTGGAGAGCTGATTCTTGTAGAAGAACTGCCACTTGCAGGTGAGCACACTGAAATTGGATAAGGATTTTAATAAAATATAATAATAAATAATAGAAAACCCCTCTCACCTATCAAACAAAGCGTACAGCAGACTGGTAATCTCGCTGTTATCGGTGGCTGCATTTTGCTGCTGCAACAGCGGCAAAATCTGCTGAGTGCTAAAGTCCAAAATGGAGGGCAGCAGGCCCAAAGAGGCGCTGCCCGGCTGCTCGACAATCAGCTTGAACATCTGCAGTATCTTTTCCATCACAGCCAGTCGACTCAGCGTTAGTTGTTCCCTGCTGCTGACACTGATGAACAAAGTGATCATCTCCTTGATGAACTGGGCGCCCAAATGGGTGGGCAATGTGCGCAGCATACTGAGACTAAATTCGGCCACCGTTATGGCCATGGCAATGCTGCTCAGCCCGAAGCTGTTGAAGATCATCAGGGCCTTGGTCAAAATGGGCTGCAAAATTATCAACAAAACATAAGATTGGATATTCTGTACATTTCAGGGTTCGGAAAATAACGCACACTGTTATAAACTCGTGTTATTAATATTTTTAATGTCAAAGTGTTAAGTTAAAAAAAAGTTATTGACTTGTTTGTAAAAAATTGTATCCTACATTTGTTAGAAACATAAATAACACACACATGTCATTTGTGTTATTTACACGACATGTTTTTTACACAGCGTGTTTTTAGTACAATGAGTTTTTGACATTAAAAAATGCACGGTTTTCCAGAGTATAAGAGTTCATAACATATTGGTTTTTAATATTCCCTCTGTTTCGTTAACGTCAGTGAAATGTAATTTTCATTTGTGTTAAAAACACAGTCGTGTTAATAACAAATAGAGTAAAAAACACAAGTGAGCTGTGTGTGTTAACAATTATTTTCCACATTTTTAAACTTTTGTATTTGACACACATGTCAACAATTTTGCTCACACTGTAAATTAATATGTTTCATGTTTTTAACATGAGTGTTAATTTCAGAAGATAATTCACCTTAAATGTGCTCGCCAGCATATCCTTGGCATTGCCTCCGGTGGCCTTGAAATACTCGATGAGGGCCGTGAAAGTGCCCAACAGACTGAGCGTCGTGGCCGCCACCTTGCTCTCGTTGGCCTGGCCCAAATCCAGATCGAGAAAGTTCTGCGCCAGCCCCTGGACATATTCGCGCAGCATCCAGAGACGGCGCGGATAGTCCTGCTGCTGCTCGGGCACGCACTTCCACGGCAGCACCATGTAGCTGACCAGACTGATGTGCACATTGATGCACACCTGGCGCGGCAGCTGGGCGCCCAGGCGTGAGCCCGCCTGCAGGAGGCTCTGGATTTGCGGTATATCCAAGAGGCACTTGGGCCGTATCACAGTCGAGATGAAGAGCAGCAGCTCGCTGGCCGCTTGCTGTACAATTGGCGAGGCTGCCGATAAAGAGCCATTGCAGGCAAAGATGCTGCCCAAAATGGCAAAGAGTCTGTGCAGCAGCTCCTCGCCGCTCATGGCTTTCGTTAGCGGAAAGATGCTCCTGATGGCCAGCAGAACTTGAGCGTATAGGTTATCCAAATCAGTCTGAAACGTGGCCTTATCCATTTCACTGCCGCCGCTACCCAAACGATTGCTGGCCAGGAGCTGCAGCGTCTGCAGAAGACTGTCTGAGAGCATTTGCAGCTGGCACTCCATCTCGTCCGCCACGCCGGGCGCCGCCGACGAGGTGTCCATCAGCGGAGCCAGACGCACCACCGCCTGGCAGACGGTGGCGAAGTCTCTCAATATCTCGCCCACATTGGCGCCCTTCAGCTTGCGCGCCGCCTCGTAGCTGCGCGCACTCCCGTGATCCAGGGCGTGCTCCAGCGACAGCAAATACATCTGCGGCCGCGACCAGTGGTTGTAGACCTGTGCGAAGACGATGTGGGCGCCGCGGGTGTTGGCCAGCAGGGCCAGGGACTCGAAGCACTGGTCCAGGAACTGCTGCCACTCGGTGGCGGAGGTCTGCGAATTGGAAAAGCAATATATTTAATATTAAAATAATATTTTTTTCATGTTTAATGTAATGGTTGTAAATTTTAAAATAAATATCACAATTTAACTATTATTTTTTATTCATAATTATCTGGAATAATAGTTATTCTATGACTTTTAATCATACAAATTAGAAACAACAGTTATTCAATAATTTTCATTATAAAAAAAATATCAAAAATAAAATTAGATTACTTTTTAAAATTACGCGGAATATAAAAAAGATAGTAAACGTACTTTTTAATCTTCGAATTAATACCTTTAATCAATATTAATGTTTTAAATATTCCCTTAAGATAATAGTAAAATGTATATGGTTGATATATCATGGAAAGTAATAATGCGAAGTTCAAAACTCTAACTAGAAATTATATCTTGAAATACAATTGGAACTACAAATTCCTAATTGGCCGTTCAAATTGTGAAAATGAAATTATTTCCTGTTCAATTGGAATCTAACTTGATTGTGGAATTAGGAATATTATTAATATAATATAAATTATATCTATAATATATATTATTTTATTTGCTTTTCCCGATTGTCTTACGATAAATGAAGTATTTAAGAAATATAATAATATTAGAATGTTCGCAATTGCAAAAATATTGACTTTTTGCATTAAAAACGAAAGCTGTAATTGCTATCTAATCAATCGAATCCAAAAATTTATATATAACCCTCAACTACTGAAACTTTCTCTATTCTCAATGCACACAAGACCTCGAAACACTCCAAACAAGGCCTCAAATTACTAAACCACTCACATCGTCCTCCATGAGCTCGTTGTCCAGCACCTCCAGTTCGGGTTTATTGGCCTCGAATTGAGTGCGCCGCATGATCTCATCCACCAGCTGGGTGAGCACATGGTTGAAGCGCGTAATTTTGGCGGGCTGTTGGGCAATGCCCTTGATGATGGGCGTCCATATCTCAAGCTTTTCGGTGAAGTCCAAGGCGCCATGTACTGAAATGTATGATTAATGTATTTAAATTAATATATTAATAATAATAAATATATTAATTATAGGGAAATCTCATTCTTTCAATACTTTTACCATTCGACTCACATTCTGTGGTGCAGCCGTAGAGCAGATTGAGGAAGGTCTCGAGCAGCTCCGGCTCCTGCATCAGCTTGCCGGCATATTTGGTGGTGTAGAGGCGCAGGAGCTCCCGGAACTTGTCGCTATACATCTCGCTCTGCCGCCGATTGTTATTGTGCTGCTCCAAAAGGCTACTAACGCCGCCCATTAAAGTCCCAGCGAAGGGCAATGGCTTCTGAAGGTAGAGGAGCTCATTTAAAACAGAGAGCGCGGCCAGGGAGATGGGCTCGTGGGCGGGTCGCCACTGGGAGAGGTCCAGTATGCTCATGAGGAAGTACTCCGAGATCAGTTCAGTGCGTATCCAGGAGACCAAGTGCTGCACACAGCCGAGCAGCTCCAAAATAGAGGAACTGCAGTTAGATAAATTGAGATTATTAATTGATTTTCCTAATAGATATATTTCTAGATATATTTAACGCAAACCCACCTTAGTTGATTGTCATTTGGCAGCGCTGAGGTTAGACTAAAGTCCATGAGGGTGTTTGGTATGGTCGTTTGGATGTCTTTGCCATTGATGTGGCACACAGCGATTAGTAGATACTTGGTGACCAGGTCCAGGACATCGGGAATACACATGGAGATGCTACGGAAACACACACGGCACATGGTAACACAGATTAGGGTTGGGATTAGGAACTTAAATGAGGGTAATTAATATCAAATCACAGCAGACTATGATTTTTCAATCATATTTGTAATAAAGAAATCATTTTCAAAGCAAATATTTGCATCATAAAAGAATTTCTTATTAAAAGTGATTGTCTAACGTTTTGTTATTGCTCCTGCAGATTTTTTGGTAAGCTTCTTATTAAATTAATTAATTAATATGTCTTTTGAAACCATAACACAACCATCGATTAGAAATAGATAAGAAAAACTAAAAATAAACGATAAGATAACAAAGAATAATACAATTTCTGATAAGAAATGCATAATAATGCACATTTACATAAAAAGTAACAGTTATCATCTGGTTATAATAAGGTTAAGGTTGTATTAAACATAACTTCTGATAGGAAAATAAGTAGTAGGGGTGAAAACTAAACATAAAAGCTATTTTTTATAGATGCACAGTTAAGATAACTCGATTTAAGGAATAAATAAGCAAAAAGAATTTCAATTCCTGATAGGAAATGCATAATAATACACATTTACATAAAAAGTAAGAGTTATCATTTGGTTAGAATACGGTTAAGGTTATAATTAGGGGTAAAAACTAAAAATAAAAGCTATTTTATGTCGATTTAAGGAATAAGTAAGGGATAAGAACTCAAATTTCTGATAAGAAATGCATAAAAATGCACATTTACATGTAAAGTAAGAGTTATCATCTGGTTATAATAAGGTTAATAGGAAATACTGATAGGAAAATAAGTAATAGGGGCAAACATTTCTTAAGAACTGTTGAGGATAAGATAAAACAAGCGAATAACATAAATAGAAATAGATTTTAAGACAAAAAGAACAATGATAAGGGTGAAAGGAACCCCAAAAAGTTAAGATCTCCGATAAGGAATATGTAAAACAAGAAACTACATTTATGCGGGCGAAGAATTCCCTTTGAAAAACCAGAATCCGTGGAATTTACCCACCAGGAGTAGAAGTACTGCTTCCATTCGGTGGTCAGATCGCCCCGGTTGCTCACCACCTCCTCGGAGGTGATCCGCAGCAGGTTGATGCCCAGCTGGAAGCGACTCTTGGTCAGCTCGAGGCAGTGCTGCATGTAGTTGGGATCCTGTTCGGGGAACTCGCGCTTCCCGAGCAGCGCAATCAGCTGGGCCAAAGTATCCCGATGTCTTTTAGCCGCATTTGGAGTGGCGCCCAGTTGGGCATACGAATTCCAGAGCGATTCGCGCAACTGCGTCTTGTCCGTGGGGCTCAACTGCGTCCATCGCCTGGTTATCGTGTGCTCCAGCGTGGAGGTGCTGAAGAACCAGAGGAACTGATTCTCCGTGATATCCGAGGCGGTGGCCACACGGAGGCACAGCTGCCACGCCTCCGGCTGCGATTTGAAGGCCAGGAGATTCGTCTCGATCTCCCGCTTCCTGGCATTCGAGGTGCTCGGCTGGTAGAACTCCTGCAGCAGACCCTCCACCGTCGTCATGGATGCAGCGTGCTGGGAAATCCAATTCCCGGTTAATCATAAAAATGCAACTAAAAAGTGGGTTTGGTTTGGCTGCCTCACCATTTTCCCCGTTCCTGCCCGCCTGATCTCCGCCTGAAACTGGATCTCTGTGCTGATGGATGAGTGATGGGGACTCTGGGTCACTGTGTGTGCGTGCTCCGCTCGAACGCGGTTCTGGCCAGGATCAGGATCGCATCAGAAGTCGCATCGGGCGTCCACCAATTTCATGCTTTTCTTTGTGTTTTTCCTCTCTTTTGCCCACTTTTTTTGTTCGAAAAGGTCCTAAAATTGGATGCGGTATTTTTGGTGGTATATAAATACCGGAAAATCCCGGCGAAGAAGCAGATGGATTAATCGATGGGAAGCCTATCGAATAGGTCACTCTAAAAATCGCTACTGGCTATCGATACTTAATTCGTCGTTGGTTGTTATCGGTTTTGGGGATTTTGAAAATTTTTAAAATCAAATAATTATTATTATTATATTTATAATTATTATTCATTATAATGAAACAATAATGATATGGGTTTCTCTTAAATTTATAAGAACTTAAAAGTTAAGGTTCTAAATAACTTAAAAATAATACAAAAATAGTGGAAATTTCAGATTATAAAATTTGAAATTATTATTTTGAAATTTTTATAAGCTAATAAAGCTACAAAAATTGTAAAAGTTACTTTAAAATGTAAAATAATTTAAAAGTTAAGTTTCTAAATAACTTGGATATAATACAAAAAGAGACGAAATTTAAAAGAATTTAAAAGAAAGAATAAAATAATACTAAAAACCTTTGAAACAATACAAAAATAGAAGAAATTTTATATTTTAAAATAGTTGGCCGTGCAAAAATCTGTTACTTTTCAAAGCAACGTTTTCCAGTCAAACATTAATTGTACTTTGCCAGGCACACAACCGACAAAATCCCAATTATTTCTCTATTTTTTTACCCTACTTTTTTTTAAACATTTTATATTGTAGGTACGCTTGCCTGCGGTTTTTCCAATTGAAATTCATTCATTATATTCCTTGAATTCCAGGGTGATTTAATCATTTAACAATCTGAATCTGAAGAATCGAAAGGATCAATAATCAAGAATCATGCCGCGCGGAAAGTACGTGAATCACAAGGGTCGTTGTCGCCAGTTCACCCCCTCGGACATTTTGCAGATGGAGCTGGAGTGGATTCGCCAGGACGACGATGACGACTACGAGGTCGAGGTGAAGAGTCAGCTTTCCTTTGACTTGCAGGAGGAGGAGGAGGACGCCGAGGAGGAGGAGGAACCCTCCGTTGGAGTCCACAACCTCATCGAGATCTCCAATCCGAATCGCTTGCCGCGCCAGAAACCCATGAATCTGCTGATTACGATGACCGCCAGTAGGGATCAGCCTTCGAAGGACCAAACTCAAAGGAGGCTGCGCGAAAGGAAGCAATCTGATCATCGTCTGAGGAGCAAGGAAACGGTGGCCGACTTGGCCCGTTTGGCTTTGGTTCGCAAGGAGCGGGAGGCGGCTGCCCAGCGCCGTTTGGCCGCCAAAAAGGCAGCCGCCGAGGCCATCGCCGCCTCCAATTCGGATTCCTCGATGAAGAGGTCGAGTCCCAAGTCATCCGAAGATTCGGCGGAAGTCCTGGTTGTCCCATCAAAACCCTACCAAAGGAAGATCCGTTCTAGCCGAAAGAAGTAAAAGGCCCAACTAGTTAATAACTAGTAATCACACGAAGACCCAAACCAAAATAACATCAGAAAAAAAAGTTTGGATTGAAACCCATTCATAAAATCGAGTGAAAACGTCAGAAATGAATAGAAAAACGCCTCTTAACAGAGAAGCAAAATTCCAAAACACATAAACCCAAAATCGACGATAAAACCTGAAAATCAAATCAAGCAGGCGTCGAAAATTCCAAAACTCGAATTCTCAGTCTGGAAAAGAAGCAATGATCAAGGATGTTTCTTCATTTCGATGTTGGTTTTCTCGATTTTTACTAATAAACAAGAAAACGCAAAAAAATAAACTTGTGTCTCTAAATTCATTCTAGTTTTATAAGCGAAGGTTTTTGAAATTAATACAGATTTTTTGAAGCTCCCGCCCAAAAGCTATTGATCGATAACATATCGGTTATCCCTTGGCAGGGATTTGAAAAATATGGTAGTACTATTATTTTAGGGTATTATTAATGAAAATAAAACGGGATAAAAAACACAAATTTGGAAACCAATTGGAAGCCCAGAAAATTGCGGATAACAGAGTTATTTTTATTTATTTTATTTATTTCTCCGGGCCCATATATCACAGTATCATGGAAAACATGGTCCAGAAAAAGGCGGTAAAGCGATCGCGATCGGCGGATGACGACGATGCCAACAACAATCTCACCCAGCGGAAAATCTGGGTGAACCAGAAGATGAGTGATTCCAACAATCCTCAGAAAATGAAGGAGGTCCATGGTATGTATAGGACTCCTAGGGTTTCCTTATATATATTTACCTGATCCGGGAACTATCAGTTATCAGTTATCATAGAACTGCCGGTATTTACACATAGGTGTAGTTACAGAAGATTTTTGGGGGCCCCGGTGATTTTACCGCTTAAAATTCTTATTGGAAAACGAATTTATGATATAAAGTACTTCTCTTAAAAAAATTTCCTTATAATATAATAGATTATTTTATATTTTGATAATTTACAATTATTTTTTTAAATAAAGAGTATTTTAGGCTAACCTTTTTTAAAAGTACCCAAAAATAGGGAAAAAAATGTTTGCAGTGCGAAAAAGTTTCAAACTTTTTAAAACAATAGATTACTTAAAATTTTGATTTTTTAAAATTGTTTATCAAGATAAAGAGTATACAAATATATTTTAATTTTAGCGCTAAAATTTTTAAAGTCAAAAAAATCAGAAAAAAATTTATTGAAGTACGGAAAAGTTTCGATATTTCAAAATTATTTATCATGATAACGAGGTTTTAATTCTGGTGTTACAATTTTTGAAAAGTACTCGAAATTTGGTTAAAACAGTTTTAAACTATTTTTTGAGTTTGCTTTTATTGGTTCCCTGGTCTTCTTATTTTGAAAACAAAGTTTTTTTTAAAACGCAGCAGGCCTTGAAAACAATTGTTAGATCCTATTCAGTTTTCTCAAAATTGTTAGCCGGTCTTGATTGAATTTTTATTCTGAGCTCGAACAAAAAAAGTAATTTTTGCACAATTTTCTATTAGAACCGATAGGAGAAACGCTAGAACCTTTGGCCACAACTAATCTCTATTTCCAAAAACGGCAGAGAAAACAACGAAAATGCTTTTCGACGGTGCAGCCGGCAATGGAGGAGGAGGACAGGGTCAGGGCCAGAATGGATCCTCCACTGGAATGGATGGTCAGCAGGGCCAGGAGCAGCAGCCCCAGCTGTGTGAGCAGTACCAGCTGCTCGGCGACGGAACCATCATGCTGCGCAACCTGCGAGCCGACCTGTCCAATCCGCGCCTGGAGCGCCACAAGTCCCGCTGCTGCCAGCGGCAAACGCTCATCCACGACATCTGCGTCAACTGCACCATGGATCTCTGCGAGGAGTGCGGCTATTCCTGCGGCGAGTGCTCCAAGTTCATATGCCGCAGTTGCGTCACATTATTGTGAGTTGAGAACCGAGTTGGGAACTATCATAAAATGATTCCATTTTGATAAGGTTTACTTAAGAATCTCTATAGAAAAAAAAATCTTATTACTCCAAAAATTCATTCAATTCGATTAAAATATTTCAATTATTTCCTTAGATTTCAATTATTTTCAACTATTCTTTTCATAGTTAAAGTAAACTGTCATATAATGGCATTGATTCCATTTTGATTGGGTTTACTTAAGAATCTCTATTCAAAAAAAGATCTTATGACTCCAATTCATTCATTTAAAATATTTAAATTATTCTCAACTATTCTTTTCAAATAATTAAAAAAGTTAAATTAAACTATCATAAAAAGGCATTGATTCCATTTTGATTGGGTTTACTAAAGAATCTCTATTGAAAAAAAATACCAATGACACCAAAAATTGATTCAATTCTTGTCAACTATTATTTTCATATAATTAAAATATTTAAATTATTTGTAACTATTCTTTTATATAATTAAAATAGTTAAATTATAATTATCCATCGATTTAAATGTTTTTTCAATCCAGTTTCAGAGTCTTGATCTTAAGATACTTCATTAATTATCCCTAATTTAAAAATGGAACTCATTTCTTATAGAACATTCGAAGAACCTAAACTTAAACTTTTCTCATTCGATTCCAGTGGTAATCGTCTTGATGAAGCCGAAGATCCTTTGTGCGACCGCTGCCAGATGTTTTTCGCCTAGCGATCTCGCCTTTGCCAAAGGATCTCTTGGCCAGAAAAGAAGAAAAGCGCAGCCATTTTCACCATACAGTCAAATACTGGGGAACTACTCTCTCATCAACGTGGTGCTCGTTAAATTTTAAGTTCTGAATCAGTACAAATTTGGCACGTCTCTCAAAGAACATAGGGCAATTACTTTTATATATATATTTCTTTTTTTTTGAAGCGTGAAATTATCGGAAATACAAAAAGAAAAAAAAAAATTAAGGTGTCTCTTTCCTTTACACCTTGCCCCTGAACTTGTGGTACTTCTCGTGCTCCTTCACCAGGCCCTCGTACATCCTGGCGCCCGCCTCGCTGCTGGAGCGCAGGATAAAGTGTCCGGAACGGTGGTCGCAGATCCCGATCAGCTCGTGGCACACGCGCACTATGTGGACCTTGACCTGGAAATAAGAAAAACATTATAATTATTAAATATATTATTAATTATTATTATTAAAAAAATGTACTGAATGGAATCTATTCCTTAAAAAATAAATAAAACTCTTATATTATGGGTTAGTTTAAATAACACAATTATTACAGCTAAAGTTAGCGCCACCTGTCGGGTATTACAATTTTTGCTCATAACTTTAAAACGGATTGTCCGATTTTAAAATTTTCTTCAGCATTTCGTTAGATATTAGTAAGCATAACAAAATGGCATTTAAGCTTTTACAAAATATGTAAATATGTGGGCGCCAGGCTGTTTTTAAAATCTTTTAAGGCGATTGTGGGCGTGGCTCTCAGCTGAAACAAACTTAAGCTGCATAGTAATGCCAAGAATATGTGTGGTTAATCCTAACGTTTTAGCTTTAATAGTTTCCGAGATCTGTTATTATAAAACCCACCTTTTCGAACAGCGTTGTGGGTCTTTCGGTGGCCACCATTTGCCGGATGGTGAAGATGAGCAGGAAGGGCGCCACTCGCTTGACAGCGAGCGCCTGAGTCGTCGCCACCGTGGCCATAACAGTAGCCAACTTTAAACCCAAATCCGCCAGACCATCAAGCTCCGTTTCGCTAATGTCCTGCGCCTGCTTTCGCTCCGCCCGATAGCCAACGATGGCCTGGACGAGATCCTGGCACAGGGCACTCAGCTGGGCCGCCCGGTCGGACATTAGATTGCTGTGCTGCTTCAGCAGCACCACCAAATTATCCGTGAGCACAGCGTACAGATCCACAAAGTCCTGCCAACTGCCGCCGTTACCGATCAATTGCTTGATGTTCACATCCAACATGCTGCCCAGCAGGCAATCCAAAGTCTCGCCCGTCAGCGGAACCGTGCGATTCCCGGCCAGATTTCGTTGGGCCTCCAGCAGGCGAAGCGCATGACCACGGTAGGCGGAATCCTTTTGCTCCGGCAGACGCAGCGCCACACTCACGCTGATCAGCTCAAAGTGCTCGTTTAGCATCTGCGGGGGATTGGGATTAATATTAAAAAAAAGAAAATAAACTTATATACCCTTGCAGATCACTCCTATTAATTTACAAATCGCAAAAATGTTAAATTTCCTATGACAGCTATATAATAAAGTTGTGCGATTTTTTTTTAATTTAATTCGAAATTCGGAAATATTCAAAAGTAGGAGAGAATACAATCAAAACCAAAGAAGCTATAATTTTTTTCCAATTATTTTCCTATTGTTTTTCCGATCGTTCCTATGGCAGCTACATGATATAGTCGTCCGATTTTTTTTTTAAATTTTATCCGAAATTCAGAAATATATAAAAAAGGTAATAAGTAAAAGTATAAGGTAATATTTCAAAAAACACCAAAGCTAGAATTTGTTTCCCATTATTCTTCCAATTATTCCTATGGGAGCTATAGGATATAGTTGCTCGATCCGGCTGGTTCCGACTTATATACTAACTGCAATAGAAAGAAGTCATTTGGGAAAGTTTCAACCCGATAGCTTCAAAACTGAGAGACTAGTTTGCGTAGAAACGAACGGACAGATGGACGGACAAACGGACATGGCTATAAAAATCCTCCTTAGTTCTTAGTGCTCCCAACTTACCGCTCCCTTGACGCTGCTCAGCGAGCATTTGGCAAAGAGCGCCAGCAAGGTGAGCACATTCTGGAGTCCAGTATGCTGGGCGGGCGTCTCGGGTCGCTGCATCTGTTCCACCTGTGTGGAGAGGCGTCGCAGGAGCAGCAGGAAATCCTCGTTGGTCTTGTAGCCAATGATCAGCTTGATGGCGGGCTCCAGGCAATCCAAGGAGGCAGCGGATGAGATATCACCCGCTTCAATATCCGCATTTAATTGCCGCCAATAGCTGCTCAGCACGAACTCAATTTCATCCGGATCCAAATGCAAACGCTGGCGATGGGTGAGGGCCACATTCAGCAGGCGGATGGCATGGGCATTGCGGTAGTTGAGCTGTGGAGGATTGGTTGGATTAGTTTTGAGTGTAAATCTTGTGTAGGGATGTCTAAAATATATCAAAATATTAATATATATAGTAATTTTTTGGGAAAAAATAAATATTTTTATCGTGATATTTTTTTTGATAAATTATCAGGTATCACCAATTTTTTTTGCACATTTTTTTGATAATTTTAAGTGGTTATACTTTTTATCGGGACAAGAAAAAATAAAGAAAAGATAAAAGAGATAAAATGTATTTTTCGGCAACTGGAAATGATATCTGATATATAGATATTTCTTTTCTGATATATCAAATATCATTTTGATTTTTTGTTTCGATAAAAAATATCATCAATACGATATTTTTAATCCCTAATCTTGTGGTTTAATTAGTAACTCACCGAATGACCAATGTAGATTTTACATATGCGCCGGAAGTTGTCATCAATGGGTTGTTGATGCTGCTCCCGCTCCTCTTTTTCCTTCTTATCCTTCTTTTTCTTCTTTTTATCTGGCTCCTGATCCTGCTGCTCCTTCGGTTCCTGCTCCTTTTCCCTCTCCTGCCTGGCCACGCGATTGATGCAGCTGCTCACGTAGGTTGCATAACCAGACAAAGTGCTATCTACAAACTCCTTGTAAGCAGAAGCCTCCTTCTTCTTCGAGCGAAACTTGTGGGCCACCATCTCGCCGTAGATCTCCAGCAATGGCTGCAGTTGGCGCTGCAATCGCCTCCCTTGAGCTCCAGTCACACTGGATAGAGTTTCAATGGCCAGCAGAAGCAGACGAACCTGCTCCGTTTGCAGTTTATTAGAGGCAGTTAACTGATCTTTCAGGTACTCTGTGCAGCTGGCGAGGAAGGCCTCGCTTCCAGAACTCTGGCGACGAATGCAGCGGGCGAAGAGGGTCTCGTAGAAGCTCCAACCGGTCGACGAGCTGGTGGGGATTAGCTGTAGCAGGTCGCTTAGCTGCGAGAAGTAGCTACAAACGGGCAGGGGATGACCAAAGTGCATAAGATCTAAAGGGAAATTAATAATAATTAACAAGATTAACTCAGCTAAAGGGAGTGCGAGGGAGATAGATATATAAACAATTTTGATTGTGCATAACTTTTTAATGAATGGTCCGATTTGAATAATGTCTTCTACATTTCGATAGGTATAAATATACACAACAAAATTGCAATTATACTTCTCGGAAATCTTTAAAGATGTGGGCGCAGGACAGTTAGTGGGCGATTGTGGGGGCGTGGCGCTCGGCTGAAATAAACTTGCGCTGCGTAGGAGGCCCAATAATATGTGTGTGAAATCTCAACCTTCTAGCTTTTGTAGTTTCCGAGATCTCAGCGTTTATACAGACGGACAGACAGAATATATATACTATATGGAGTCGGAAACGCTTTCTTCTCCCTGTTACATACTTTTGCACGAATACAATATACCCTTTTACTCTACGAGTAACTGGTATAATAAGGGAGTTTAAATTTAAAGAAGATAACCTACCTATTAGAAGTTCCAGGACCTGTTTAGCCTGCTCCTCCTGCTGCTTTGCACGACTGAGATCCCTGTAGAGCACAAAGATCCTTAGCCAGAGGCGCGAGCGAATGTTGGAGGCCAATTGAGCCAGCGGCAGGCGCTGCAGTGAATCCACTAGCTCCTGTGACTCCGGCAGCTGCAGCTCCTTGTCCACGGAAGTCGTTTCCCTGAGGAAACTTATCAACGCGGCCTCCTCCAGCTGCCCCTCCACTTTTAGTTTAACCAAAAGCGATGATTTAACCTTGGAATCCTTGATTTCCGCTGCATAATCCTTGAGCAGCTGCAAAGCAATCAGTTCCACGCACTCCGCATCCTCCAAATGCGAGTCTACATCTTTGTTTTGCTGCAAACGCAGTTGTTTTTGAGCTCGCGTCAGCCGAAAGAATTGCTGCGGCGTTACCAATTCAGCCAGCGAATCGGAGCAAGTGGCTCCCCGTTGATCCTGCAGCAGCCAACCGCTCTCGGCCAGCTGCAGTTCCAAGCGCTGCAATCGCTGGCGGCAGGAGCTCTTGCCGAAATTGTGCACCCGCTGCTGGATGAGCGTCCACTCGGCGGCGGGCAGGAAGTTGCGCAGTTGCAACGGACGTTCGCTGGCAGGGAAACCATCTGGCCAGTAGTGAATCAATAGCAACTCAAAGGAACTGGCCCGTTCGGTGCACTCGAGGAAGGCCGTCATCAGGCGGCGATTGTGCTCCTGGCTCAGCAGACGGCGGCCAAATTGCTCCAGCACCTGCGAGGTGTGTTGCAGCTGCTGCTCCACTTGGTCTTTATATAGATGCACCTGCTCCGCCAGCCGAGTGCCGTTTAGATACTGACAGAGCAGCGCAGCATGCAGTTCGCGGGCAAAGTCAAGATTCTCAGGCAGAACAGCTGGTTGATCTTCCTCCAGCAGCTCGGCAAAGGAATGCAACAGGGTCTTCCAAATGACCAGCGAAGGCTTGGTCATGAGGTGGCTCACCAGCCGGGTGAAGGCCACGCCTGCGGAATGACTTGGCCAGGTTTGGCAGAGCTGTTTAAAGGCATCATGCGAGGAGGGAGCCGCGGGCAGGGTGTTTCTAGCGAAGATTAGACGCAGGAAGCGATGCTCTAGCTCAAGGGGAGCCTTGGAATCCTCAAGCCGCCGCTTCTTGGCTTCTCCGTGGGTTAAATCCAAAGGATATTTACCCAGCCACTCCTTTAAAGCCTTGAGAAGATTCATAATGAAGCGTTCGGCGCGACTAAGGCGACGGAACATGTCGAGCAGGAGAATGAGATACTCGGAGTACAGCTCCTCCTCCTCAGGAGTCGCCTTTCTAATCGTTAGAAGCCACACGGTGATCTGATAGACACTCTGCTCGAGCAGGAGAGGATTCAGGCGCAAGGCGGCGTAGAGAAGCAGCAGGATCTCCTTGAGATGCGACTTCCTGTACTCGCGGACCAACTGGAGCAGCTCATTGGAGACAAATTCGAACATGGACAAGGGTACATCATGCTTGCGCAGCGACATCAGCAGGTAGGTGACCAGGGGCAGCGATTCCGCCGATTCCTTGCCGGCTCGAAGGACCACTTTTACTAGTTTATTGAGTTGCGTTGTCGTATGGCGATTGTTTAGGATGGCGGCCTCCAAAAGGAGTAGGTTAACATGGAGGGGATGCTTCTCTATACGTTCCGCTGTAAACTCCGCACCCAATTGCTTCTCCAGCTGGACGAGCTCCTCCAAACAGGGGGATTTCAGGCTAAGCAGCAGTTCCACCAGCGGCCGAATGATCTGCGCATCGTACTCCTCGAGCAGACGCTTCTGGTTCTGCGAGCGGCGGGCAATCTCGGCCAGCTGCTTGATAACAGGCAGTGCAAACTCGGCATCCCAGTGATCCTGGTCAGGCATCCTAGCCTTGCGTTGCTCCACAAATCTTTGGTGGCTTTTGAAGAGGAGGCCAAAGCAGTTGGCAAGGACTGCGGGATCCGAACGCAGGGCATCCTGGAGCAGCTCGGAGTTGAGGGTCAGGGGGAGTAGCTCCAGCGAGGATTCATTGGCATTCTCCTCCTGGGAGATCACTTCAAATAGCCTGCTAATCAACTGGGTTTTGATCTGCGAGGTGACCCAACCAGGTTGCGCCCGCAGCTTAAGGAAATCTCTGAGCTGCTGGGTGGGCAGGGGGTGCACCTGGTGCTCCTCACCCAGGGAAACCGACAGCCATTCCGTGATAATCTCGTATTTGTTGGGATAGAGAAACTCCACGGATTGCCAGACCTTCAAGGCGAATTCAACACGTGCCGGAAAGGGTTTGCTTTGATCCGCCAGCCAGGACTTGAGCTCTGTGGGGGGAGGAAGGTTTTACTGTACAGGTTCCACTGGCAGGAAGAGATCCTTTAACTCACCTTCGCCTGTGTCCATTTTCTCCTCTTTCAGGTGAAACTTAAATTTAAATCCACGTGCGGAATGAAAACAAAACCAAACACATATCGATAGCGGAAGACCTATCGATAGGTTACGTTAGCGCTGCCTTTTTCAAGCCAAATTTGGCTATTTTTAAGGTGACATAAGAACAGTTTTAATTTAATAATTAATAATAAAAACATACCAAAACAAATTTAATTATTATGTAATATACCATACAATAGGTTTCCAAGTAGTCTTGAGAGTGTTGAAATTTGACATTTTTCTTAATCGTTTTTTTGCTGAAACTTGGGCAAAAACGGTCTTAAATCAAAAAGGCGTACTGTTTTAAACAGCTAACAACCTATAAATTAATATCAGTGCACTTTTCGTTTGATTTAAAAAAAATAAATTTTAAACCCAATTTTCACATTTTTGATAAGGGGTAACATCATGATTTTTTGCAAAAAAAAGACAAAAATTAAAAGTTTTCAGGTTTAAATGCAGATCGATTGGGAATTTTATTACGAGTTCAACGAGGTATGACATTCCATATTTGGATCATTATTTCAATTTATATGACCAAAATACTCGTTTTGTTTGGGTAAAAATCAAGATTTTGATTTTTGATGCCAATTTGAAAATTTTCTTAATCGATTTTTTGCTGTATATGTATAGGTACCATTTATTTTACAAATAAATTAAAAATCCATCTTTATATATCAAAACCTAGCTATTTTCGAGCTAAATCGCAAAACAGCTGATCGTGCCCACCACCGCCGCCGAGCAAGAAGAAGAATTCGAATTCGTTTTGTTATTTTTGTTTTTTACAACCAAATTCGAAATCCGCTTCAAAATCTCTCCAGTATTTTTCGTTTAAATTTCTGAATGCGACAGGAATCACAATGCTGTTGAACTGCACGAGGCTGACACACGGCTGCACGACTCTCCGGGTCACGCAAATCAGCCAAATCCGTTCGGCCACATCATATAACCACCATTTGGGCAGGTGCCTCCATCGACGCACCACCAGGATCGCATCCCCACCCACTGGGCAGACCACCCACCAACCACTCCGCATGCAGCAGTGGTGGTGCATGCGTCGTGGTTTCGCCCAGAGCAGCAAGTGGTTGGCCAGGAATGCCAAGGCGGACGCAGCACCTCCCATTAGAGCCGGAAAAATGGCCAGATCCCAGTACGCCCGCCTGCTCAGCCTTACGAAATCGGAGAAATGGGTGCTCTCAGGTGGTTACTATATATATCTTTTAAGTTTTCCCTCTTAGTTCCTAATGTATTCCTTCTCCTTCAGCTGGAATCGGCTGCCTGGTCGTCTCCTCGGCGATCACCATGTCGGTGCCCCTCTTCCTGGGCAAGGTCATCGATGTGGTCTTCAATAAATCCGGATTGGACAGCGCCGCCATGGCCAAACTGGGCGAGTACTCCATGCTGCTCCTCGGCATCTTCGTTCTCGGCGGCTTCGCCAACTTTGCCCGCGTCCATCTCTTCGGAAATGCAGGTGAGTTGGGGCAAATTTACCCTTGTAACCTTGGAAATAGGGAAAGAAACTAGAAAAATCAATAGAGTTCTAGCTAAATAGGTCATTGCTCAGGGAATTCTAGCACCTGTTTTTTTCTTTTTAATTTTTTAAAGGATTATTTATTAGGGAAAATAGGTAAAAACTTGTTATTTAATTTAAGTACCTAGAAATGAACTCATAACTAATCATAATTATCTTGTGTTATAGGTACTTAAAAAATTAAATATATATGAATATTAATTAATTCCTTAAGATTTTACTAAGCTTCATTAAAAAGTTCCTAAAAGAATAAACATAATTTCACAAAAAATGAATCAGAAATACATTATAAAATAAAATAATTTAATACAAAATAGCGATCCAACTGGAAGGGGGGAAGAATCCACCCCAACCAGCACACCTCACAGCTTATGATTATCTCTTGGATAAGTTGATTTCAATATTTACCCCGAAGGGTGAAGTAAGTGGTTTGTTTTGTATATTTATCCCATAAAGGGAATAAATTTTTTGTATTGGCTTAACTCGCTGGTTAAATTTGGTGCCACAATTAGTCGGGAAAGTGGCCAACCCTTGATAGCTGTGAGGCGCCCGACCGCCGAAACTCGTTGTTTCCCAGCGCTATTTATACGCACCACTCGCGGAATTAGCAGTTGGGAATTATAGCGACGACGCGACGACGGGGATGGAGACTGACGTCATTAGCGGACGCTGCGACTGCGCGGATTTATTTGAGATATGCAAAGGCAATAATATAATTTAATTTATTTATTTTATATACCAGCGCTAGTCGCTTTGAGTTGATATTTTTAAGTTATTATTATTTTTAAATTTAAATTTTTGTATGAAATATTTATTTCTAAAATTTCTTAATTACAATTATAAATATTTTAAACTTTTTTATTTATTTTATATATTTTTCTTGACATATTTTTATCTTTTTAAAATAAAATAATAAAAGTATTTATTTTATCAGCATTTTACCCTGAAATAGTAATAATTGTCCCCCCTATTTTTTCTTTCCAGCTCTCCGGATAGTTCGAAATTTGAGATCCCGGCTGTACAGATCCATGCTGATGCAGGAGGTGGGCTGGTTCGATACCAAGGGCACCGGCGAGCTGATCAACCGGCTGAGCAACGACACTTACATGGTGGGCATGTCCCTCAGCCAGAATGTCTCCGATGGCCTGCGATCGCTGGCCATGATTGGCGTCGGCACGGGCATGATGGTATGATGTGATATTATATAATATATCACAGAACCCTTCTAATCTTGTGTTTCCCCTGACAGATCTACACCTCGCCTCAGTTGGCGGCTGTGAGTGCCTTGGTGGTGCCTGCGATGGCGGGCATGGCCATTGTCTATGGACGATACGTCAGGCGGATCACCAAAACGGAACTGGACAAGCAGGCGGAGATCATGAAGTATGCGGAGGAGCGTTTCGGGAATGTGAAGACGGTGAAGACGTTCTGCCGGGAACAGCAGGAATGCGCTGCCTTCGATGGCAAACTGGGTGAAGCCCTACAAATTGGCTACAAGGAGACGCGCGCCAGAGCTATTTTCTTTGGATTGGTTAGATCTATAGACCTCTTAACTAAAGATCACCTTTATAATCCTTGATTTTCTCCCACAGACCGGCTTCTGTGGCAACTTCATCATTATTTCTGTACTCTGGTACGGTGGAACCTTGGTTTTACAAGACTCCCTGACCATTGGCGCCCTCACAGCCTTCATGCTTTACGCCGGCTATGTGGCCATCTCGATGAATGGACTGTCTAATTTCTACAGCCAGCTGAACAAGGGCATCGGGGCCTCGGAGCGAATTTGGGAGATCCTCGACCGGGAGTGCACGATACCCATTGACCAGGGTATCGTACCGCTGGAGAAACCTCTAGGCGAAGTGGGTTTCCAAAATGTCTACTTCACTTTTCCCACTCGTCCCGAATCCGCTGTGCTCTCCGATTTCTCGCTGAATCTGATGCCTGGCAAAACGACGGCGGTGGTGGGACGTTCGGGATCGGGAAAGACAACGATAGCCTTGCTAATGCTGCGACTCTATGATCCGCAAGCGGGCTCCGTCCAACTGGATGGCATTGATCTGCGAACGGTGAATCCCCAGTGGCTGAGGAATAATATCGGCGCGGTCAGTCAGGAGCCGGTGCTCTTTTCCTCCTCGATTCGTGAGAACATCCTGTACGGTGCCAATCCCGGCGAGACGCCGACGGAGGAGCAACTGCAGCGGGTCGTCGAAGAGGCGAATGTCAGCCAGTTCACCGACCAACTGCCCGATGGCCTGGAAACGCTCGTCGGCCAGCGGGGAATGATGCTCAGTGGTGGACAGAAGCAAAGAGTGGCGATTGCCAGGGCGCTCATTAAAGTAAAGTCTTTATAATAAATTTAATATTTATTTGTAATACTTATAAGAAACTCCTTTCAGAACCCCGCCATCCTGATTCTGGATGAGGCCACCAGTGCTCTGGACGCCGTTTCGGAGAATCTAGTGCAGAATGCCCTTGATAATCTGGTTCAGGGACGCACCGTATTGACCATTGCCCACCGACTGAGCACAATTCGGAATGCCGATTCCATTGCCGTGCTGAGCGAGGGAAAGATTGTGGAGCAGGGCAGCTACAATGAACTGATGGGCATCCAGGAGGGCGTCTTCCGGGAACTGGTCGCCAGCCAGGCGTTCGCCGGACGAGATTGAAGTCGAAGCTTCAGATTGGGAGAGGGACTTAAGGATTAGCTGGATTAGATTAGGTGCGGGCCCACCGCTGGTTGGTGGTGGCTCCGCTGGTGCAACTGTTACCGTGCTATGTGTTCATAGATCAAATGTTTTTATTTCTTTGTACAATACACACCATTGACCGTTGTTAAAGATTGACCGTGAGTTTTCTTCAGGAAGGATAGTAGGTTATTAAGTATTTAGCCAGGTGAGCAAACTATTTCTTATGATTACTTTCATTTACAGAACAATTCATTTACATAAACAATATTTCAGACTTACAATTTGTTAAATTATAAGTAGATTTATTTTTTCATTATTTGAATTGCTTTTATTTACTTTAAACAATTTATTAGAATCCTTTTTAAGTCCGTTTTCGATACTATGACTTTTTAATATTGTATAGTTTTTTAAATTAAATATCAGATAAATCTGTATAAGTCACAAAAAATTGCAATATTCTTTTAATTTTGAACTTGTTGTATTTATTAGAACCTTTTTTAAGTTCATTTTCAATATTAATTCTGAGTTTTCAATATCGTATAGTTTTTTAGATTAAATATCAGATAAATCCTTTCATGCCCCTCTTGTTTTTTCAACACATCTTCCAAATCCCAACATATTTAAACCAAATATTATTTTTTACATTTTCCAACATTTTATTGTTATCGTTTACATTTCAGTTTTTTCAAGCTTCTCTTGTTTTTTCGCTACACATCTTCTTAAATCTAATAAACAGGCACAAAAATAAATGCAATAATTTCTTCTGTATCTAGCTTCTAACTACGTCCTGTGTGCCAGCATCCAGAAGTTCAATACGTGGAACATCTCAACCGGGAATCGGGAATCTTCTATCCAGATCCTCCTCCTACTTCATGGTGGGCATGGCCACGGCCGCCTGGGTGTGGGTGACATCCGTCTCCCGCCACAACTGGGTGACCGTCTTGGTCTGCGTGTAGAACTTGATGCCCTGCTTGCCATAGAAGTGATGATCGCCGCGGAAGGAGCCCCTCGTTCCGGTGAACGAGAACATGGGCAGTGGCACCGGAATGGGCACATTCACGCCCACCTGCCCGGCATCGATTTCGTTCACAAACTTCCTGGCAGCTGCACCATTGGTGGTGAAGACAGCGGTTCCATTACCATACGGATTCGCATTCACAATGCCAATGGCATCGTCCAGAGTCTCGGCATTCAGGATGACCAGCACGGGGCCAAAGATCTCCTCGGTGTAGCACTTCATGCTGGGCGTCACATCGCTCAGGATGGTCGGGCCCACAAAGTAGCCATCCTCATAACCGGGCACACTGATCTTCCTGCCATCCAGGACCAGCTTAGCTCCCTCCTTCACACCCGACTCGATCAAGTCATTGATGCGCTGCCTGGAGGCGGCACTGATCACGGGACCCACATCCGTTCCGGGCACATGACCGGCATTCACCTTCAGCTTCTGGGCACGCTCGACGAGATCGGGGATCCAGGACTGGGCATCGCCCACAAAGACCGCCGTCGACAGGGCCATGCAACGCTGGCCGGCAGCTCCGAAGGCGGCTCCTGCCAACTGATTCAGGGTATTCTCCTTGTTGGCATCCGCCAGGATGATGCCATGATTCTTAGCGCCCATATTCGACTGCACCCGCTTGCCATTTTTGCCCGCTCGCTCGTAAATATACTTGCCCGCTTGATCGGAACCCACAAAGGAGACGGCCTTGATCTCGGGCGCATCGCAGATGAAGTTCACCGCATCGTGCTGGCCATGGATCACGTTGACCACACCCGGCGGACAGCCGGCCTCGTTGAGCAGCTCCATCAGCAGCATGGTGGCACCGGGCACACGCTCCGAGGGCTTCAGCAGCATCGTATTACCGGTGGTAATGGCCACCGGGAACATCCAGAGCGGAATCATGGCGGGAAAGTTGAACGGAGCCACGCCGGCGGTCACACCGAGTGGCAGGACCAGGGAATAGGTATCCATATCGCGGGCCACATTGGCCACCGTTTCACCCATTTGGAGGGAGGGAATGCTGCAGCAGTGCTCGACCACCTGGAGGCCACGGAGGACATCACCTTCGGCATCGGCCAAAGTTTTGCCCTGCTCCTTGGTGATATTCTTGGCCAGCTCACCCATGTTCTCCTTGATCAAAGCCTGCAGCTTGAACATCACCTGCTGACGGGTGAGGATCGATTGGTTACTCCACGAGCGGAAGGCCTTCTTGTTCGACTCCAGAGCCGCCTGCATCTCCGCCTGGGTGGCCTTGGGCACACGGGTCACCACCTGGTTGGTGGCCGGATCGTGCACGTCGATCCATTCCGACGTCTTCGACTCCACGAACTTGCCGTCGATGAAGAGCTTGGTGGTGGGAGCGGCCGAGGAGTAGGACCTCTTTGCCAAAAGGCGGGCCTGCAAAAAATAGGGATAATATAGTCATTAATATAATGATAAGATGGGAAAATTCTCCTTGATATTTGGAGAAAAAAGGATAGAAGTTTTATTAATAGTATCATAGTCTAATATACTACTTAAAATAATAATAATAATGATATGGTTGAAAAATTCTCCTTGATATTTATGAAGTACAGATTATTTCTAAGGCTTACATAACTTTAACGTTTTAAAAAAAAAAAGTTTAGTAAAATAAAAAAGTTTAGTAAAAAAAATAAAATTACAGATTATTTCTAGGGTTTACATAAATTTAACGTTTAAAAAAAAAAGTTTAGTAAAATAAAATAAATTAAAATAAAATAGCGATCACTGGTAGGGGGTGGTGTTTACCTCCCCGTCTCCAGCGCACCTCACAGTTATAATTAATGGGTTTACGCTTAATTTCACTTTTCGAAAGCAAGTGATACACTTTTGTTGATTGATCTTTAAATTACAATTTATTTACAATCTTTCTGGGTGCCACAATTAGTCGGGAAAGTGGCCAACCCTTGATAACTGTGAGGCGCTCGACCGCCGAAAGTCCTTATGAAAAAGCTCTATTTATGCGAAGCAGTTGCGGAATTAGCACTTGGGAATTATAGCGAGCAAAGGGCTGCGACTGTGCTTTGTTATATTTTGCATAATTTTGTTATTTCTTATTAGAATCTAAAATTCAAACTAAAAAACATTTATTTTTTTTAATTATACCTGTTAAAAAATTTCTTAAAGTTACTTTCTCGATTTAATTTAACTTATTGCACTTGACTTTTATTTGCAATGCAAATTTCCAACTGGCCGGCAATTCTAACCTCAACGCCCTGGACAATTTCGTTTGCGGTGGGGTGAGGTTTATTTTTTGGATGTTGATAACCCTCAAGGTGGGCGGACATGTTCAGGGGGGCGCCACGCCCACGCTTATCAGTGTCCAGCTGGCAGACATGCGTTATTTTTATGGCACGCCTCGCATGGAATTATACCGCTTATCGCGTTTTATTGGATTTTACGCCAGTCCAAACATATTCTACCGCTAAATCCCCCCAACGAGAATTGTTTTTATCTCTGCTCGTGTGCTTCTTCTTGCTCTCGCGTTTTGTAGCGGAACATTACGTAACATGTGTTGTTGTCAATTGGCGATTTCTCACCGCACACACACATCTATACATAACTATTTGCTCTTGATTGATTAAGAAGGTGTGTGCGAGAGAGTGGGATGGGTATAGAAAAGTGCATTTCATTACAATTGGAGAATTCACGGCCAACCCACACATACATGCATACATGATTAGGCAAATTGAGAGATATCTTCAGAGAGAGACAGCAACTACTTGACAACCTGGCAACTCTATTATTTTTATCGTAAATATTATAGGAAATCTATTAATTTCGGTCCCAAAAAATAGGGAAAACTCACCTCAGCACCGATCAAACGCACTAGGGACATCTTGGGGATATTTGTGTAGTTGAGAACTGGGGATCGGGGATCGCGTGCTCTCCAAACGGTGGTTCCACTAGAACTGAACGCAGCCGCCGACTTTCGCTGCCGATGTGGGGGCCTGTGTATTATTCCTATATCCCCACTATATTATATAGTGTGTGCGATGGTGTGTGGCGGTGTGATTGTTGATATACGAGTCAAAAAACTGGATGGCGCGACTACGAGAACGGAGGCGAAGAACACGACGTCAAAAAGTGCTTAACGATAGCAAAATAAAATATAACACATATACATACTATAGAAACGCATACACCTTTAAGAACCTGGCGCACCAGCTGTTGTTTTTGTTGTATTCCAATTGTTATTGGTGTTATCAGTATGGTTGTTGCCGTTCGTTGGGGGCTCGTTGAGTGAGTGTGTGTGCGTGTGTGTTAGTTTGTTTTGCGATGTTTGTCTTTCCAGTCATTTCCCTGCCGGAGGGGCATATTACCTAGTGACGAAAGATCATAAAAAAACAATGACAATTAACAATAATCCTAAAAAAAAAATAAAAATAAGTCAGTTTAAAAGTTTATTTTAAAAAAATTTTATTTGTTATTGAGTTATAAAAAAAAACATATTTCAATGTAATCTTTTTTTTTATATCTGTGGGCTTTTAAGGTTTTTAAATAAGTTTACTTATCATCACCTATTTTTTAAACTGCCCAGCTGGATGGGCATATTAGCTAGTGACGAAAGATCATAAAGGAAAAAAAAGAAATAAACATAATCTTAAAAATATTAAGTGATTTGAACATTTTATTTTAATAAAATATTATTTATTATCAAGTTATATAAACAAAACATATTTAAATGTATACTTTTAAGGTTTTTAATTGAGATTCTTTATAATCACTTATTTTTTAAACTACATAAAAGCGCATAAAGTCTTCGGTGCTGGGCAGATATAATCTTTATTGGGTATTTATAAGCACCCGCTGAGATACAAAATCCAATGTAGTGGTGTTTGTGTATTTTTCCATTAATGTACATATGTATTTTTATGCCGAGGCACGTGTCAACCGGCTTCTGTGTAAGTGAAACTAAAACTAAATCTAATTAAATAGTTATGAGGCTTACTTTCAAGTTGCGCAAAGGAAATTAATCAGCCTAATTGAATATCCTTAATATCCTAAAAATCCCCTGCTGAGCGGCCTAACGGTAAACAAACGCATTTGCTGAATGTGCTAAAAAACGGCAAAGCGCCTGGCAGATCTGATTGTGAATGAAAGTAGTGGCGTTGCCTACTTTTAGGCGCTCGTTCTATTGAAATAATTTCGCTTTTCGCCGGGGCAAACAAAGTTTTTGCTCGGACTTCCGCTTCCTGGTCAACATAATTAAAAGTACTTTCCCTACTACAGCCAGTGTAACGGAATCCGTAGAGCCACACACAAATGTCTGGCTTTCTCTTTTCTTTTTTTTTTGGGGGAGCGTGTTTGTTTTGACTTTCAATGGGACGCTAGGCGCGCTCCTTTCTTCTCTTTCGATAGAGATGAGAACAAAATGTTTATAGTAAAAAAAAATAAATAAAAATGTTGAAAAACAATTAATAAAAAAAAATCCCCAAAAAAAAGATTTTAATGGGAGAAAAATAAGTTTTTTTTATAAATAGCATACTTTTGTATACCTTTACTTAGCAGTTTCAATAGTAGCCATAATAATATAAATAGCATAAATGGATAAAAATAAAAATAAAACAAAAAGTTGTATCATGCTTTATAAATAGTTTGTTTAATTAAATAAACGGCTAAATTAAAAACAAAATATTATAAATAAAATAGTAAAATACATAAAATCTCCTACAAAAGGTAATCAATGATTAAAAAATAAGTTTTATTAATAATATTCTACATTTAAATACCCTTTTTAGCGGTTTCTATTGAAATATAGCCATAAAAGCGCCAGCACTCTCTCTCTCTCTCGCGGAAGCGGAAGCCAACATGTGTGCAGGAGCATATAAATAGCAGGACGACCCGCAGGACTCGCTCATTCTGCTTGGAGAGCTTGGAGTAGAGGAGTGTGCCCAGCGCTCCAGCCGAGGCGCCTAAAATTTGGCAACAACAATCTTGAATCGAGTCTGTTACTTTGCGCAGTCCGGATTTACTACGCTGATTTACTGCCCACTGTCATGCTGAAGCCAGGAAGCTGAAGTTGAAAGGACCTCCAGGATCTAGGAAAGATGGAGACCACTACGGGCTACCAGGACATTAGCGCCCTGGAAAAATCGGTGAGTTAATCGACCAGCAAAATATGAATAGCCACTTATCAGCACAGTGGGGGGGATATTCGCTAGGAACCACTCGACCTGCAGTGAGAGAAAATTGATACGTTCCAAAGGGGTCAATTACATGGCTGGCCATAACAATAAATCGTCAGGCACTTAAGTTCTGATGGCGTTGTATTATTTAAGGTTTCAGCAAGGATCAAGAATACCACTAGACACGCCATGTTTAAGGATCTTTGTTAAGTAGAAATTAAATTCAAGGAAATGGAACTTATATACTTTTAACTATATTTTTAAAATGTTAAGGTTTCATTACCTATTCTCAAGTCTTAAAAATCTTTAACTTAAATTTCATTTGTACAATTGTTTGAGATATTTAAAATATTTTTAAAGCACTCATTGCGAATTCCTAATTCATTTTTTTGCTGCCAAATTTAAATTACGTTTATAACTTCAATTCTGGTTGCAAGAATTGGGTGGGGTAAAACCGACACGAGTTATTTTTAAATTTTAAAACCTTGGGAATCACAAGTCATTTGTTTGCAGTCAAATTTAAATGAAGTGTATAATTTTAATTTTGGTTTGCAATAAATGTAAAAATAATGCTGTACAGAGGAGAGTGGGGTGAAACCGACATGACTCGTTTTTAAAAGGGAGATCTTCAAAATGCTATATATATATTTATATATATTTTTTTTAATAAAACACTAAATAATGTAACAATAATGTGGTACAAAGGAGAGTGGGGTAAAACCGACATGCCCTTTTTTTAAATGGAGATGTTCAAAATGCTAGGTAAATCTGAATCTACATATATATTTTTTTTAAAAATAAAATACTGATTAAATAATAATAATAATATAGTTTAGTTTTCCGAAAATAACCCATTAGTAACCAATAATTTCTCTCTCTGTCTCTTGCCAGGTGGCCAATGCCGGTTCGCAGCTCTATACGATGGCCCACAAGCTGCATGCGGTGGAGCGCAGCCTCGAACAGACGACAATGGAGCAGATGGACGAGATGGAGGTCCTCGAGCTGCTCGAGTCGATGAGCGAGGTGACCAACGAGTATCAGAATCTGCGCAAGGACATTCGCGAGGTGCAGCAGTTGCAGCGTGACGTCAGCAGCTCGATACGCTACCAAATGCGCAGCATGCAGCAGACATTTCACACGCTGAAGCAGCGGATAGCCAGCTCCCAGAAGGGTCGCAAGAAGCCAGAGAAGCCGGAGCAGGTTGGGTCATGAATAATGCATGAGCCTTATTGATTGGCCTCTCGGAAAAACAGCGCCTAACAAGGAGCGGAAAATGTGTCAAAAGGGGGGTAAAGTAGGTACTACACAGAGAAAAAAAAAAGACCAAAAATAGTCATCAATCGGGTATTTTTTTTATATCAATTTCGGTCCGTTCTGTGTTCATATCAAAATGATATTTCCAAACATATGATTTTGTACCATATTTATATGAACGTTCATATTGTTCCTTTTTTTTCTCTGTGTACTTCTATATAGACACCAAAATCTGAAGCAATCAACTGTGTAACTATATATATATCGCAAACACCCACACACTCAAACACACCAAGCATTTAGAGAATCGAGAAAAGATCCTATACTTTATATATATACACACTCGAAGAAAAACCCCAATACCCAATTGTAAGCACACTTATGCGCTATTCACACTATGTTTTTGGGTCTTTTAAGATCATAGAGCATAGTGTGAAGAGCACTTCACAACAGACTTTTAGAGTAGGATGAATAGAGCGGCGTACTTTACGACGAACCGGAATGTCTGAATGCACTTTTCCAAAATTTGCCTTAACATAATCGTATTTTGAGCTAGTTTTTGATACGACACGTTTTAAAAAAATGATAATACCAAGCAACCATTACATATTTTTAAGCTACACACACAATGGCAACCTGTTTTTGGTTAATCTTGTGTTCGTTTCACTTTTGGAGATGCGTTTGTTGAATTCTAGAGAAAATAAAAAGTTAAGCCCACAGAATTTGTTCAAATTTCCCGCCAATTTGGTATTTTTGGTGGTATATAAAGATCGAAAAATTAAATATTCTAAAACTCCGATATCGATTCGATTTATAATTTATATATTATCGATTAAAAAGCTGGCAACCCAGGGCTGACAAAAATAGCCGGTGGCGGTTTTTTTAAACAGTGATTTTTATTGGTTGATTTTAAGTTCAATTTATTGCTTTTAAGTTTGTTTCTTCTGCAGTAATTGTATTGGGAAAAATATAAGTTCACCCTTGTACTTATCTTCTTCAACAAGTGTCCCAACCCCATCGAGCTTTTCCGTCACAAAAAGCTCTGTTTTAACTGGCCCGGTAAACTAAGCGATTTAACCAAATTTTAGTCGCACGCCAAACACAACACGCGAAAGGAATAAAGCGGTTGTCGAGGAAGCAAAAAGAACAAAAAACATTTAAACAAAGCGAAATTTAAAATTTAAAAAATTAAAAAAATCATTTTAAAATATTTATTTATTTTATGATCATTTAGTTTTCTTTTTTTTACGAGTTTCGGTGTAATTTGTGCATCCTGTGGTCCGCCTAGTTGATTTTTGGCTGCCATATGGAAAAGCCGCAACGCACGTGCCGCGAAAACTTTTGCGCCAAAACTAGAAATCCAGGTAACCGGCAGCCTGGTGTCAATGTCCTTTTTTCGATTTCTAGGATCGCGGCAGGAACATTCAAAACGTACGACTTTGATTTGTGGTAGCAACGCACGCGAGTGCACTGCAAAAAATTCATCTAAATTCAGGGTGCGCAAAAGTAGGCAACGAAATGGTGTAGGAACTTCCATTTTCACAGCCCAAAAAAAAGAATTTTTATAAATTTTCCAATCCAAAAAATAATTAATAAACCCCTTACTATAGGAGCATTTTCTGTTCGAGCTATAATACCAGTTATCAATTCGATACTATCATAAAATCATAAAATGATAATAGGTAGTTATTAAATCATTTACGACCGGTGTCTAGAACCACAAAGATTATTTTGCAATAAATTCACTTGTTGTAGAATATTTAAAATGATAAAGAAATTGTATTAAATTTTATAAAAACAAATAGTTATCCCCCCTTTCTCGCCGTGTAATTACGCCACCTGTTGGGCGCCAATTAATAATAATATTTTTTTTTTTGAGCTTAAAGCGCGTGTTTGGAAACTTTCAATCTATTTTTGTGAGCTAGGATAGCAATCAGCTAACGGAAATCGATCAAATTATGGTTTTTTTGGGGGTGTCTTGGTAACGTTACAGTGGATTTTGGGAGGGGTGGGGGTGGTACCTTTCGACAGAGCTGCCAATATTATGATCGCTGGGGAATTTGGTCAGGTTGGACAGGTCTTCCATCAATCAGCGAAAGCGAATGGAGAACGCAATTTCAATTTCGACGAGTGTCACAAAGCAATAACACAAGATGGGCGAAAAGTTGGGTTGTTTTGTGGATAGGGGAGCACTCCCTAATCTCCCAACTTATCGGACAGGGTGGTAATTAATTTTTTTTCGGAACACAACCCATTGACAATGACACGATGATCACGCACTGATAATGCCAACGCCAGTGTCCAGCGGTTGGAAGGGGGTGGGTTCTCTGGGCTCTCTGGGTGAATTCTTTGGGTGGTTCTTTGGGTTGATAGGTGGGTGGCCCAAACGGGTGGGTTACAGCGTCATGCTGGCTGGCGCAGACAGCCGAGGAAAAACCGCAAAAACGTAAAATAAAAATAATAAATAAGAAGAGAGCCGCGATTAGAACGCTTTGTGTGCGGAACGTGCCAAATGGACTCCCATCGGCGGTACTGCAGTACATGTAGTGGTAATAGTAATGAGTTAAGGTAACAGGAGAGCTAACATCCATCATTCGTTGACGGGCTAGCTGATATCCTATGATGTCCTACGATATCCCTTATAAGAAAGGCAATTTACTTGTAAATAATACTATTTATTATATTATTATTACAAACATAATAGTTTAATGTATATGTAAAGCTTAGGTTGATTTATAATTATACAAATATAATAACCCAAAAATCTTTTACAAATACTATACGATTTCTAATAGTAGAGACCACAACTAACATTTAAGGATCCATTGTCTTATATCAGATATATCCGAACCGAATCCTTTGGAAGTGCAGGGATAATAATACCCCATCATTACAGAGACAATTTAATTATAAAAAAAAAAACAATTACAAGTATTATAACAAGTAAAAATATAATAATTAAATGTATATAAAGAAATAAATATACAACGCATTTCGATTGGATTTTTGATCAAAGTTCTGTTTACAAGTTAGGATGGTACATATGTATGTTATTATATTTGTAATGCAAAAATCTGTTAGGGTTTTATTTAGTAGAGACATCATTTTAAAATCCATTATTTTATATCAAATACATATACAATTTAAAGATCCTTTACTTTGTATAGGATCCATGATATCAGATCCCATTTGAAGTGTAGGAACTTTAGGGATATTTTGAAGAAACCCCAACTTTAATGCTTGACCATCCATAATTTGTCCAGCGAACTGGGACCAACTCAACATCCATCCAACCCCCTCACCCTGGTATTATTTTATTGGTTTTGGGGGCTCTGTAACCAACTTAGCATTAATTTAATATAAACCTCTGGGGTGTCACTGCCATTGGCAATACTTTGTTCATTTCGTTGCTGCTGCTGCTGCTGTTGGCGCCGACGCCGACTGCGACGCCGGCAGCGACGGCGACCGCGACAGCGACTGCTTAAAAGCTAAGGACACGCGTTGAGAACGCTCAGTTGGCATCGAGAAGTCGCCTCGCGCGTTTGGCGGCAAACAAAAATTGGAATAAAATATTACTTAGTATTAACCAAAGCGACAGAGAGAGAGAGAGCGACTAGCAACTAGCGCGCACCCACTCGCACTCGCTGGCGAATTGCAAATGCCATAGAGCGGTTAGTTCAAAACAACAAACAAATCAAACCCAAAACCAAGGCGGTGAAAGTCGTAAAAGACATAAATAATAAAAACAATAGTATCACCAAAAAATAGAAAAAAAAACGAGAACGGTAACCCGCGACTCAACAACAATAATAAAAAGTAATGCACTAAAATATTATAAAAAGTATTAAAAAAAACCGGAAAGTGCACAGAAAAAAATATAAATAATATAAATGTAAAAAAATTAGTATTATTAAACGAAAGTGCTTCAAAATAAAAGTGTAAACAAATATTTTATATTTTTTTCTGTGCTTATGATAAGATTTATTTATACGATCTAAAATTATTCTGTATTGTTTTAGGGCCCCAACTTATTTCAAATTTTAGAGAAATATTCAAGATCCCATTATGAAATACATTTTTCAAGTAAAATAGTGAAAACACCAAACTATATTTTTTTCTGTGCTTATGATAACATTTATTTATACGATCTCAAATTATTCTGAATTTTGAAGAGATCATAAAATATAAGTAAAATTTAAAATAGTAAAAACAAACTATATTTTTTTCTGTGCGCTTATAAATTTCAAAGTTTGTGTTTAGTTTGTGTTTTGTGAGCCAGCTGCGGTAATACGATGCGAATTTAACGACGGTCGCATTAATTTATTTTAGTTTGTCTCGCTCCGTTCGAGTTTCTATCTTCTCCGAGCTTCCTCCTCTCGCCACTTGAAAAATAAAAAAATATCCAATATGCATATAGTATAAAACCATGGCGTTTCGCATTTCACGTGGCCCAGCCAAGTACCCAATTTTAATTAAAAACCATTCTGCCGACGATCGCGAGTTTCGAGCATTATGAACATTAGGTATTCATAGCCGTCACGAGATTTGGATCCTCTTTCGATCGATTCAAATCAGATCAGATCGGATCAGATCAACCTGGCCTGGAGACAATGATACCATAACTTATAGATGATATAGTCCGCTGCCTCGGTCGGCGTCTCTGTCGACCGCAGCTGGGTTAACTAGTTTCGAGTTTTGCAAATTTAGCCGCGCATTAATCCGAGCTTTAAGTCCACAGTGGTTATCGGTTAGAAAGTAAGATCGGATGTGCCGAATATCAAGCGAGATTTGTGATAAAGAAGGTTTATATTCCTGTTCTTTAATATAAATAAAAACAGAAACTAATAAGTGTATGTGCTATTTTGAATGAAAAAAATATTTTTTTTCAAAAGTTACTAGTACTTTTTATGTAAAACCATTTAGCTTTTTTTACAGGCCTTTTAGTCCCATACTCTTGTCTAAATATTTCAAAAATATGTTAAAATATGGAAACTTTTTTATGAAAAATTTAGAGGGTGGTAATATTTACTAGAACTTTATTTATTTTATCTTATAAATGATTCGAGATATTGGTATATTTTTTTAAAGTTTTTTCCTTAATATCCAATTTTAATGACCGATTTTTATGTTAGCAGTTTATAAGTTTTTCGAAGGCTTCCAAGAAAGGTGACCCAAAACGACTTGCTTTACAATTTCTTGTGCATTTTTTGTCAAATTCACATTGCCGAATATAGCCAGTGTCCACTGTAATCCACGGCACAACAAACTGTTTGGCTTTGCATCCCCTGCTGAGTTGCCGGCTGCGATTGCGCGAAAAACACGTTGGCCCTGATCGCACGTCACAACAACAACAACAGCAAGAACAACAGCCTACAAAAGGCAAAAACAACAAAATAACCAAGAACAACAATATTGAAAAGGAGATGATATCAGAAGATGATCAGAAAATTATCAGAAGACCTGTCAAAATATTCGAATCTCTGCCTTCTGACAATTGGTGTTCTTCCCCCTTTCAATTCGCCGCCCCTCTTTTGCACAGCCACAGTGAGCACTCGGCACACGAACGGCCTGCGGTCGTGCCAATTAAGCACATATCGATAGTGGAAGATCTGGTTGATTCCGGTGTTGGCCGGTCAGGTCTTAAGTCTGCTCAGATATCTGATAACCTACAGTGGAGCAAACAGTGTAGAAACTCAAAAAAAAAGTTATGCAACGAAAGAGAAAGATGAAATGTTTCAAACAGTGAAAATCTTACTTATTATTCGTTACACTTACATTACATTATACATTTTTGCATAAAATGAATATGTCTAATAAAATAAAAAATGCGTCAAATATATGGAAACATTTATATGAAGAATTTAGAGGGTGGCAATATTTACTACAATTTTATTTATATTGTTTTATAAATTATTCGAGATATTAGTGTATTTTTTTAAATTATAAATCATAATAAATTTAAATATCCCTAAAACTTGATTTCAAAAGTGTGGTATGGATTCTTAAATATATAAAAATACTTAGCGAATACATAAGTATATTACCTTATCTTCAGAACCTGTCCCATTAAATCCCCCCTATTTCTTTGATATTTCCTAACTTGGATTGTTTACCTTGGCTTTTTTCCAGTGCCATCGCCGCTGATGTTGCCAGCGTCGCCGCCGTTGTCGCTCTAACTGCGAACGGACCGCCGAACCGCTGAACTGCTGATCCGCTGAACCACGAGGCAAAATGTCGTCGCAGCAACATGAGGCAGCAGCCAACGCAGCAGCAGCAGCAGCAACAACAGCTCCGCAGATTCCGCTGCATCTGGAGAAGCCTATGAATCTGAACAATGGCTACCTGCAGGCGAATGTGCCGCTGGAGGAGCTGAGTGCCACGGTGGTGTCGCCGCTTTTGGGGCAACAGCAACAGGTGCTGCCACATCAGGTGCAACAGCAACAGCAGCAGCAACAGCAACAGAACAAGTTGCCCACTGTCGTTTTCCTGGCGCCCGACGGCAGTGGCGGCGTGGGAATCCAGCGCTGCAATCCGACGAATCCGGGGAATCCCAATTCCGGCGGGGCATCCTCGGGGGCGGTAGCGGGGGCGGGGCACCACAGCGACTGGCTGCTCAAGGAGTCGCAGCAGCGACGCCGCCTGCTCGTCCTGGCCATCGCCTTCACCGTCCTGGGAGCGGCCATCGGGGCACTGGCCATCTACTTCGCCAGCGTCCACCAGCGATGCCAACTCTACCGCCTGGAACCAGGTAAGGATTAAACAAAGGTATAAAAAATTATAGAAAACAAATTTTTTTTGCATTATTTTTTGAATGCGACATTTTTTTTATTTTTAAAACGATATTTTTGAGTCTTCTCAATCGAAGGTTTATATAAGAAAACAAGATAAAAATGGTTGTAGTACATTTTTTGAATACCGCATTTTATTTTATTTTTCAAACCACTTTTTAAAGGTTGCTTAAAAGAAGGTTTAGATTAAGGAAATCAAAAAATTAATCTATTCAGTTTAAAAAATTTTATAAAAAAGTTAAATATTTTAAAAGATTTTTTAAAGAGTGTTTTAGGTGTTCTAAACAATTAAAGTTAAACAACTAAAAGTTTATTTGCCTTCAATTATATAAAATTCAAAGAACTACGATAAAAAAATAATAAACAATCAAAATAAAAGCTTTAATATATTTGATATTAAAAAATAACTAAAACTTTGAAAATATTCAGTTTTAAATGTTAAAATTTATAGCACAATATTTGTAAACAGTTTGCATTTGATGCCACTCAATTTATTGCCATTCCATCCAATGCTATCTACTGGTATTCGATAAGTATTCTCCTAACGAAACTTCCCGGTGTCATAATGGAATTCGAAAGCTCCGAATTAAGTGGAATCTTTGGAACATGAGTTATTAGTACATGACACATGTCAATCTAAAGAGCTTGGGTCATCAATCATGTTGCCTCTAAGCCACTGAGTCAATATCTCTATCTAGCTGCTATAGAAGAGTTGAATGGCAGTGGTTTTGCACAGAAGGCTAGATGGTAATAAAATAAAATAAACCTGTTGGCAGGACGAACTGGGGCCTTAGTGGGTCAGCGGCCAATCAACAGGCATCCTGTGCTCCTGATTCCTCGGCGTTTTCCCAGTTTTTCCGCCCTTCTGCTCGCCTGTTAACTGAATTTAGCGCCTGGCCGCTGGTGATTCAAACAAATGGAGCAAAAACTCAATTTCCCTGTCCTTCGGGGCAAAGGAGCGCAACAGGCTGAAGCTGAAGGATGCCACCGGTGGATCTGCCGGGGTGTTGTAATCTCCGTCCTGTCCCCTCCTCTCCTCTCCTCCCCGCTTTCCCTTCCCTGAAATGCGGCATGTTTGAAATTCAATTACAGAATATGTCAAACAAGCAGCGGGAAGAACAACAATGACAGCATTCGCTTCCTTGCTTTTGCTTCTGCTTTCGCCCTTTTATTTTGTGGTGCGCCAGTTGTTCGCAGCACAGTGGTGCTAAGTTTGCAGAAATTTAAGGCAGAAAGAAATTTTACTGGAAAAAATATGCGAAGGAAAATTATTGATATAAAAAAAGGGTTTTTTAAATATTTTGTTGGCTTTTAAATTAATGATTTAACAAAAAATGGATTTGAAAATATATTCCTTTAATTTTACCTGATAAATATAAGGTTAAAAATTATGTAAAGGAATTTCTTATTATCAAAATATTCAATTTAATCCCATAAAAAAATATAAAAATCTAAAATTAGTATTAAATTATGAAAAGGTTAAAAATTATTAATAATTTTTAAATATCATTTAAAGATCTCTTTGAATTTTCTTATTAACGAAATATTTAATTAAATCCCAAAATAAAAATTGAAAAGTTTTATTAGAAATGAAAATTCAAATATTCAATTTAATCCAAAAATAAAAATCAAATAGTAAAATATAACAATAAATATCATTTAAAGATCTCTTTCAATTTTCTTATTATCGAAATATTTAATTAAATCCCAAAATAAAAAGTATAAAATAAAAAATTAATATAAAATGGTGAACAAGTTAAAATCAAACATTTTTAAGTAGAACATTTTAAAGATTCGCTATTTTCTTTGAGACAATAGGTCACTGTCTGCCCATTACTTTCTTATCTTTTGTTATCTGTGGATAATGGGTGGGGGGTTGGGTTGGTTGGGTGTTGCTCTAGACTCTCGACTCTCCTCGACTTCCATTTGCATTTGGTCGGGAGCACATGGAATAATGCGATTCAAAGCAACTGAAATATTCAGGAGCTGCGAACCGGGTTGCTCCTTCGAAGGATGTGTCTGTTCTGGCATAAATTACATGTTCATGTGCTCCATCGTTTACAAACACAAAAATATAAATAAAAAACCCAAAAAAAAAAATAGAAACCAAAAAGAAATACGTACAAAAAGCAATCAATCGGCATTGCGCAGGGATGCCTATGAATTTTTTAACGGCCGTTCCAATCGATCGCGTCTTCTTCGTTGGGCTCCTTATGCTAATTGAATATGCACACAAACACGAAAATGGTCGACCATTATCCTGCTTATGTTCACTGTGATAAAACGTGTTTTTAATATTTTGCGCCAAAAATTCATTCATCGAAATCTGAAAACGGATGGCGGGCCATTTCATCGGCATCGGCGGCACCATCAAAGCCTATTCCCTTTTTATAACAATTTAAAAATATATCTTTGGCGGCATCTCTGTAAATACCCAGCATCATCATCATCATCATCATTGTGGTAGGCCTCTGGCCTTGACTATGATTTTCCCCCCGGCCTCCACTTCCACCCCCTTTCAACCCATCGATTTTCTCCTGGTTTCTGCATTCAGGCTTAAAGTGAGTTGATACCATAATTGTGGGAAAAATAAACAAATCAAATTAAGATCAATATTGCTATTTTCGTGATATTTTGCTAAGTTGGCTATATTTTACTTAATTTTTATTTATTTGTAGCCTCGATAAAATTCTTTAAATTATTAAATTATAATTACTGCCTCAATATTAAAGCCTTAATGAAATAATAAAACCAAGCGATAATTTTTAATGGCAAATCAAGGGTATCTAAATCGATTGCCTTTCCTTTTCCGATTTTCCTCCAAGTCCAGGGCATAATGAAATTCACCCAGTGAAATAAAATTGCTGCAGCTCCTGGACATTCAACCCAAAGTAACCAACTTGCCACATGCCACTGGCCGCTGGCCATCGGCCACTTGCGGTCCACTTAAACCTATTAACGCCGGGGCAAATGTTATTAGTTCGGTTCGCTTGGGTTGGGTTCTTGGGTGAACCGCTTTAATTAATAACTAAAGCCGCCATCTCCAACGCGAAGAGTAGCCGCCTCCCCAACGAACATCCCAGTTTTATTGACAGCCTCGACAAGGACGACATGCAACATGTGTCCTGTCCAGGCGGCAATCGATGGCCCATGGGCGGGGTGGTAGGGGGGAGAAAAGGGGGGTGGCAAGCATTTCGTTATTTTAATTTAATAAAGCCAAGGCAGCCGGGGGATGATGATGCGGTTGGGGATGCTCCTCTTTTTAATGAAAAATTCAAATTCAATTTACTTGAGTGGCCCGCGAATCCAACCCTCCAACCCCCTAAAAATACACATTGCTCATACGCCACGTGTGCCGGCGGTGAATTGAAAAACTGGCAATACTGAACACTCAATACTCAACGAATCTGGCAACTCTAATTGCAGGCAACGATGACAGACCGACCGGCAGGTGGAGCCAGGACTCGGGATCCGCCCACGAGGGTCTGGAGAACATTTGCATGACCCAGGAGTGCGTGAGAACAGGTAAGCTGAGATCCACTTAAAAGTGTCGGGGGAACGGAAATCCAGAAAAAATAGAGACAAAGAAATTGCATTCGAAATGGTACCACGATATAATTATAATGACTACACAGAGAGAATTCATTTGAGTTAAAAATTGTATTTAAAGTAGAACGAGATTTTTTAAGTTAATGTGGGTTTAATGTGCTTGAATCAAGTTATATCGGTATTTTCATTGTTGCTCTCACTAAGTAAATACTTAGTCTAATCAGTAATCTTAAATTTATCAAATAATTGTTATAAAACTCAATTAAACTTTTCCCTTCTCTCTCAAAAAATGTGTTTATAAGAACGAATGTTCTCTATACAAGAACAATTGTACTTTCATTTTTCTCTCCGTGTACCTAAGGTAGAACTTCTTAAAGTTGTGGTGAAATAAATTGTGGGTAGAAACTCACTTTTTTGTTTCGAAAAAATCGCTTAAATATTTAAACATATAACTTTAAATCAGGGGTGCTCAATGAGGGTCAATTTGTTTAGGACGCCTAGGTTCCTACACAGAGAGAATTCTGACGTTCCTTAGAACTAATGTTCTATTTGTTATAAGGTTTAAGGTTAAGTTTAACTATAGGAATCTCGACTGTACTTTCAGACGTTCCGATATCGGCTGAATTTAGGGAGAACGAAGGGTGTCAGGGCCTTACACAACCGTCCAATATGTGCGGTTTTTATTTGAGTTGTAAATTATTTATCAGCTATTAAGATAGCACTTAGCCCGTTTGTCAAGGGGAACGGAATGAGGGGTAATGGGCCAACGGGGTAATGGGGAGTACTATTCGATGGGGACCGAAACATCTGCTCCACAAACATGTCCATTCGAAATGCACTTATGTCAAGCAATGCGGGCAGCCAGCAACACCTCAAAGTCACTTGCCAAGGAAATTGCCCCAGTGATTGACTGCTTGGCATGCCGTTGGATATGGATACATGGATACATAGATACAAAGATACATAGATTCATGGATAGATTGATAGGTACACCTGTCCGGGTGCAGGACACTTCCTGAAATATATATAGGGCCACAATTACCCGGCGATGCAATCGATTCGAGTGCTCCACTTAGCATACTTTTTGGGGTGTACTACGTGGGCGAACCCCTCAATTAAGTGGTCCACCCCAAAACCTTAATTGAACCAAAAAAATCCAGCCGCTTGAGAGTTATTGGAGTTCAAGTAATATTTAACCAGAAAGAAAATGAGATAGGAAAATCCCCAGTTCCAAGAATTCAATTTTCGCCCTACACACAAAAAAAAAGGTTTTGTCGGATTAATATTACTTAATGTAAAATCGATCTACGTTTCATGTAGATTTTTTTTTTTGTGTAATATTTCTTTGGTTTCTTGACTAGAGCATAAATCAATAATGGCTTTCCGCGAAGTGGAAGTGAAAAATCTGCAAGGTGAGGGACACGCTAATGAATTTCGCACTTGCTTCGCCGCGGTAATGAATTTCAGCTGAGGGATGACGTTGATTTATGGACTGGAATGCAGGTCTATCTCTGTTACAAGCTATTAGTTATTAGTTCCCAACTTTCCGGTGAAAAGTTTGCATCCTCTTTATCGCTTATCTACAAAAGTTTTTCGGCCTGCGATGATTTGTGGGCCAAGTTTATGGCCGGTGCGATCAAAGGGCGGCATAAATTATGGCCTAAACTAATTGCAGGCCAGCTGAGGGGTTTCCCAGGTTTACTGTTCGATATGCTTTCATTCCTCGCCAATCTAATCCAATCCAGCGGCCTCGCTGCTCTCGGCCATGGACCTCAACTCGGATCCCTGCGAGGACTTCTTCCAGTACGCCTGCGGCACCTGGAACAAGATGCATCCCATTCCCGAGGACCGCAGCTCCATCAGCACCTTTGAGGTTTGATTTGATGTTTAATTTTAAGATTCCTTGGGCTAAGATCATTCTGATACCCCGCAGGTCCTTTCCGATCAGCAGCAGGTCATCCTGCGGGCGGTGCTCGAGGAGCCCATCGATGAGAGGGACAACAGGGCCACCATTAAGGCGAAGACCTTCTTCAAGAGCTGCATGGATATACGTGAGTTGATATCTAGAATAGAAATGCATGTACATTTCATAACGTTTTTACATGAAGTACTTTGAAGTACTATCAAGTTATAATTGATATTACATAATGTAAAAAAGATCTACGTTTCATATCGATTTTTTTTGGTGTAAGGATTAGTGAATAATAATTTCCTACACACAAAAAAAAAGTTCCCGTAAAATTGATATGTGAATGTAAATTTCTGGTTATGCAAAACCCATATTGTTTTTACATGAAATACTATTTCAACCAGGTCAAATTTACCTGGCCACATATCAAATTAAAATTGATCTTAAATAATGTTAAATCGATCTACGTTTTATATCGATTTTTTTTTGGTGCAAGGATTAGTGAATTTTTATTCCCGATATCATATCATAAAGTACTCTTTTCGACCGGGTCAAATTTACCTGGCCACATATCAAATTACAATATGATCTTAAATAATGTAAAATCGTTGTACATTTCATATTGATTTTTTATCATAACCCACAGCCCAAATCCGCAAGGTGGGAACCGGTCGACTGAGGGAGGTGCTGCGCTCCCTGGGCGGCTGGCCGGTCATCGAAAAGGACTGGAGGCCGCCCGAGGATCTCTCCGTGGAGCGGCTGATGGGCCAGCTGCGGCTCAACTACAGCGAACCGGTGATGATCGAGCTGTATGTGGGGGCCGATGACAAGAACAGCTCGGTGAACATCCTGCAGATGGACCAGCTGCAGTACGCCCTGCCCTCGAGGGACTACTATTTGAAGGAGAGCAGCGCCAACGATCGCAGGGCCTATCATCGGTACATGACGCAGGTTTCCCTGCTCCTGGGCGCAGATCCCTCCACCGCAGCAGAGGAACTGGAGAAGGTGGTGCTGTTCGAGACGCAGCTGGTGAATGCCTCGTTGCCGGAGGCGGATCGCCACGACACGAGTCTCGTCTATCGCAAGATGTCGCTGCCGGAGCTGCAAGATCTAGTGCCCGAGGTGCAGTGGCAGGAGTATCTGCAGGCCGCTTTGGGGGCGGGTATTCCGCTGCAGGAGGACGAACCGCTGGTCACCTACGGCCTGCAGTATCTCACCGAAATGGGAAAAATCCTAGCACGCACCGATCGTCGCGTGGTGCACAACTATATGCTGTGGCGCCTGGTCATGTCCCTCATGTCGCACATGATCGACGAGTATCAAAGGGAGCGGGTGGAGTTCCGCAAGATCCTCATGGGCATCCAGTCGGAGCGGACGCGATGGTCGCAGTGCGTCGAGTGGACCAACAAGAAGCTGGGCGTGGCCGTGGGCGCACTGTTCATCCGGGACAACTTCAATCAGGAGAGCAAGGAGGTGGCCCTCGAGATGATACACACCATACGGGCGGCCTTCAACGAGCTGCTGGCCGAGAACGATTGGATGGACGACGAGACGCGGGCGGTGGCCAAGGAGAAGGCGGACTCGATGAACGAGCGGATCGGCTATCCGGAGCTCCTAACTAATTCCACTGAGTTGGAGCAGGAGTATGTGAATGTGGGTATACTTCAGTTTCACTAAAAAAATTATTCTCCCTGAATTATAGAAATGAAGAAAATTTCTAGAATTCAAGGCGATTTTTTCTCAAAATAAAAAAAATGTACTACTTGGTAAAGAAAATGTTCTTCAAATTAATCAAAATTTATTAAATATAAAAATTTTTTTTAAATATAAAAAAAATCGCCAGTGAAGCAAATTTCTAAAATTCAAGGCGAATAATTTTTTGAGTGTATATTTTATTATTATCATATTTAACCCTATAACCCCCCTTCAGCTGACCATCGTTCCCGACAACTTCATCAATAATGTGCTGAGCATCCTGCAATGGGAGTCCGAGAAGATGCTGCGCCTCCTCCGCCAGCCGGTGGACAAGGAGAAGTGGACCACCGAGCCGGCGGTGGTGAATGCCTTTTACAATCCGAATAAAAACGATATAGGTGGGATTATCTAATCTCTCATCATTCTCATTTATATCATCCCATGTATTTCGTAGTATTTCCCGCTGGCATCCTGCAGCCGCTGTTCTACAGCCAGCACTTCCCCAAGTCCCTGAACTACGGCGGCATCGGTGTGGTCATTGGCCACGAGATCACCCACGGATTCGACGACAAGGGGCGGCAGTTCGACAAGAAGGGCAACATGATGCAGTGGTGGAACAACGCCACCATCGAGGCCTTTCGGGAGCGGACGCAGTGCGTCATCGATCAGTACTCGCGCTACAAGATCAACGAGGTGGACATGTTCATGGACGGTCGGATGACGCAGGGCGAGAATATCGCCGATAACGGCGGTCTCAAGCAGGCCTTTAGGGTACGTCCGCATAATAATTTAATTTAATTTCATTGGGTACCCCCTTTTTCGACCAAGTTACAGCAAAAAAAAACAAAAAGTAAAAATTCCAATTTTTGTCAAAAACTGAAATCGCGAATTTCCAAAAAAAAACAAAACCCGTTTTTTCGCTAAAACGTTGCAGTTTTTTCGCTATAACAAAGCAAATACTGATTCAAAGTATGGATTGTCATATCTTTCTGAACTCGTTATTAAATTTCCTAACGATTGGCATTTAAACCTTGACAATTTATTCATTTTTAATTTTTCGCAAAAAATCATGGGGTACCCCCTTATAAAAAAATTAAAAATTGGCGAAAATTTTATTTTTCCCAAATCACACGGAAAGTTTTATGAATTTATAGCAAATTTTGTTATCTGTTCAAAACAGTATGAATTTTTGGTGTAGGACCATTTTTGGCCAAGTTACAGCAAAAAAACAAAAAGTAAAAATTCCAATTTTTGTCAAAAACTGAAATCGCGAATTTCCAAAAAAAAACAAAACCCGTTTTTTCGCTAAAACGTTGCAGTTTTTTCGCTATAACAAAGCAAATACTGATTCAAAGTATGGATTGTCATACCTTTCTGAACTCGTTATTAAATTTCCTAACGATTGGCATTTAAACCTTGACAATTTATTCATTTTTAATTTTTCGCAAAAAATCATGGGGTACCCCCTTATAAAAAAATTAAAAATTGGCGAAAATTTTATTTTTCCCAAATCACACGGAAAGTTTTATGAATTTATAGCAAATTTTGTTGTCTGTTCAAAACAGTATGAATTTTTGGTGTAGGACCATTTTTGGCCAAGTTACAGCAAAAAAACCAAAAGAAAAAATTCCAATTTTTGTCAAAAACTGAAATCGCGAATTTCCAAAAAAAAACAAAACCGGTTTTTTTGCTAAAACGTTGCAGTTTTTTCGCTATAACAAAGCAAATACTGATTCAAAGTATGGATTGTCATACCTTTCTGAACTCGTTATTAAATTTCCTAACGATTGGCATTTAAACCTTGACAATTTATTCATTTTTAATTTTTCGCAAAAAATCATGGGGTACCCCCTTATAAAAAAATTAAAAATTGGCGAAAATTTTATTTTTCCCAAATCACACGGAAAGTTTTATGAATTTATAGCAAATTTTGTTATCTGTTCAAAACAGTATGAATTTTTGGTGTAGGACCATTTTTGGCCAAGTTACAGCAAAAAAACCAAAAGAAAAAATTCCAATTTTTGTCAAAAACTGAAATCGCGAATTTTCAAAAAAAAACAAAACCGGTTTTTTTGCTAAAACGTTGCAGTTTTTTCGCTATAACAAAGCAAATACTGATTCAAAGTATGGATTGTCATACCTTTCTGAACTCGTTATTAAATTTCCTAACGATTGGCATTTAAACCTTGACAATTTATTCATTTTTAATTTTTCGCAAAAAATCATGGGGTACCCCCTTATAAAAAAATTAAAAATTGGCGAAAATTTTATTTTTCCCAAATCACACGGAAAGTTTTATGAATTTATAGCAAATTTTGTTATCTGTTCAAAACAGTATGAATTTTTGGTGTAGGACCATTTTTGGCCAAGTTACAGCAAAAAAACCAAAAGAAAAAATTCCAATTTTTGTCAAAAACTGAAATCGCGAATTTCCAAAAAAAAACAAAACCGGTTTTTTTGCTAAAACGTTGCAGTTTTTTCGCTATAACAAAGCAAATACTGATTCAAAGTATGGATTGTCATACCTTTCTGAACTCGTTATTAAATTTCCTAACGATTGGCATTTAAACCTTGACAATTTATTCATTTTTAATTTTTCGCAAAAAATCATGGGGTACCCCCTTATAAAAAATTAAAAATTGGCAAAAATTTTATTTTTCCCAAATCACACGGAAAGTTTTATGAATTTATAGCAAATTTTGTTATCTGTTCAAAACAGTATGAATTTTTGGTGTAGGACCATTTTTGGCCAAGTTACAGCAAAAAAACCAAAAGAAAAAATTCCAATTTTTGTCAAAAACTGAAATCGCGAATTTCCAAAAAAAACAAAACCGGTTTTTTTGCTAAAACGTTGCAGTTTTTTCGCTATAACAAAGCAAATACTGATTCAAAGTATGGATTGTCATACCTTTCTGAACTCGTTATTAAATTTCCTAACGATTGGCATTTAAACCTTGACAATTTATTCATTTTTAATTTTTCGCAAAAAATCATGGGGTACCCCCCTTATAAAAAAATTAAAAATTGGCGAAAATTTTATTTTTCCCAAATCACACGGAAAGTTTTATGAATTTATAGCAAATTTTGTTATCTGTTCAAAACAGTATGAATTTTTGGTGTAGGACCATTTTTGGCCAAGTTACAGCAAAAAAACCAAAAGAAAAAATTCCAATTTTTGTCAAAAACTGAAATCGCGAATTTCCAAAAAAAAACAAAACCGGTTTTTTTGCTAAAACGTTGCAGTTTTTTCGCTATAACAAAGCAAATACTGATTCAAAGTATGGATTGTCATACCTTTCTGAACTCGTTATTAAATTTCCTAACGATTGGCATTTAAACCTTGACAATTTATTCATTTTTAATTTTTCGCAAAAAATCATGGGGTACCCCCTTATAAAAAAATTAAAAATTGGCGAAAATTTTATTTTTCCCAAATCACACGGAAAGTTTTATGAATTTATAGCAAATTTTGTTATCTGTTCAAAACAGTATGAATTTTTGGTGTAGGACCATTTTTGGCCAAGTTACAGCAAAAAAACCAAAAGAAAAAATTCCAATTTTTGTCAAAAACTGAAATCGCGAATTTCCAAAAAAAAACAAAACCGGTTTTTTTGCTAAAACGTTGCAGTTTTTTCGCTATAACAAAGCAAATACTGATTCAAAGTATGGATTGTCATACCTTTCTGAACTCGTTATTAAATTTCCTAACGATTGGCATTTAAACCTTGACAATTTATTCATTTTTAATTTTTCGCAAAAAATCATGGGGTACCCCCTTATAAAAAAATTAAAAATTGGCGAAAATTTTATTTTTCCCAAATCACACGGAAAGTTTTATGAATTTATAGCAAATTTTGTTATCTGTTCAAAACAGTATGAATTTTTGGTGTAGGACCATTTTTGACCAAGTTACAGCAAAAAAACCAAAAGAAAAAATTCCAATTTTTGTCAAAAACTGAAATCGCGAATTTTCAAAAAAAAACAAAACCGGTTTTTTTGCTAAAACGTTGCAGTTTTTTCGCTATAACAAAGCAAATACTGATTCAAAGTATGGATTGTCATACCTTTCTGAACTCGTTATTAAATTTCCTAACGATTGGCATTTAAACCTTGACAATTTATTTATTTTTAATTTTTCGCAAAAAATCATGGGGTACCCCCTTATAAAAAAATTAAAAATTGGCGAAAATTTTATTTTTCCCAAATCACACGGAAAGTTTTATGGATTTATTTATTATTTTGTTATCTGTTCAAAACAGTTTGTATTTTTGGTGTAGGACCATTTTTGGCCAAGTTAGAGCAGAAAAACAAAAATAAAAAAGTCATATATTTGTCAAAAACCGAAATCCTGAAATTGAAATAGTCAAGATTTGTAATGGCAAATTAGGAGCACTCTACTTTGGTGGGTGATGTATAGCACTGGTTAGTTAGAACCGTCGCCGAAACTTGGAAACGTTTTGCAAATACATATATCACTTATGACCCATTCGATCTTCTCCTTCACAGGCCTACAAAAAATGGGAGACATTGCACGGCCGGGAGCAGCAGTTGCCCGGCTTGAACATGACCCACGACCAGCTCTTCTTTCTCAACTACGCCCAAATCTGGTGCGGATCGATGAGGCCGGAGGACGCTCTGACCAAGATCCGGTCGGCGGTCCACTCGCCGGGCTTCGTCCGTGTCCTGGGGCCACTTTCGAATTCGCGCGACTTCGCCAGCGCCTACAAGTGTCCGCTGGGCAGCACCATGAATCCGGCGGAAAAGTGCAGCGTGTGGTAGTCCGCCGTCGTTGCCGTCGATGTTTTTTTTATATATTTATATTGCATACTATATAGTATATACATCCCTAGGTACACACACAATACGAGTACTGTAGTAGATCACCTGCGGCCACAGACAACCACAAACAACAGCTGTTCTGTTACAATTTTTTGTGTAGTTTCCTTTTTTTTTTTTTTTTACTCCGATTGTTCTAGCGCAGCGATGCATATATGTACTTTATACCTGGCTATATAGATTTATGGTGTGTTTGTAGCGGAATAGCCCACAAAAAAAAGCGCCCTGAGACCGCACCTTTCACCAACCTCCTTACCGACATTATATTCGTGAATAAAGAACAAGTACGGAAATCGAATGTTTTTCAGGTGGGGAAAATGCGTAATGCGTAAGTAAAACTGATCCACAATTTTTTGTTTTTTTTCAAATTCTCTTTAATTTATAATGCTTCTTGTTTTTGTTTCGCTGCTTTACATAGTATGTGTTCTCAGTATATATGTACGTATCTAGTGGAACCAATCGAACCATTCAAATTATACGCAAAGGGCACGCAACGAAATGATTACAACTTGACTATTGGCTATTTGTCTAACAGAGTTTCGGTTCCTTACTTTGCAGCAGAGGATAGTGCTTAGTTTCCTATGACCTTGCTTAAACAATTTCACATTTAATTGGCTTATTTTAGTTTGCAAAGAATCAATGGTTTTCGAGGGGTTTTCTTGTACCTGCACGGAGCTAAAAGCTAATTTGCTTAGGTTTGCATTTCGTTGGCCTTTATGGCATTAAATTTAAATTTAACTCACTTTTTCTAATTTAGTTGTTGGCTTTGGTTTTTTGCGTCTTGCGTTTTGCTTTTACTTTTTCTTTACCTTTTGTTTTTCATTTATTAACTTATGTTTTGTAGCAGTTTACCTAATTATTAATCAACAAGAAGAAACGCTTTTTATAGTTGCTTTACGCTTCGCACAAAAAAACCGACTCACACAACTAAAGTTAAAAACGAATGTAGTTTCATTTGGTTTACTTCAAAGCGGCTACATTAAAAAATTACAAAAAAAAAGTTCAAAACTACTAGCGCATTAACCTATAAACTTCATGCTTTCTTTTAATTTTATTTGTATTTTTACTTCCATGTTGTATTTTTGTATTTTCGGTTTCCATTTATTAGTAGGCTTAAGTAGTTATTTTGTTTTGCTTTGTTTTTCGTTATTATTCCTTCGTCCTTCGTCCTGCCTCGAAAATAGTTTTCAGAGTTGCTTTTTTAGTTACGCGAGGCACTGCTTGCCATCACCGTTACATTTCGCACTGCTTGCTTGGTGTCTGTGTGGGTGTGGTGAGTTTGTGGCATGTGTGTTTGTGTTTGAGAGAGAGAGAGAGGGAGTGGGAGCTTAGAAAGAGACAGAGACAGTATCTGATACATTTGTCATGTATACATATATGTATAAATGTGTATATATATATATTCGTAGAGAAAGGCACAGATGAAATTATCGTATCGTAATTAAATTTGTTGCTTCTTCTTTTCCTCGCTTTCGCCCGAACCGTTTGCTAAGTTTGATTTTAAAGTTTATCTAAACTGGAGAGCTCCTTCACTTCGGTTTTTACAGTGTGTACAAAGAGTGTAAAATTGTTTTCATTCTTAGATCTTTGGTTTTCCTTGAAAAATTAGCTTAGACCATGTTGAAAAATTGACAGTGTTAAGTTAGTGTTCTTCTCGATTCCTCGACTCCTCGCTCCTTGTCTTGTTCTACATAGTTATGCCTTCTGAAGAAATATCTTGATACTCTATTGTAATTCGTTGATAGTTCCATATATACACTATATATAGTCATTAAACATTAATCTTTAAATTTCTACTACGATTCTCTTGGTTTTTTCTTTATAAATGCTACTTTTTAAAGTTCTTCTTGTAGTTCTTGATGCCTTGCTCTTTGCTTTCTTTTTTTTTTTTTCTGTTTAGGTTTGAAAGTAATTTTTTTTTATAAAAAAAAACATCCTGAATACCCTTTCTGCGTTGGCACTGTTTTTCGGATGTCTGTTTCTTTTCTTTAGGGGGGCGGGTTCTTGAAGAATTGGAAGCCTTTTAGGGGGAGATAGAGAGACAGACAAGGGAGATTTAGCAAAGATTGTCGACCAGATCGTAATAGCTATCTGTATGGGTATGTGTGTGTGTTTAAGTACCTAAGTAAATTCGTTTGCACAAAGTTCTTATTATTTGTTCGGTTTTTCCCTTTTCCGAATCCTTTTTTTTTGGGCACGGTAATCTTGACCCTGGAACAACGCAGTTTTATTCGTTTTTAGGTTAGGTACGATCTTAAGTTCTACAGTTCTCTATTGCTTATCAATGGGTTCGCTCAGATGGCTCTTTTTTCTTAGTTTTTCTTAGTTTTTCCCCTGGCTTAGCTACGTAAAATACACTCGAATACATATGTTTACATACAGGCCTTCTATATACAGATAGCATTGTGGTGTGTGTTCTTTGTTCTTTGTTTTACACAAACGTTTAAACTTTAAGAGCTAATCACAGAGTTGATGATTCTTTGTTCACAAATTTCCATCATTTTTGTTTCGAATGCAGTATCCCTATAAGTAACTGTATATGTAATATAACTGTATATATGTAAATCGCATATAACACTTGTATATAATCCATCGTCGTCATCTGGGTAATCATTTGCTTTCGACAGCTACATTTAAACGGAAAACACTCTAATCAACTTGAAACTTAGCTATCTTTTTGACTGCTTTTTTTTAGTTTTTAGTTCTTCTTATAAGTTCTGCTTGTTAAAGTTATGAAAACCGTAGGATTGCACTAAAAACAGTTGACAATTTAGCTTACTAGCTTTTCTCCTCATTATTTTTTGCTTTACCTAACTTTGCTTTCAATTTTATTTTACTGGTTTTTAGTTTCGTTTTTTCTGGCTAAGAGTTTGCTATCGATTAATCATTCATTCTTCGATCTTTTATGCCTAAAGCCTAATGTTATAGTTATAGTTTTTAGAAAATTCCCTAAAGTATTCTTTAATGGCGGCCAGGCGTACGTTATAGAGAATATATAGATCGATTTTTGGGGGGGTTGAAAGTAAGCTCCTTCCGCGTTTCCAGTTTACAGGATAGACAAACTCTGGGTTATCCTAGCTATCATCCTTGTTACTATATAGTGTACGGCTATCCTGGCCCTAGTTAGAGATAACTACTGTTTAAGATTTGCATTTAGTCCATGGAGGACTGTGGCGACTTGACCAGGAGCAGCTCCTTGTAGTCGCTGTCCCTGTCCTCCGCCTCGTTGTCCTGATCCTGATCCTGTTCGGGCTCCCTCTGCTCCCTTTGATCCATGCGCCTGCGCTCGCTGATGATCCTCAGGATGTCCGAGGAGTCGGACTTGGTGACTCCCTGGGCTGCTGCGATATCCGGCAGGACTTTCCCCGGCTCCCCGGGTATGTCCAGCGAACTGGAGGAGGCTATGACGGGCATGATGGATCCTGAAGCCGTGGGCAAAAGCAGTGAACTCTCGTCCATGTCGGCATCCTCGTCCAAAGCCTGCTGCTTGAAGAGCTGCTTGGTGCTGCCACTGCGACTGCGCGGCGGCATGGATCTGGGAACGGAGAGGAGCAGGCTGCTCCGCAGGCTGCATCCCTGGTCCACCGACTGTGACCAGCCGAAGGGTCTCCGCGGTGGCGGATGCGCCATGGCCATGGGCGTGGGCGTGGGCGTTGCTATGGGCAGGGACAGGGGCGGCGGCGGGTTGGGCACCAGGGCACTGACCACCGACAGGGCGGTGGACACATCTCCCATCTCCGACTCCTCCAGGTGGCCCACGTCGGCACTGCGCACACTCCGTATATCGTAGGAACCACCACCACCCACTCCGCCACCCACTCCGCCCCCATCCGACTCGAGGCTCTCGAAGATCGTGCCCCTCCGGCAGTCGAGGGCATCTCCGCCCCAGGGCAGCGAGTCGCAGCTGGTGCGCTTGGCCTCCAGATTTCGACGACGGATTGCCTGATCAACGGGGGAAAAAAAAGATTAATTACTTTTGCCAGTTTTGGGATTATATTAATTCCTATGAAATTTTTTTTATTTTTTTTTTTTTTATAGTATTTTAAAAAATATTGGCACAGGTTTTAAGCTCATCAGCATTTGTAAGATTTTATAAAATTGTGATGATTTCTCTACAAAAAAAGGTTTCATTTTGTACTGCTGATATTTTTTACTTTAATGTAGATAAGATGTAGATAATGTGGAAGTAACAAAATCACTGTAAAGCAGTGCACCCATTTGTATGATATAATTTAATATTATAATAGTTTTCAAATTGCAAAAAATAATCTATTTTTTTTACCAAATGTATAAAAATTGTCTGAAAATAATCGTTTTAAATTTTGAAATCTGAGTACTAAATATTTAAAAAAAATATTCTATAACTTTTATCAAGATAAGACAACAACAAACTTTAACCGCTTTAACTTTAGCTTTAACTTTAACTTTTATAATCTATTTTTTTAGCAAATGTATAAGAATGGTCTTAAAATAATCGTTTTAAATTCTGAAATCTGAGTACTAAATATTTTAAAAAAATATTCTATTACTTTTAACAAGATAGAAAATGACAAACTTTAACCGCTTTAACTTTAACTTTAATAATCTATGTTTTTTTAGCAAATGTATAAAAATGGTTTGAAAATAATCTCTTTAAATCCTGAAATCGGAGTACTTAATATTCTTACAAGATATTCTCTAACTTACCCAGTAGGATTGACCGCCCCAGGGCAGCGACTCGCAGCTGGTGAGCTTGGCCTCCAGGTTCTTCTTACGGAGTGCCTGCTCGTCCAGGGATCGCTCCTTGGACAGCACGCCGCGCTTGCGGAAGCCGGCGGCCGCGGAGGCGCGACGCCCGCGACGGCGATTGTCCAGCGGCGGCAGCGGGAGGCCGGCCACGCCCACAGCCGGCGGTTCGCCCGTTACACCTCCACCTCCACCTCCCGCCGTTGCCGTCGCTGTGCCGCCGAAGGGCTCGCCCAGCCGGGCGCCGAGCGCCTGAGGCGTCAGCGTGCCGCCCATTTCGGCGAGACTCAAGCCGAGCATGGATTGTGGTGGCTGCTGGAAGTACTGGACGGTCTGTCTGCGTTGACCGGATGCTCCAGTTGAGGCGGCTCCAGAACCCGCACCCCCACTAGGGGTAGTCGCCACCCCCATGGCCACCGAGCTGGTCATGCTGGAACTGGGATTCGCTGTGCCCGTCGCTACTGGCAGTGGGAACTTCTTGTCCAGCGAGGGCGTACTGTAGATAAAGTTCTTCGGCAGCGATTTGACCTTGGCCAGGGGGCGCGGGGGAGCGGCCGCCTTCGATTGCGCCTCCGCCAGCTGCTGGCACAACTTTTGCTCCTGGGCGAACTCCTGCTCGCGGACCAGTTCGCGCTCCAGCTCCACCTCCATGTCGAGCTCATCCTCCATTTGCTTGTGGCTCTCCTCGAGGTGTTTCATCAGTACAGCCACGACGACATTGACCAAAACGAATTGCGCCATCAGCACGAATATCACAAAGAATATGGGAGCAATAACCGAGCTGACGCAGCAATTGCGCACGCAATCGGCTGCGTCATCGCAATTATCCCTCAGCGTGTCCTTCATGATGCCGTTCCAATTGTCGCCAGTCGCTACGCGAAACAATGTGAGGAAAGCCATGCCAAAGTTGGCGAAGTGCGCGTGCTCGCCCAATCCCTGGCAGGGTATCTCATCGGAGCACTCGAGTCGCCCGAACAGCTCCACGCCCAGCGCCGCAAATATGAAGAAGAGCAGGAAGAAGAGCAGTCCGAGATTGCCCACCTGGGGCAGGGCCTGCATCACGGTGTCCAGCAGCGCCCTAATGCCCTTGGCCATTTTGAGGAGCTTCAGCACTCTCGCTATCCTGAGTACCCTCATCACCCGGATGATCGTGGGATTAATGGGTATTATCTTCGTTTCCAGCTCCTCCAGGACAATGCCCACTATCGAGAGCAGGACTATGCCCACGTCCAGCTGATTCCAGCGATCCTTGAGGTAGAGTTTCCAGCCCAACGCCACCAGTTTCATGTTGGCCTCCAGTATAAAGACTGCGGTGAAGAAGTAGTTGAAGATCTTGAGGGCGTACTTCAGCCCACTGGGCATCATGTAGTACTCCATGGCCATGGTGACCACATTCAGGCCAATCACAGCCGCAATGGCGAGGTCAAAGTACTTCGAGGTCACCACATTGTGCACGAACATTCGCGTCGGCGAGTAGTTGGTGTAGTAGGGTGGTTCGTGCATTCTCCTCCGCTTCTTTTCCATCTGAAGAGCCCGCTTCGCCGCCCGCCGAATCTTCTCCTCCTTCTCCTGCTCCTCGCGACACCGATGGAAATTCTCCACCACCACGCCAACGAACATGTTGAGCACAAAGAAGCCCACCAGCAGAATGAAGGCGATGAAGTACAGTAGCCTCCACTCGTTGTAGTTGACTATCGGTTGTTGATCGACGCCCACGGCATCGAGTCCGGTATACATGATGTTCACCCAACCGTCGCGGGAACTCAGGACGAACAGGGACATCAGCGCCTTGCCGAGATCATCGAAATTGTACTTTCGATTTGTCCAAACATTGCCCGGTATGCGGCGACATTCGTCCGCATTGCGAACGCCCTTGATGTTCTCGCCCTCGCAGTAGTAGAAGGTGCCCTTGAACAGCTGGACGCCCAGGATCCCAAAGATGATGAAGAAGGTGCAGCAGATCAGCACGATGTTGCCGATGGGACGCAGGGACGATAAGAGCGTTTGCACGACTAGTTTCAGACCCGGGGCTCGGTTGATCACCCGCAGCGGCCGCAAGGATCGGAGTAGTCGAAACACCTACAAGGATATCATTTTTTTTTTTTCGAGGGGAGAGAGCAAAAAGGACGAGAAGAGAAGAGTGATTGTGGTTGGTGCATCGGCTACACTGCTTTATCGGCGGCGCTTTTGCACCGCTTGCTCTGCGGCACTTCGGCCAGCGGCCGCCAGGCGGCGCCACACATATATGTAGTAAAAGCATGAAGTAAATACCATGTAGATATACTCAGGATGAAGGCAACATAAGCGAAACTCTCAACGAAAACACACCAGATATGGTTTAAGGTTAAACAAATACAAATCATATGATATTAATATATTGTTATATAGGTGATAACTTGATAATCAAAAGGTGCCAATATGAAAAATAATTTATTAACCGCACTGGTGTGTTGCAACAAATGGGATAACTTTAACTTTAATCGGGGAATACAAATATGGCAACATTGCTTGAACAAGAAAGCAAGGCGATGGTAATTGATTGATTCGTAAAAATACAACAAGATGGGACGATTGCATTTATAGCTAGATGGAGATGTTTTGGGTTTCGATTGGAGTGGAGTGGTGGCTTAACTTGTATAGGGGTATGACACTAACTGACAGTTCTACTGAATAAATAAATGGGTAGTTAAACTAAGAACAATAAGAACAAACTAAAGCTGTGAAAGAGTTTTGAAAAGTATTTTCGTAATTAATATAGAAATTATTTAGTTCTCAAGAGCCTTTTCAAGTGTCATATCCCTATCGTTTGGAGGTTGTCGATAGGAAAGGGGAAACAATCAACTATGTACATTACAAAACTCAATGAAGGTGAGTCAACGGATTACTGGAATTTTAAATTTTCTTTTTGTTTTTTTTTTTCTGGGGGGTACTTTTAAAGTTATATATTTTTTTGGTTTTTGGGAGCGGGGTCTACACACACATAAAAAATGGGTGAAAACAAATTGGATTTTCTTGCTGATTAACGCATATAGCAGCGGAAATTTACCTGAAGTTTTCAGAGAGAGTTATACAATATATATAAGTATACATTATATACATGAGTTATAGAGAAAGACACGAGATGTGTGTACATAAATAGAAGGTGAAATTAAAATTGAAGAGATTTGAGATAATGTTTTCTTGAAGAATTTCGGATCGTTTGTGTGTGTGGGTGTGTGTGTAAGAGTGTGTGGGTGTGCGCAAGAAAAGGAAGAGCACATAAAAAGACAGAGATGGCCAATCAGCAGAGAGACAGAGACAGAGCTTTGTGTTTTTTGGGGCGATTTAGCGATATAGCGAGCTTTGATAGCGATTTAGCGATAGCTTTTCTGATCCGAGTGCGCAGCCCAGCAGCCAATTAAATGGGCGTGGTCGGTTCTGGGCGTGGTTCTTGGTAGTAGCTGTTCTGGTTGATCTGATCGTCTGCTTGTTGTTAATCGCTTGAGATTCGTTTTCAGGTTTTCGGTTTACTGGTACTGCTGCTGCTTTCGGATAGCAAAGTGTCCAAAAAAGCCGCGAGCCCGTACTTACCCTTAAAATCCCAAATATCCTCGGACTCGATTCGCTAATCAGGGACATTAACAAATCAATTATGGAAATGGTAACCAAAGATCCGTCCATGATATTCCAGCCGGACGTAAAGTAGGCGTCGTGGCCGTAAAACATTCCCGTGGCCACCACCTGTTGATATAATTAATAAAATTATAATATATAGGTTATTTTGTTCAAATACCTCTACTCACCTTGATAAACATTTCGACGGTAAAGACGACGGTGAACACGTAATTGGCTGTTGCCAGGAACAATCTTTCGGTGCTGCTTGGAGGGATGTTTGGTCTTTCCATGGCCAGGGTGATGCAGTTGAGCGCGATGAACAGCAGGACGACGTTGTCGAACCACTTTTGGTTGACAAACCACGTACAGATTTGCCGGAACCTGAAAAACGGAGGGTGTCGAAATGCAAATACGTGAAATGTGCAGCTCGCAGACAAAGTTGAAATTGAATTTTACCCTCAGCAAAAAAAAAACAGAAACAGTGTGAACAGAGGAAAACAGAAAGCAAAATCGCAGTGTCAAAGTCAATAGACTGGCAAAATAATTGCCTCAGTTTAAAAGGTTGTTCATTAGCTGAGTTAGATTAGAAGATGCAATGGCACAGACTGACCAATGAGCTAAAAAATATTTTTGGCGCCCCCGGAGGGACCAAGAGCACTAGCAACGTTGCCATACTTGAAAATAGTAAATATCTAAGTCAATAGACTGGCAACCTAATTTTCTCAGTTTCAAAGGTTGTTCATAAGCTAAGAAATATTAGAAGATGCCATGGCAAAAAATATTTTTGGCGCCCGCGGAGGGACCATACGCACTAGCAGCGTTGCCACACTTTAAAATATTATGTTTATAAATCACCACATACCTGTTGTCCTCTGGGAATATGTAGAGCGAGTAGTCCTCGCGCTCGGTGGTAAAGTGCTTGGGCGTCAGCTGCTCGATGAGCATCTTGAGCTTCGAGTAGCGCTCGCCACCACCTGGCACCATGGAATGTGGCTGCATCGCCAGCTGCTGCTGGTCCTTGGACAGGCGGTGCTGCTGCAGCTGCTGCTGGTTGGTCGAGGAGAAGGAGTCCTGCCGTTGCTGAAGCAGCTGCTGCTGATGAAGCTGCTGCAGCTGCTGCAGCTCCTTCTCCTCGAGCCGCTTCTTCAGGTTGTAGTGGCTGATGGAGTTCTTGCGCTTGTCCCGCGCCTCCATGTACTGCTGCAGCATGTTATCCGGCTCGTTCAGATTGCCGTACGACTTGTTCCACTTGTCCAGGTCCATCTTTGAGTTCGTGTACGATAGCGACTTGCGGTTCGCCTCCAGGTTGTGCAGATTCAGATGCGAGGTCTTGCTGAAGGCCAGCTCGATGGAGCTCATTCGGCGCTGTCCCGATCCTGGTCTCAGTTTCGGCGGTTGGTTTAGATTCTGGTACACCTGCGAGTTGAAAATGCAGGCCGAGGCACGACGACTGCCCACGGGGGGTCCACTGCCTATGCTCAGTGTGTTCGAAAGCCGCCTAATCGAGTTCTGCGGGCTCAGGCGATTCGTTTCTTTGGCGCCCGCGGGTGGACCACTGCCACTGGCAGCGTTGCCACTTCGCAGCAAAAAGCTGTTGTCGCCGCCGCCGCCATTGTTCAGCTGCTGCTGCTGCTGCTCGTCCTCTTCCTCCTGCTGCTGGGTCCTTCGAGCCGCATTATCCTCGTTGCCCAGAGCCAAAGCGGAGGATCGCCGCCTCTTGGAGCTGCCGCGCCTCAATCGGTGCTTGAAACTCCCCTGATGCTGTGGCGGCGGGGCCAACGGCAGCCTCTCACTGGACGAACTGCCACTGGTCGAGGCCCCCGTGTTTCCAGTACTCCTGCCCACAATTCCCGGGACCATCATATCGGCAGTGCCCACGCTCACATCATTGAGACTATGACTCTGGCTCTGCGCCTCCGCCGAGGACGAGATGGTGGGCACATAAATGGGCGTAGCCGCCGCCGTCGAGCTGGAGCTCTTCGAGATGTCGTCGATGATCACGCTGTGCATGCTGGCCGAACTGCCAGCGGTGCTGGTCACGCCCACACCCACGCCCACGCCCAGCTGGCTGGCATTCAGGATGTTCAGGGGCTTGTGGGAGAGCACCGGCGAGGGCGGGATGAGATCGATGGAGGGTATGCCCTCGTCCAGACTCCGCTGACCGCCGGTAAATATGTTCGGCGGCCGCAAAAGTGACGGCGACGGCGGACTGGGTGGCTGGGGGTTTAAATATTTTATACCGCTGCATCGTTTACGGCAAATGGTGGCCAGCAGAAGCAGCATGACGTTTTTCTGCTTTACAGCGTACGTGTGCATTGCTGGCAGCGCAGCGGTAGAGCAACTGCCTCTGCTGGCCACCACTGGCACTCTGTTCACTCACCTCCATGTCGCCCCACTGGCGGAAACTCATGCCCGGCTCCAGAGTGGTGCTAGGCGAGTCCTGCGGCGTGGCCGCCGTGGTCGTGATGATGGGCGGATCCCGGACGAGCCGGATCTTCGAGAGGCGCGACTCCCGCGATTCCCGCTCACCGCCGCGCCGCTCCTTGATCGAGTATGTCTGTGTGCGAGTCGGGTGGATGCAGGTGGTGTGGTGGTCAGAGTGGTCAAGTGTGGTTAACCTTACCTTTTTGAGGCCGCCGCGCGGCTTGGCATGCTGCTGCTGCAGCTGCTGCTGCAGCTGCTGCTGCTGCCCCTCCTCCTTGCTGCCGCCGCCGCCGCCCGGCTCTCGATCTCGAGGAGAAGGTGCCTCGCCGGAGGTGCCAGAGGCCGAGGGAGCGGCAGAGGAGGCGGAGGCAGGGGGCAGCTCGTTGATCTGGTAGTCGTGGGTCGGCTGCAGCAGGCGCTGCCGGTGCATGTTGCTCTTGGCCTCGATGATCAGCTCCGCGGAGTCCTGCAGCTGCGGGGGGATTTTTCAACACACGTGGATATTCAAGACAAGGCACTCAAACTCAAGCTAACCCATACATTCGCATGCAGCATGCAGCTATCAGACACTCTCTTTTTTTTTTTTGTTCAATCACACCTGGTCTTTTTTGTGAGATGGAGGGATCCCGATCCTGATCCTGAGCTCACTTACCTTGCGCACATCCTCCGCCGATCGCCAGCGGTTGCGCACCTCGTAGTAACTATCGTTGGTCGTCGAGGAGTCCGCCTCGCTCCGCGACTCATCGTACATACCATCGCTGTAGTTCTCGGCCAAAGTCTCCTCGCGCAGTTTCTTAACCAACTCGCGCTGTTCGCGCTCGCGACGTTCATTTCGCTGAGGGAATCAAAATTTCAAAATTAGACTTTCTCGTCAACCGGATGGATTTCGGTTCGGTTCGGTTCGGGGATTTTCGGGTGGCATTCGGATGGGTTGGCGCTCCCTCGCTGGTACTTCCGCTCATCCGCATCCGTTTGGAAAAAGAAGAGAGGGGGAAATGATGGGATTGGGGTCGCGACGCACCCGAAGCTTCATATTATGATCGGGGATTCACCAAAAAAAGCTAGTCTTTTATTTAAGAAATCATGTTTTTAAAAAATTAAGTTTCTTATTCATTAATTTCACTGTGCTACAACTAATAAACAATTTTGTTTAAATTTAAGAACCTTCTTCACAGAATTTTTGATCAATTCAAGATCAAATTTAACCAGGATTTAATGAGGATTTAGTAATATTTTAATCAAATTAAAAAAATAGTATTTTGTTTACATTTCTTTTCAATAACTGTGAATGTCCAAAAGCTTTAAACTAATATTGCTAACAAAATATCAACTGATTTTTATTAAGAAATCGCATATTAAATTATATATAGAAGATCAAAATTTGAAGCCTCGCATGCGTTTATTTAGAAGTCATATATTTTATATAGCAAATCGCAAAGATCCAAAGATCGCTATATTTTTCGGGACAGGGGAATGTTGTTGGCAAAACTCTACCTCTGAACTGAATCCCTCAACCAAAATGGCCACCAATAAATTAAATAGCACATAATTGCCGAACGTCATTAGTGCCACAAAGTACAATGCGGCCCAATGACTTGTCTTTTCCATTCCGTTGAACAGCACGACGTTCCAATCCTCTTGGGTGAGTATCTAAAAACATTTGTTGGTTTTCGTTTCGTTTCGTTTTTTTTTTTGGTGAGTTGTTGATTAGAGTTGTTGTTGTTGTTGAGTTGTAGTTGTAGTTGATCGGTGGCAGTTGCAGTGGCGGGGGCGGCAAACGTGGTGCAGATTTAACATACATACGCATGGATATATATATGCATGTCGGGACACACATATCGGAATATATATCGTAAGAAGCGAAAGAAAAAGAACGAAATACCAATAAACAAATTTTGTAATTTTCTCTTTGTGGTGGGTGGCAAAGAACGTAAGTGAGTAAGTAAGTAAGGAAGTAATTAGTGACGAAATACGAATGGAAAAGGTCAGACAAAAGACAGACAGATATAGAAAGCGAGATCAAAACGGCAAACTTTGTTTTTTTTTATATATAGGTTCATATGAGTACATTTTGTATATACTTATGTGAACCTACTAGCAGTTTGTTCATTTTGGTTTTTGGTAACTCAGGCACAAACATCAAAAAAAGCGTACAACTTAAAAGTATTATCACTTTTAGTGGTCAAGAAAAATAAATGAAATATGCAATCAAGGGGAAAAAAGGTTTAAGATAACTGAAAGTACGGATAACCATTTATCCAGAGTGTTTCCAGATTAGTCTTTTAACTTAACTCAAAATATCCAGAAACACTCGGATATAGGTAAAGCCTGAGAAGGTGAGATAGTTGGAAGAGAGTTATAGATGGGGTCTTGAGGGAGATCAAGCAGTGGCGGTGGCTTGACTCAAAATATCTGTGGGCAGCCCGTTAAGAAGCTGCTCAAGGTGATTCCTTTCTTAAACAATAATTCGTGGTGTGGCATTTTGAACGAACCAAAAGCAAAACTAAGTCGAAATCGAAATAAAGATTAAACCATAATTAAAGCACGCTATAAGCAAAGCCAAAAGCAAATAATTTAAGAGAAGCGGCAAAGGCTCGGCTCTCGGACTAAATCAAAGAGCAAAGAAGCGCAGAGAACTCTTGCATATAGAAATTTGTAAAAAGTTTAAATTTTTCACAGAGCATTTCGCCCATTCTGTTTTTGCTTTGTACACAAAGTGCCAATGGGTTTTTATTCTATTTGATTTTTTGTTTGTTTTTGCTATACAATACGAATGCGGTTTATATGGTAGGCGAATTAATTTGATTTTGGTTTTGTTGTTGTTTCTAAACTCTGGTGGCTGTACATTTGTATTGCGCATAAGCAACTTTAAAAATATATAGATGTATTAAGAACGCTTTTTATACAGCTTGCTTGGCAACAAATTGTTAAATGGATCGATCGACTAGGTGAAAGAAAGAGATATAGGCAAAGGCAAAGATCGAGAGGCAAAGAAAGCAGCAGCAGCAAATTGAGAAATAAAAACTTTCGTTTCGGTTTAAACAAGCCAACGAACCAACAAACAAACAAACAAACCAACGAACAAACAAAAAATTTTAAACAAATATATACAGTTTGTATGAGTGTGGCTGTAGATGGTAGATTCATTGGGTTCTGGGAGGTCGCAATCGCAATCGAAGGTTGATATTCGGGTCTGGCATACAATTATAAAGCCGAAAGCCAAAAGCCGAGGGCAAATTAAGGTGAGGATCCCAAAAATCATGCAACAAAACTCGGAGCATCAGCGTTAACGGTTTTTGCTTGGATTATGTCGTATGTGTGTGTGAGCGAGAGAGGGGAAAAAGAGAGACGGAGAGAGAGAGAAGAGGGAAAGAGAGAGAAAAAGATTGATGTGAAATAACCGATGGTTGGTCCGTTCCCTGGACCTTCGGTTATTTGGTACAGTTGCGCAAATCTGCGTATTAGAGATGTCAACGCTGTCGATAACTTTGTCGATAAGTATCGATTTATAATTTATATTCTTAATTTTGAATCTTGTAATAACTTTGTAGAATTTCAATGACATAGCATTTAATATTTTATTAAAAATATCATTTTTCTGAAATATTAATAATCCTCTTGGGAATCGAATCCAACTGAATAATCCTTGACATCTCTACAAAAACTGCTTTTAGTGACAGAATGAAAAAGTTCCAAGGAGGAAGCACATACACACATATTGATCGTGAAGTTTAGTTGATTGTCCTTCCATTCACAATATTTACAGGGACTCATTCGTTTCATTTATATTTTTATTTGAGCCTACCCAATGGACGTGTGTCTATGCGTTAAAGCGTTTGTGGGTGTTTGGGTGTGTGAAGAACTCTACGTCTACATTTGCTGGCATCGGAATTGAAACAAAATAGAAAAGAAGGTCGGAAACAAAGCTGAATAGAAGAGAACTCAAGGAATACAACCAACTGGTGAGTACTTAGATAAGGGCTAGGAGTTGGATAATGTAAATCAAAAATCAAACGAGGCGGTAAAAGAGAGCAGAAACTAGGAACTGGGAACTTTCGTGGCTATACGTAAGATCGTTAAATACTTTGTCATAATCGCAAGAATATCAGACTGGTAATAATAGGTGGGTATTGTTGTAGCTGTTGTTCAAAGTGGGCGATTTTTTTCTGGGGTTGTGGGTGGTACAGCTTTGGATGGTGGCGGGAACATCGGGGCAATCGGGTTGTGGGTAAGTGGGTGGTAGGTAGTTTATTGCTGTATTATTGTTCTTACTTGGAAAACTGTGACTGTGGCCCACAAAATGTTGTTGAAGTGTTTGCGATCGCACTCGCATTGCGGATGCCGGCTGATTATTTCGGGACACGTGCACTCGCGTTCGAGTCCGGATTCGTCCAAAAATTTACAAAACTTACCGCCAAACAGATACATGCCGAGTATGCTGCAGGTTTATATATATGTTTTATATATACCGTATACATATGTATTTATTTATAGAGTCATAGATGTGTGTCTGTTATCATAGTTCATTAATGGCTATATAAACTGGTTCATAGGTATAGAGAGAGAGCTGGGTTCGTATATATATATATATATTTATATATTATATAGTTGCGATTCTTATATGTCTAGGGATAAAAACGAGTAGTAGGTTCATCTAGTGGTCCCTGTACATGTGTATATATGGGTGTTATTCGGGGGTACTTGTGATTCTATAGAGACTAGAAAGATTTCTCTGCTGGCCTGGATTCTTCTGATCTTATCTACCTCGTTTTTGGTGAGTTCTGTCTGTCTATATACACAGTGGTTGGTTGGTTGGTGGGTAGTTCTCGATCTGGCTGCATATTTACATATACCTCCTAGAAATGTGTGCTGTGCTGAAGAAGAGTTTATTTTTTTTTTATTTTACAGTTGGTCTCGGGTCCTTGAAAATCGAAACTTGAACTGACCAGAAAAATTCTACGAATTACAGGAGAATCTTTAGGTGTTTCGCATGTATGTATTATGTATCTATGTGTGGTGGGTCTGATCAACAGGGGGGACTTCGATTTCAGATAGTTACAGTGGGAGATCGGTTGGTTATGCTTGTGTATGTGTGGCTGTGTCTGTGTGCGAGACAGTGGGAGAGACAGAGACAGAGAGAGTTCTCCTTTCAGAGGGTTTTCGGGTGGAGATCTATACAACTTAGAGTCTAGAATAGCATATGGTCTATAGATAGGTATATACTTAAAAGTAGGACATAGAGCAAAGTGTGTGAGACAAAAATCGAAGCATATATATGGTACATAAAGAAGGCACGAGCGAGACAGACAGAGCGAAACAAGAGAGAGACAGACAGAGTGGTGTAAAAATAATGTGTGGGTGTTTTTTCGAGAGGTGTATGCAAAGTGTTCGAGATGCTGGATGCAAACTCATTTCTAATCGGTTATATAAGTACATCATATTCATATTTATATCGCATGCCGGAAGCGCAACAAACTCGAACGGAAATGCTTACCTGGTGCATCAATGTACATCACACAAATACATACATACACATACAAGGATCTTATGAACATATGGCCTATGGACATTCCCATATACATAAGAATACTCCGAACGACATGCGGATGCGCGCTGCTTGCTATGGAACTCGTAACGGTAATCGGTAATGGTAATCGTAACGCCAACGGCAATGGTAACGGTAATTCTAACACTAACTCTAACGGTTAGCTAACGGTAATCGCAACGGTCAACGCATGCATGCCAAATCAAGAATCAAGAATCGTAATCGGTATCGAATAAAATCAAGTCTTTAACTGAATACCACACTCAATCAAGGGCACACCACAAATTAGTGCGAGCGAGCAAGACGGCTAGCTAGCTAGTCGATCTCGATGTCTGGCAATCGAAATGCTGGATAAGAAATGATACAACTCATAAGCTTGCGTGTGCGCGAGTGATTCGATTTTGATTCGATTTTCGATCTCCAAATCACTGGCACCAACTCAAAAAACAGACAGACAGTTACAGAGACACAGAGCGAGAGTGAGAGAGCGATAGAACGTCACAACAGTTATAGATTGAAGCGGAAAACAAACGGTTAATCGAATCGGAATCGAAACAGAAACGAAAATGGGAAAGAAACGGAAACGGAAACACAAATCGTAATCGAAATAGAAATCGAAAGAAAAGTGAAAACGAAAGATAGCTAAATGCTCAACGTATCATAACGTATTTCACTGGGAATTCGTAATGGGTTTCTTGGGGTTTTCTTCTTTTTTTTGTTTCTTTTTCGGTTTCATGAACAGTTAGGTTATCGTAATCATATCAGTAGCAGATTATGTCGTAACATTAGGAGTAGTAATAGTAGTAGTAGTAGTATAGATATATACATATATAGGTTTACGTAAGGTATAAGGCTGATAGCAATGGGTCTACCTGGAACACTGTGACGAGCGCCCAGAGCAGGCTGTCGAAATTCTTACGATCGCAAATCATCTCTCCGTTAACTTTCTCGCAGAATTTACATCCGAACAGATTCATGCCGAGTATACTAAAGTGATGGTTTGGTTTTGTTGATATATAATATGATATATATATATTTTTTGTTGTTTGATTGTTTTTCGTTTTCGATTTTTTTTTTTAATATATATTCTTATATATTTTTGTGTTTTTGGTTTTTTAGGGTATTTTTTTGGGTTGTGTTTAACAAATAGTTTTTAGGTTTATTTTAATTTTCGGTTTTCATTTTATTCGATTATTATTGGATTGTTTTTAGTATATTTTTTTAATTTGTGTGGAGTGTGACAAAGAGAGAAATAGAGAGAGAGAGAGAGACAAAATATATATATAGAGAGAGATAGTTAAGAAAGAAAGAGACAGAGTGTGGGTGAATGAGACAGATAGGCTAGTAGAGAGAGAGAGAGCATGGGAGATATGGCTAGAGCTAGTAAGTGTTCTTGTAAGTGAAGTGAGCGGCAAACGAAAGCTAACAAATAAAAACACTTGGAAGAAGAGAGAAAGTGAGAAAGAGGGCTTTCCAGGCTTTCCGCCTAAGCGACTGAATCGGACCACGGAACGGAATGGAAACGAAACAAAGGTACAGTTCGCTCCAAAGAAACTAAGAAGCTTAAGCCTTGCGATTAATGGGGAAGAATTGGTCCTTGGCTTTGTTTTTTTTTCTTTTTTGGTCTGGTTTTGATTGTCTGTTTTCGGCTTTATTTTAGTTTTCTCTTTCGAGTTTATACGGGGCATTTATCGAGTTGGTTTATCGGTGGTGAGGCAGGCTTCTTTTTCGGGTTCAGCTCCATTTACAGTTCGTTCGGTTCATTATTCGCTTGTTAATATTGAGTTTGTGAGGGTTATAGAGTCTAGTCGGATGTTTCGTGTGGCTGTTGTGTTTTTGCTATTCTAACTACACAAACTCGATTACGTTTACTTTACCAACTAGGCTAGCTAATGTGTGTAATGCTGTTCTTTTTGCTGTTGTCGTTCTGTGTGTGAATACTGAATATTCATAGTTATACGAGTATATCAATTACGAGTAATCATATATAGGTATATATAGAGATAGAAAGAGAGTACGGGTATATATAGGTATGTATCAAACTTCAGCGACTGCAACTACACAATAAGTAAGCGTACGATCTTTTAAGTATTTTCTTACGTTTAATTTTTCCAAATACTTTTTTGTCGAGTGTCTTTTTGAGCGTGAGTGTGCGTGTGCCGTGTGTCTGTGTGAAAAGCGCCGAGCAGCAAAGCTTTGAAGCCCGCATTTTCAAGCCAAGCCGAGAGCTTTTTGTGTGTGTGACAGTGTATATATTTGGAAGTGTTGCAGTGTTGGTTAACGCTAAGAGAAGCTAGGATACACACTTAGTTAATTTGAAATGGAATAAAGCGTTTTTGGCTAACTAACTAAGCTAACTAATTGTTTCTGTGGCTGTTATTGCTGTAGTTGTAGGTGTGTTCAACCAAATGAGCTTCAAATGAGTGGATGTCGTTGAAGGAGAGATAGCGATAGAGTTTGAAAGAAATATTGCGTGAATGTTGTGTGTTGGAAAACAATTTGTGAATGATTTAAGTACAGATTAATGAACATATCCCAAAAAAGTTGATCAAGAAAGGCAACGACTTGGTCGGTGCTTGAAATTGAACTCAAATCGAGAGTGACACGAGCGAAAAAGTGATAGAAACAGAGAAGTTCAGAGATTAGAGGTTAGAGAGAGAGAAAGAGAGACGAAGAAACTTTGTCCGTGTAAGTGAGTTGTGAAAAGGTGTGTGTAAGAGTAATGCAAAGTAAACGAGCTGGGACTCAAAGTGTACGACAACTAACGGCACTTTGGGGGTTGAATAGAGACATAAAGAGGGGTAAGGAGGATCGGGAAAGATATAGCGAGAGAGAGAGAGAGATATATATCAAGTGATACGGGTACAGTTCTTGCTGGTACGGGTACGAGATCGATTGCTTAAAAAGTTACACAACTTGTAACGTCATCTAACTACGATTCTTCCATAATTTTCAAATGTTACTCAGAGACAGTAAGTGAGAAAGATACCAAGAGATAGAGCTTAAGAATATAAGTAGTGTAAAATAGAGAAATCGTTAGGAAACCGCTTGGAGAGACATTAAGGCAAATCTTTACTCATATAGGCAATACTCAAGTGGTACGCAGTGGAAATGATCGTGTCGAAGAAGCACATAAATGAGAGCGGGGACTTGGAGAGGCAGGGGTTCAAGAGATACGTGTAAGTCTTTGTATGATTATGCGGTGGACAAGGGTGGTGAAGGCCTTTGGGATCCTGTAGACTGGGGAAACGATAGATGATGGAGAATATGGATGGAAGAGAAACCTCTATCAAATGGTCGAAGGTTCTGCAGTTATAGGGAATAAACAAAGTTAGAAGTCTAGATTTCAGTACTTGCTTCGATATATTGCATAAGAAGTTGGCTGGAAAGTTGTTTAGATACATTTTACTTCTAAGCTTTAAAGCAACTTTATATTAACGATTATTGAACTTTTCTTCCTGTGCAATAAATGCCTTAGAAAGAAATGGATTTTTTAGAATGATGGATGGCTGGGAGGGGTTTTGCTTGGCTGGCTGGATGGGTTAGTTGTAGGACTTTCATCTATGTGGTAAGCAGCTAGTGAGGCGCTAGGAACTGTTTGGGCTTAAGACGACTGCTATGGGCTAACGAAACTGAACTGTTTCTGTTTCTGTGGCTCGGGTTCTTTGTGTTAATCACTCATTTTCTTTACATTCATATTTTGTTTGCAGGGTCGCGTTCGATAACTTATCGATTGTATATTATATTGAATTTTCTTTCTTTTTCATCATTACTTTTGTTATCTCCGCATTCTTCTTCTGTGTGTGTGTGTGTATGTGGTTGTGTTGGTTTTGGTGTCTTTCTTTTTTTTTTCTCTTGTGCATGTGAGTCTGTCTGTGTGTGTGTTAGTGTAGTTGTTGGTGTGTAGTGTGCCCGTGTGTGTTTGTGAGTGGTGGTCGTGGTGGTGGACTATCGGCAATCGAACTCACCTGAAGATGAAGATGAACAAGACGAGCAGGGAGAAAAATACGGCCACATTGTCCATTGTGCGCAGCATCACGAACAGCTGGCGTCGCAGGTTGGGCATAAAGCGGACCAGCTTGAGGATTCGGAGCAGCCGGAAGGTCCGCAGGACGGACAAACCAGAGCCACCGCCCCCCGTTCCGTTGCCCATGAACGTCTGACAGATCTCAATGGCACTAATATCGGGGAGGATTATCTTAGACTCTTGTCGGGGATATTTTTTCCCTTGGGGCTCTGGTTCAGCCCTTCACTCACCTGAGAATCACAATGATGCCATCGAAGACATTGAACCCATTGGCAATATAGCGGAATGGTCCTTCGGCCACAACCTTTAGCAGCATCTCAACGGCAAAGATCCCAGAGAAGACCACATTGCTCGTTTCCACAATGGCAGTCAGTTCCGGCGGCTGGTTGTGGTACTCGATGCCCATGGACAGGGTGTTGATCAGGATGGCCAGCAGGATGCCCTGCTGGAAGTACTTGTGCTCCACCAATCGCCTAATGTAGCGACGCACCCAGCTGCAGCCACGCGACATGCAGCGATATACCGCAATTAGACATCGAGTCGTCGGCGATCTCTGCCTGGGTCTTTCGTCCAGCGGAGACAGGGCGTTCTGGTAGAGATCATAGCAGCAGGCATAGTCCTCCATATAGTTGCCAGTTGGAGTGCGAGGCTCTCGCACTCGCGAGTTGCCCTGTCTTCGATAGTTTCGACTGTGACTGGTGGTGTTGTTATTGTTGTGATGGTGGTGCGCCTGCTGGTGGTGAGACGGCTGGTGGTGCGACTGCTCCTTGCGGCGGTGGTGGTTCCCCGCCTGAGTGTCTGTAGGTCCCACCACAGCCGATACGGTCGAGGGTTCGAGCGTCTGGGATGCGGGATCACCGGCCGTTGAGGCCACCATTGCAGTGCCTCCTTCGGCGCCCGGCGGCGTTGAATTTGGCCCAGTTGGTGGCACCGCACGCGGCTTGTGGTGCGCCCGCAAGGCCTCGGCGGTGTGAGGATCGCAGCGGGCCAGCGATGTGTAGAAGGACTCTAGCGTACTCTGGCCGGTCGGCAAGGCCGCTGAAAAGGCCACAGAGAATGCTAAGAGCTCTTGACAAGTCATCGCATCGTGTATACCCAGTTCAGAGCAATCGGCATAGGGATTGGCAATGGTGCCGATGTTCTGCGGTAGATTCACCTGTTGAATGGAGAGGTCAAATCATTTTTAGGATGGAGAAATGAATAAAAACCTATACTAAACGAAAAATGTGCTGACATGGCGCCCGAACAGAGAAAGTCCCTGCAAATTACCAATTTACAAAAAAAATGAAAGAATGGCATACCTTTCTGAACTCGGTATTAAATTTCCTAACGATTGGCATTTAAACCTTGACATTTTATTTATTTTTAATTTTTCGCAAAAAATCATGGGGTACCCCCTTATAAAAAAATTAAAAATTGGCAAAAATTTGATTTTTCCAAAATCGCACGGAAAATTTTATGGATTTATAGCAAATTTTGTTATCTGTTCAAAACAGTATGTATTTTTGGTGTAGGACCATTTTTGGCCAAGTTACAGCAAAAAAACCAAAAGAAAAAATTCAAATTTTTGTCAAAAACTGAAATCTCGAATTTTCAAAAAAAAAGCAAAACCGGTTTTTTCGCTAAAACAAAGCAAATACTGATTTTAAGTATGGATTGTCATACCTTTCTGAACTCGTTATTAAATTTCCTAACGATTGGCATTTAAACCTTGACATTTTATGTATTTTTAATTTTTCGCAAAAAATCATGGGGTACCCCCTTATAAAAAAATTAAAAATTGGCAAAAATTTGATTTTTCCTAAATCGCACGGAAAATTTTATGGATTTATAGCAAATTTTGTTATCTGTTCAAAACAGTATGTATTTTTGGTGTAGGACCATTTTTGGCCAAGTTACAGCAAAAAAACCAAAAGAAAAAATTTCAATTTTTGTCAAAAACTGAAATTCCCAATTTCCAACAGAAAAAAACAAAACCGGTTTTTTCGCTAAAACAAAGCAAATACTGATTTTAAGTATGGATTGTCATACCTTTCTGAACTCGTTATTAAATTTCCTAACGATTGGCATTTAAACCTTGACGTTTTATTTATTTTTAATTTTTCGCAAAAAATCATGGGGTACCCCCTTATAAAAAAATTAAAAATTGGCGAAAATTTGATTTTTCCAAAATCACACGGAAAGTTTTATGGATTTATAGCAAATTTTGTTATCTGTTCAAAACAGTATGTATTTTTGGTGTAGGACCATTTTTGGCCAAGTTACAGCAAAAAAACCAAAAGAAAAAATTTCAATTTTTGTCAAAAACTGAAATTCCGAATTTCCAACAGAAAAAAACAAAACCGGTTTTTTCGCTAAAACAATGCAAATACTGATTTTAAATATGGATTGTCATACCTTTCTGAACTCGTTATTAAATTTCCTAACGATTGGCATTTAAACCTTGACGTTTTATTTATTTTTAATTTTTCGCAAAAAATCATGGGGTACCCCCTTATAAAAAAATTAAAAATTGGCGAAAATTTTATTTTTCCAAAATTGCACGGAAAATTTTATGGATTTATAGCAAATTTTATTATCTGTTCAAAACAGTATGTATTTTTGGTGTAGGACCATTTTTGGCCAACACTCAGCAAAAAAACCAAAAGAAAATATTTTAATTTTTGTCAAAAACTGAAATCCCGAATTTTCAAAAAAAAAACAAAACCGGTTTTTTCGCTAAAACAAAGCAAATACTGATTCAAAGTATGGATTGTCATACCTTTCTGAACTCGTTATTAAATTGCCAATCGATTTGCATTTACACCCCACAGACATTTTATCTTTTGGCAATTTTTACATTACAATATCACTCAACTCACCTGCCAGATGCTTCCATCGCCGGCCTGGGTCATCTTCTCCGTGGAGAAGATGTTGCTCTTCTCGTTCGTTCCGCCGGCGTTTGCTGCACTTGCACCGCCACTGGTGGCACCACCGTTTTGGTGGTTATTCAGGCCGGAACTGCTGTTGCCACCGGCTGCTGCAGCAGCTGCTGCCACCGTTCCTGCCACAGTGGCCACCGTGGTGGCGACCGTCGAGGTGGTGCCCGTCGCCGCAGGATCTGCGTTGAGGGCGGGGGGCGTGTGCAGCAGGACGTACTCGTTGAACATCACCGAAGGTCGTCGGCTGGCCGAGGTGGGCGGACTGAGGAAGCCCGAGGTGCACGGGTGGCTCTGCGGGTGTGTTTTACAAGGTAAACGGTATTACAGTCGGCTTACAATAGAATCGCGGACTTGGGGAAATGAAATGGAAGATAACGCTCAACTGGGTCTAGAAAACTAACTACTAGCAAGCTACGGTAACGAAGCTATATTAGGATGGACAAGGATCTTCTCCTTAAATTAAATATGTACCTTCCGTTTTTGTAAATTTTTCAATTCTTAAGGGTTTTAATTACCAATACACACTACACACAATACACACTTTATTCTTTAACCATTTTCTACGACCCCAACTAACATTTATTATGGCTTTAATGGCAGACATATGGACATATATATATAAATAGAAAAAAGGGTCGGGTGGTTATTGTCTCTGCTTTCAAACGGCATTTACATGCGCAAACAAACCGAAATGATATAAATAATTAATGGGCATTTCGGCGGGACAATGGGGCTGGAACAAAGGGCAGCAAATTTATCAATGGGACAATCAATTCGCTATGTGCTTATAAACACAAAGGCAAACAGAAACTATTCCAACTGCACTTAATATGCAAACATATCGTTTATATCTACAATTTGTAAGTGTTTTTTCCTTATCCATTTTCCGTTTTTATGTGAATTTCATATTTTGTGTATTTGAATGCCCTCCCCTTCTTTTTTTCCTCTCTGTATTCAGGTAGGTTATTCAGACTTCGGTTTCACCGAATAGCTGCACAGCGCTCTTTCATAAATTATGCTGGCATTCATACATATTATTTTACTTATTTAGTGTTTAGTATTTAGTACCTTGCCCAAATTTCCCAACTGCAGCTATGAGATTTAGCGAGGTTTATAACAGATACGAGAGATTATTATTAATATTATTATTATGTTATTCGTTTGTGACTGCTGTCTGTTTTTGTTAGCTGGCTATTTTTCTTTTTTTGTTTTGGCAATTTGGAAATATATATACATTTATATGCTGTTTCTGTTACTGTTGTTCGTTTCGAATCTGAATTTGGGTGGTCTATTTTTGTGGACTGGTCTGGGATCGCTGTAAAAGCAGCAATACTCACAATTAGCTGCTCGGAATCGATCATCTGCTGCGGGAACTTGAGCAATATGGTCTTCTGCTCGGCGGCACTGCCCTCGGGTTTCAGTGACTTTTTCAGCGAGGAACTTCGGGGAATTCCCTCGGCGTTCAGCGATTGCTCTGTGTTGTCGGAGGATGAGTGTTGCTGCTGCTGTTGCTGTTGCTGCTGCTGCTGTTGCAGCAACTGATGTTGCTGGTGGTGGGCCGAGGACATGGTCACACTGGCGGCACTACCGTTTATCCCATTGACCAGTGCGACTGTGGTGCAACTTGCAGCATTGCCACCACCACCACCACCACCACTGCCATTGTGGTTGCTGCTAGTGCTGTTGTTGTTGTTATTGTTATTGCCAGCTGCCGAATTTAGCGGCACCATGACGGTAATCATCTGATCCTGAATGCTGGACGGCTTGCGATTACTGTACTTGGGGCACTTGGGATGATGGCACTTGATCCGCGACGGCGAGAAGGTCAGATTGTCGGCATTGGGCAGTAGGCCCTCCTTGCGCTGCTGTCGCTGGTACCTGTGGGTGGTTTTCGGTGGTGCAGAGTGGGTGGCAGAGTGGGTGGAATAACAATTCGATTAGCGACAAGTTCAACTGACAGTTCGCGGGGTTCACACACTCATGTCTGTACACAAAACATCGTGTTCTCTGTTTTTGGGGTCGATCGGGGGGGTCAGGTTTCCCACACGTGCATCGTCTAAAGGGGGTGGTTGGGTGGTTTGGGTGGCTTAGGGGGGTTTCATTTGTACGTGCGCTCTCATTAGTGTCAGTGCCATGTCGTGTGTGTGTGTGTGTGCTTAGCCATTAGACAGACAACAATCGCAATTACATAATTCAATCAAATGAACTAAGGACAACGACAGTACAAAAATGCAAATGATCCAAATTAACACGAGTCCCATCTGCGGATTCAGTGCCATTCGCTTAACTCGGTATTCAGTATTCTGTATGCTGTACTCTGTTATAAATGTGGCATCACAGTGTGGCAGCAACATAGTGTAAGGCACATAAAAGGATGGGTTTTGTTGCTGAGTAGAGATGGGATTAGCTTGGAGCTTAAGTTTACTCTTAAAGAAGTCAAGGGTCAGTCAGCTTTAATAATGCAATTTAAAATGTTTTCGCTGAAATCGAAAATAAGTTGAAGTTTCATAACTTAGGAGCTCTTGATCAAAGAGTTATTTTTCTTTAGGGGAAACCACCACTATTCATACAAGTGTTGGATGCGTTGTTTAGTATATTTGAACTCGTCTAGCTTGAAACTTCTAGCTATACACATTCATGCCCTGGCGACTAAACTCGACTAATGCTAATCAATATCTGCTATAAGCGAAATACTCGAACAGATGCTAAACCAAAAAGAAAGGAAGTTTAATAAAAATAAATAACTTCAAGACATCTTAAACAAATGGGTTTTAAATTAAAAATCCAAATGGAAATGAAGCTTGAACACCAAATAGTCAGAAACAAAATAAACAGAAGAATAAGAATTTAAAATGAATAATCTTCGATTAAAAGAGGCACCCAAAAATAACCAAGTAATTTTTGGAATTTTTAAGGAAATCACAGGTGATTGGGTCGAAGTCCATGTTCGCTGCTCGAGTTTCCCTGTCAGGTCGGGAGATTAGTGAGCTAATTAGTCGCTTTAAGGGGTTAGTAATCAATCAAGTTTCAAGTGACTAAAGCCTAAAGCTTTCTAAGGCCTCTCTTTTTGCTTCGAGGGGGTCGGGTCTTTTAATAAAATCAGAGAGAGACAGTGAGAGATTCAGAGAGAGAGACTGGGAAAGGGAACGGAAACCGGAAACTAAAATCAACAAACGAAAGACATAATTGAATGAAATTAAAAGGTACAAGCAGCATACTTATATAATCTGTACTTCTTTAACATTCGTCTCTTGAAGCGTCGCCACAGATGGGCGATATATTTGACGATCTCCGCATAGCAGGTGGCCGGCTCCGAATTATTTGTGCTGCTGGCCAAGGTCGAGGTGGAGGTGTACCTGGCCCTCTCCTGACGCATCCGCTCCATTTCGCGTTTCTTGGTCTCCGAGAACTGCGTTGCGATGACGACCAGGCACAGGTTGATCATGAAAAACGAACCGATCTGTAATTGTAAAGGCAGACCTTAGTAATTAAATTCATGGATTCATTGGAAAACCTCAGCCTGAAAAATGCAATGAAAGGTTAGCCGAAAAGAAAAAGATGGGTTCGCGCCAGCAGGTGGCGCTCTGTAGTCGCTGGTACAAACTTTTCGCATTTCCGTTTAAAAGTTTTCAGTTTCATTGCTGCCAGCGACAAATGCAAACTGAAAGTTTTCCCCTGCCTTTGTTTATACTCCCACTCCCACACACACACACAGCAAACAGCTCCTTTGGGAGGACCTTTTCAGCCAGCCACTTAAATTCAATTAGCTGGGGGATCGCCAGACGCCACCTGGCGGTCATCGGGGGGATTACAAGGCGCCCAGGATGCTGATCTCAAAACTTGAAACCGCAAAACTTCAGAGTCCGCTGACTGTCTGCCTGAATTCGCTGAAGCTGGCTTATGGATTATTGAAAAACTTGGCAAAATAAGTTTCAAACTATTGCTTTAAGCTAACCTAATCGGAAAATACGTAGGTTTTAACTTGTCGCGAGAGTTCAAAGACAGAAGCTTGAGATACCAATTTTCTACTTTAATTTTCTCGAATTTAAATGCTTTGCAGTGCATCCTTCCGAAGCTCATGAACAAGTTAACTTATAAGTAGTAATTCTTCCGCCGAGAGACCAAAATCGAAATGTTGCTAAACTTTAAATTGAAAACATATTTCAAAAACAAGGAGAGCGCTTCGAATTCGAAACTCGTGAGCTTGGCAGAAAATGCATAAAACATAAATAAGCAATTTCCCTCCATGGCAAATGGAGGAGTGAGTTTTGGGTGGCAACTGAAAACTATTTGCATACCAAAAGTTGTTGGCAACAAGAGCAAAATCATTTTGCACACGAAATGAACAGCGACAAAGACAGAGATGGGGAAAGAGTGAGAGAGACGGAGACAGAGAGAAAGGTTGAGTAAACTTCAAACATAAATAATGAAATTTCGCCATGTGTGTCTGCATCTGTGTCTGTAGCTGTGTGCGTCCACTTGTGCGAGTGTCTGTGAGCCATAAAGGCTTTTAATTAGTCCAAGGACACCTGAGCACAAATCCTGCCATGCAAATGACGGCACAACAGACTGGAGTCCACTCGAAGATGGCACTGGTGCAAGTGGACAGTCGCTGGGTGGGAAAATGTGAATGTGAAAGTGGCAAATGGAAATGGAAAATGGAAAAGGGAGAGGGGAAGGGGAAGGGAAACAACATGTTGCCAGCTTCATGAAATTCATAGCATTTTTCCTAGACAAACTTTGCCGCTTTGTTTGGTCGCCCACCTGAGCACCGAACCTGCTGCGCGTGTGTGGTCATAGTTTAAAAGTAATTTACTTATTTGCATTGCCAAATTGCCCTAGCTGTAACTTTGGCTCAATTAGTTCGAGGCCCTTTAAGCCGTCTCCTCTCCCACATTAAATATTCAATTCGTGATCAAAGCGAGTGGCCGCCAGACACCATGACCCCTGACCCGCTAACCCACTGAACCCCGAAAAAAAAGAGCAACACTCACCACAATCAGCAGCACAAAGTATATCCAATCCCAAAAGCTGTGCGCATCCTGCACGTAATACATTATGTCCGTCCAGCCCTCCAGCGAGATGACCTGCAAATCCAACATATATTTCACCGTAATTAGCGTGCGCTCTCTGCACAAAAATATAAATGTACGAATATATGGGGGGGGAAAAAGAAAACGAGGTATAAAGTCGAGGCAGATGGCTGGTGTTTTATTGTTCACGCCCCGCCATTGTTGGGTTGTGGGCAGAGCAATTAGGATAGCCCTTTGGACACGGACCACGTCACGTATGCGTAATGTGAGGCTTTCAGCGCTGAAACGCGAACAATTCAGCACTGGCTGATCTTAAATCCTATTAAAAAGTGCTTTACTAACTCCTGGTAACTGTGCATTATTATTATTATTGTGTGCGGTAAGTGTTATAAATTAAAATCATCATTTGACACTGGCGCCCGAACAGGGACCTTGCCATTCCTTAGATTTGTGCTAGTTATTTTGAATAGACAATTGGCTTATTCTGAGTACTGCATTTTTAAGGTTAATAAAATGTATGAAAAACAGTATAAATAAAGTACATTTTGAGAGATCTTTGTTTGCCACTGGCGCCCGAGCAGAGACTTTATTTAGACATGCTGAAATAAATTAAACTTTTATCACGCTTATAGATAAACTATCGCTTACTAGCTTATTTGGAATTTATTACTAACAAAACCAATTGCATTTAAGGCCCCTTCAAATGTATCAAAATTCCATCCAGATTTAACTCCCCAGGGCCATTAAATATATACGCTCCCCTCTTCAAAAGCATCGCGAATAGCCACCGCTATTGGTTTCATGGCTTAATGTGCACTTGATTTGGGCTTAATTACATCATTTGACCTGCATATCAATAGATTCGCTTGCGGTGTTCGCCATGTAATTGGCATATCAATTAAGGCCTCCCTGCCCCGGAGGACGAGAGCACTTTAAGCGGAGTTAGGGGGAGCATTCATCGGTTCAGTTTTGGCATCAGTTTCGGTTTCGGTATCAGCATCCCTATCACTATCACTATCACCCTATCCCCATTCGAAACGGAACGGGATGATGCAAATTGCTGGCGTTTGTTTTGTTGGTTTAGGGAAAGCAGAGAGCTGGGAGTTTTACTCGCGGCAGAAGTTGACACCGAATTAGCATACAGTATTTTGTTGTTTCTATCGCTGCTCCTCGCCTGTTGCTATTTGTTGAACAAAGTTGAACACTAATTGGCTACACAAAGAAAAAAAATTAAATACTTTGCCTCTGTTAGAATTGTAACCTAATTATTCTGAGATTTAAACAAGAGATGATGCCAAAGTTTATGATTTCTTTTTAGTTTCCCGTTTTCTAATAGCTCGTTTAATCTTCTAATTCTAATTTTCCAGTGCATCGACGCTACTCACCAGGAATATGGCCACCCAGGCCATGCCGATGTTGTCGAACGAAATCGTGCCCTGAAAGGGATTCTCGCCGCTCTGCTTGCAGGTGGTATAGTACTGGTTCCAATTGACGCAGGACGTGTTCGTCGGCTCGTTGAAGTCGAACAGCTTCGCCTCCTCTGCGGATTGCGGAATGGGACGGAAAGTGTATTGTTTGTAATTGTGATTGCTTCGGTGGCTCTGGCTGTCATTAAGCGACAGCGAGAGGGCAATTAAAAATGCCATCAAATTTGATTACAGCGCAATTTGCACTTCATTTAGCTTTAAAGTTAATGTAATTGACGTTGACTGGAAAAGGGGATGAGGATAGGGATAAAAACTTACCATTACAGACCAGCGAACCGACGCGATAGGGCGGAAAGTTGCCACAGAGATGCATCCCCGAATCGTTGGGCGTGGAGCAGATGTAGTCCTGATCCTTGGAGAACTCGTAGTACTGCGACAGGCTAGGGGTGCGATGTGTACAGAGAATTAGGAGAGTCATGGGATGCGATTGTCAGTTTAGATCGGAAGAACATCCAGCACACAAAGAAACAAAGTGTACGAAAGAGAAGTTCACACCAGAGAGAGAGAGAAAAAGAGAGAGATCGAGACATATATATATAGAGAGAGAGAGAGAGAGAGAAGGAAGAAGTGAGAGTGAGAGATAAAGAGAGAGCACAAAGAGAACAATTAATAATCGTAATCCGTAATCGTAGTTCCATATAAGTAATCTGTATGTTCAATGCGTATCGTAAACATTTACATCGAGATTTACGTAGAGAGATATGTCGAAATAAAGCAAGTAAATAATTTCGATAAGTCAATTTTGGGTGGTGCCGAGTTTCGTGGTTGATCCGCGAGAACATTCAACTAATTAGAGTGAGATAGACAATGCCAATTCGAGTATACGTGAGGCGAAAAAAAAGAGCTAAATAGAACTTAACAGAGTGAGACACGGTTGACCAATGCAAGAGAGACAGATAGATAGAATGTGAGCGTGAGAGCGAGAAAGACGGCGATAGCGATAGCGAGTAACAGGAGCGATTAGCTAAAGCGAGTTGAAAGAGCGAGTAGCGTTTTAAAAGAGCGAGAAGCGAGTTGTAGAGTCCCATACACAGAGAGATCTAGCTAGCCAGTTAAGCAAGATAGCGAGAAGCAGTGAGTCATAGTATAAGCTGGTCACACTGAGCATAAGTACAGAAGGACACAACTGTACCGGAAGTGAGTGTGCGAGTGAGACATAAGCGAGCCACAAAGCGCCAACTGAAAAGCAAGAAGCACAAAAGCAAAGCGGGGAAGAAAGAGGGGAGGGGAAAAGCAAAAAGGAAGAGGACTACACACTCGTAAAAAAGGAAATGAAAACGCCAATGCAATTTAAATTAAACGCGCAATGTTGCCACAAAATGGCCGACGCGCCGGAAACTCGCGACTTCAAAAAATGTCTGCCTCAACCAAGTGTCAACCGTAGAGCGTGTGTGTGTGTGTGAGTGTGAGTGTCAGTGTGTTGCAGAGTGTTGTCGTGTGCGTGTGACAATAAAATGTGTTTAATATGCACGTGCAAGCACGGCAATGACATTTGGGGACGAGGGGCGAGCGACGAGCGGCATCGCAAGTGAATTTTGAAATATTCCCAGCTCGCTTTCTCTCTTCTTTTATTTTTTTACCCCCCATTTCGCAACAATTCGCACGCTCCAACGTATGCAAAACTTTATGGAGTTGTTCAAGTATATATGTATGTGTATTTGTGTGCGTTTGTGAATAGGAGAGAGCGAGAGGGGTCGAATGAAGCAGGGGCAGCTTTAAATACCTTTGCAATAGAAACTGATGATTTTTCCTGTAAAAAGAGTTCAGCTTACAAGAGATACACATACATAGGCGCACACGTGTGTGCGTGTGTGTAGGTGCGGGGAGTGTGCTGCTGTGTGAGTGTGTGTTCCGCTCTACTTTACTAAATATTGCACTGCACTGAACTGTGAACTGTGTGTGTGTTTGTGTTCTTTTGGAGTGTGTGTTTGCGGACCCCAAAATGTTGTTTAACTTGGTGAACAAACAAACGAGAATTAAAAAAATACTAGAGAAATATAGAGAATGCCGACTATCAGATACCCATCACTAGTATTTATATAAGCCTTGTTTTATCCTTAATATCCTATTCCATCTTAAGTGTGTGTTTGCGGACCCCAAAATGTTGTTTAACTTGGTGAACAAACAAACGATAATTAAAAAATACTAGAGAAATATAGAGAATGCCGACTATCAGATACCTAGTATTGCAATAATATTTATTTAAGTATTTATTTAGTATTTATATTGGATATTTAAGACCACCCGCACCCAACGAACCGAAATTAAATAGGATCGTATATTCCTTTGGCTGGGAATTCGAAGTGAATTAAAGGGGAAGCGGTACATGTTTCTGGCTTGTACATGTACATATAACGTGTGTTGTTGCTAATTGGTATGCTTGTTATTTCGCTTGTTTGTTCGCTTTTGTTGCCTCCTTTTTCCAGGGGCTTCCCCTAAACATGTCATATACATATTTGTGTGTAGAGCCTCAAACAATGATGAAAACAAAGGCAGAAAATTGCAAAACGAAACCAAAAATTTGGCAAATGCAACACAAACAAAACGTTTGAGCGGCCGAAAGGGGGCGACACTTTCTGACCCCGATTCTATATATATACATATTTTAACACATATATAGGTCTGTGTGTGGTTTAGTTAGCAGTTGAGATCAGGTTCAAGTGGTGCCACATCAACAACTCTAGACACAAAAAAGAAACGTACATCAAGTCTAGGCTAAAAATATACTTGTACAGCAAACGAGAGTAGGGGTTAAACTAGGTGGCAAATAAAATGTGGCCTCAGACGGGTTAACTAGGGGCTTTTGCTTTTGGTACAGTTGTGTAGGCAGGGCAATAGAGTGAGTATATAGAGTGTTTGTCGGGTGGACGGGGGAGAAAGAAAAGGATGCTGAGTGGTTGTCTAGTTTAGTTTAGTTAAGTTTAGTTGAACTGATATTTAGTATAGCTTGGTATTTCGTATATAGTATATATATGTATATATATTCATATATCTTCAAATATTACTTAGACAAAGAGAAAGAGACAGAGAGACAGTTAGCTGGTTAGACGTTAGAGCTAAAACAAAACGTATTTCTTATTATCGTATGGCCAAGTATAATTACTAATTCGAGTATATAGATATGCACATCTACTAATAGGTTGTGTGGCGACTATCGAACGTGTGTGTGGGAAGGTGATGGCTAAATAGAGCACTGTGTGTGTGTGTGATAGAGAGGGAAATAGGGCATTTGGACTTTGTAGTATTTATTCCATTGTCTGCCCATTTTAAGTGCCATGACCACTGCGTTTTACTTTTTTCTGAATAATATTTGTCAAGAAAGTATACGGGAGTGCCACAGAAATCTCTGGAAACTAGAAGAGTTTAAGCATTGGTCCTTCGGAATTTATTAACTCACAAAATATTTTGTAGCATACTTTTAGGCAGATTTTAAAGAGATTTCTGTGCCACCACCGAAAGAAACTGGATCGAGTGGTCATCGCACTGTAAACAATTAAGGATAGAACACATTTAGATACCGAGCGTTAGCTAAAGAGAGAGGGCCACTAATCAGAAAGGCAATGGATTTGGGAAAGAAAGGATTAAGAAATAGGGACTAAGGACTAAGGACTTAGCAGGCTAGCGGTAGCGCGAAGACAGAGAAAGTTAGAGGAAGGTGGAGAGTTACATTGATATCAGTATTTATAGACAGAATCTAGTTGTTGACTAGCTAGTAGACGGCTATTAGAATCTGTTTTTTGTGTCCACTTGGCGGTGGAGGGCGGGGGAGGTCTTCTGTTGGTGTAATAGTGTGTGTGTTCTTTTGGTGTGTTCGTGTGGGAGTGTGTCGGTGTGTGGGTTAAGTTAGGGGGGAAATAAATCATTTTATCTTACGAGTTAACACGGACTCGAACTCTGTACACTTCAGGTATCCTGTAAACAAAAAATTTGTTCCCGGTATGATTTTTGTTTTTGTTTCATATCATCTGCTTTTGTTGGTATTGGAAATTTATTTTTGTTTTGTTTGCTTCTAAGGAGAAGAAAAAAACGTAAAACTCGAAAACATAAAGAGATAGGTGGATGTCAGATTTTGGAATTTGGATTTTGGATTTGCTTGGCTGCCAATTTGGATATAAAATTTGTTCTCTTGTTCTGTTTTGGTTTCATTTTTTTTTATATTTTTTTTTTGTCTCTAAAAACTAAATACAAATCGAAGAAACGAAAAACTGGAAAAGAACATATATGCATATATATATCTATACTCTGTTTGCCATTCTCACAGGCTTGTCTGTGGTTGCGAGTGTGAGTGTGAGGGTGTGGGTGTGTGTTGTGTGGGTGTGGATGTATATACAGCATGATTTCAAGGGCTCACAAAATCACAGAAACGTTGATTGTATGGTACAATTGGAATTGACCTGCCTGTGCGAGTTAAGTTGGTTAAAAAAAAAAGAAAACCAAACTAAAATAACTTCAACTCAAAAAGGAGCTGCAGAATAAAAAAGCTTTCATCAAAAAGTCTGCCTCACTTTCGAATTTATTTTCCCAGATTTTTCACTTGCCAGACCAAATCAAAAATATTTAAATGCTGCCAGTTGCACATAATTATGTGGTATAATTATGCAAAAGCAAAAGTCAGTCGCAAAAATAAATTCATTTTGCGAACAGTTTATATATGAACGTACGTGTGTAAAAACAAATTGTTTGTACAGCTGGGCATGCAAAGGCAAACAACAAACAATAAACAGGGAAACCGAGGAAAACAAAGCCACCGAAAAAAAGGGAAGTTTCTTGAGCGGAGCGCGCAGCGACCCAAAAATTCCGTTGCCTACTTTAAAGGTCTGCGCTGTCTATGTGTGGGTGAGTCCTTCATGTCTGCGTGTCTGTATGTGTGAGTGTGAGTGAGGGTGAGAGAGCACGCGTGTCCTTTTTGTTCTGCGTGTGACGTTATAAAGCCGCGGTGGCACAAACACAGACGCAAACACAATGCCAATGATAAATGATTGTTTTTGCCAAGTTTAAAATCTTTTGTCAGCTGCCAACGAGGCGAGCACAGTGGCACCAAAGCACCGAAAAAATGACTTTAAATTAAATTCAGGCCTATCTGTTATAAGTAAGTGAGTAATAGGGAGTATATGGCTTGAAGTCAGAACACAAAGAAAACTTTTTGGATAGTAGAAGGCGGTGGGTGAGGTCTTTCTGCCCCCCAATATCATGTTAATAGTTCACCCTTCGCTTTTCTTTAATTACAGGAAAATCTGGCAGGTATTTCACAGCTGAACCCCACTGTGTGCGGTCTCCTTTCAGCTGTCACGACCACAAGAAGGCTATTTTTCGCCCTTTTTCGTTTTTTGGCATCTGAAGGATGCGAAGGACCAACGGACTTCATCAAATAGACGGTCCCTGGGATTTCGTATGCAAATTGCTGGGACACTGATGCACCAACTGCTTTTTTAGATGAGGACGTTTATGGCGTTGTTTGTGTGGTGCGAGGGATGAGCTGTGTATGTACATATGCGCCTGTGTCTTGTCACTAAGGCTAAGGCTAAACAAAAAACCAAAAGCTAAGCCATGGAACCAAAAAAGCCAAAAGCGGGAGGATTGAGAAAGCAGCAGCCAAGGCAGTTTAGTTGGTGGAAGACTCGGCTCAAAGTCTGGGCTCGATTTGGATGACGCGGAAAGAAAGGAAACCGAGAAAATCAGAAAATCACAAAAAAAAAAACACAAAACCAAAACACTCAAAGCCGAGAAATAAACAAAATCAATTACGATACGAGTATATATATATTTAGATATATGTACAGCATACATATGCGTATGCCCAGGAATATATGTATGGTATGTACGATTATGTATGAGACCCGGAGGCGCCGGCAGACAGAGGCCTATAGTTCCCATACCACCTGGTCATACTTTGTTCTTTCTTTCTTTATTTTTTTCTTTTTTTTCGAGAACCGGCTACTTTCTTTGACTTTCTACTTACGTGAGGGGATAGACCATGCCTTCGGTTTGCATCAGACTGCAGCGTTGCCGCAGAATTCCCTCCCACAGCTGGACACCGATGATCCCGAAGATGAAGAACACGAAGAAGCAGAGCAGCAGGACGTTGCCCAGCATGGGCAGGGTGTCCAGCAGGAGCATCACCAGAATTCGCATGCCTAAGGGATGGAGTTACTAGCTGGCACTACCATAGTTAAACCGAAGTTTCTACTTACTGGGTATTCGATTGATGGCTCGCAGGGGACGCAGCACACGAATCGTCCGGATGGCAGTCAGATTCAGGTTCTCCACATGCATCACGTACTCCAGGAGGCCCGCGAGGACGATGAAGAAGTCCAGGCGATTCCACGAGTCCGCCAGGTAGGTGTTCTTGCCGCACATGCCCATGGCCACCATCTTGATAGTCATCTCCAGGGCAAAGAAGGCGAAGATTATGTCGTCGAAGATCTGAAAAGGATGACATTTTGGGGTTAATAGGTGAGTGGGGTAACCGGAAAAAACCCAGTGGTATCTTAGGGGTAGAGTCTTTTTGAAAATGTCCTCGAGTGGGGTAGTCAGAAAAACGAAGTGGTTTCTCAGGGGTAGAGTCTTTTTTGAAATTCTATTCGTGCTGACGTTACCTATCTTTTTACCTGTGGTTCCTGCACCCCAAATCCCATTCGATTAATGCCCTAAACCTAACGAACTAACGACAGTTGATCAAATTAAAATTAGCAAACCCTCTTTATGGCGAGGACACACATCAGGCGTCGCACACACATGCACATCGAAATGAGTTTGCCTTGGCGACATCGTCATCATCATCATCATCGTCATCCACGTCGTCGTCATCTTTTTCTTGTGCCCCGTGCAACGTCTTGTGTCAAGTAATTTGGGTTCTTTGGGGGGGATATGTGTATATATGGTCGGGATGTTGGGGGCTGAAACAGGGGCGCTGGTAACGCCCACTTATGTCACTGACTGCGACTGCGGCTGTCGTTGTCATTTTGACTTTGTGCTGTGTGCCAATTTGGCGATGCCTTCTCTTGTCTTGTCTTGTCCGTCCTGCTTCCTCATCCACATCCACCACCATCGAAACTCCTGCTTGTCCTTGCCAGAATCTTGGTCTTGGTCCCCCGCTTCCTTTTTCTCTTTCCAGGGGTCCTGGCCCCGGCTGTCGTGTTACTTTACACTTGGCTGCGGCCGAAAATGTAGCCCGACTTACATATCATTTACAAACATTTTCGCACGTTGAGCCCGGCATTTTCTCTATGCCCTGTAATTGCCCCACTGAACACTCCACTTCCCAAGACCGCAAAAATACAAGAAAAAAAAAACAGTCTGCGGTGGTGGCGCCTAATGAGCCGAAGTGCCTCGTTGGGTGTCATCAGTGTGGCAGCCAGGAAGTGAGCCAAAAAATTGCTTAAATAAATGGCATTTAATGTGACACCGATGCTGACAGGCCCACCTGGGGAGCCGGGATATCCAGCGAAGAAGGGAGACCCAGCAATGCCACTCCTGTCCACACTTTTCACATCATTTTTTCTATCAAATTAACCTTAAGCCCCCGGGATGGATCCATAATTATGTCAATTATAAATGTTCCACAGATAACTGTAATGCGTTGAAGCCGAATGGCCTTAAGTGCCGTTTTCTGGAAAATATCTGATATTATAAACCTCGAATGGGTCTAGGTAATGCAAGAAACATGCCTTTGGGTTGGTTTAAGAACTGCACAGTTTTTTTCTTAGTATTTAAATCCTAGTGTATGACAATTCATATTTGGATAAATATTTCTAATGTATCGGTCAAAAAACGAAACAAAAACAAAAAAGCGAAAAACCTGTTTTTTTTTTGAAAATTTAAGATTTTGGTCTTTGACAAAAATATGAGTTTTTTCTTTTGGATTTTTCGTTGTAACTTGGCCAAAAATGTTCCTACACCAAAAAGACATACTGTTTTGAACAGATAACAAAATTTGCAATAAATCCATAAAACTTTCCGTGTGATTTTGGAAAAATAAAATTTTCGCCAATTTTTAATTTTTTTATAAGGGGGTACCCCAAGATTTTTTGCGAAAAATTAAAAATAAATAAAATGTCAAGGTTTAAATGCCAATCGTTAGGAAATTTAATAACGAGTTCAGAAAGGTATGACAATCCATACTTTGAATCAGTATTTGCTTTGTTTTAGGGAAAAAACCGGTTTTGTTTTTTTTTTTGGAAATTCGGGATTTCAGTTTTTGACAAAAATTGAAATTTTTTCTTTTGGTTTTTTTGCTGTAACTTGGCCAAAAATGGTCCTACACCAAAAATACATACTGTTTTGAACAGATAGCAAAATAATAAATAAATTTATAATACTTTCCTTGTGATTTTGAGAAAATAAAATTTTTTCAAATTTTCAATTTTTTTGTAAGGGGGTACATCATGATTTTTTGCGAAAAATTAAAAATATATAAAATGTCAAGGTTTAAATGCCAATCGTTAGGAAATTTAATAACGAGTTCAGAAAGGTATGACAATCCATATTTGAATCAATACTTCCATTGTTTCGGTCAAAAAACGAAATATTTTTTTGAAAAATTGGGATTTGGGTGTTTGGTAAAATACGCATGACTCACCTGAAGGATCTTGCACCGGTTCGTCACACAGGCGTCGTCCACGCAGGGCTGATACATTCCGAGGGTGATGCAGTTGAGCAGGATGACCAGGATGGAGACGCGCTCGAACCACGTGGAGGTCACCGAAATGGAGTCGAGTCCATAGCTAAGTTAAGGGGCAAAACCAAAGACGAAAAGGCGAACAAGGACGAGGCCAAGGGGGTGGGATATGCTATATGGTATATGGTATAGCATAGTCGTTGCCTACATTTCTGCGCTGATTGAAGGCGAAACAAGTCGAGCGAAAGAGGCGGCAAGGGTGGTGGATAACAACTTGCAGTTGCCTCTAATGCGCACTCAAGTGCTTGTCAACTTGGCTGCCAACCACCCACATTCACCGCCCACCGCCTGCCGCCCCCGCTCACCTCCTGCGGTTGTCGTTTGTCGGTCTCGTTTGGTATGCTCTCGGTTTTGGTTTCTGGGGTTTCGGGCTGTTTCTGGTGGCCCCATGGCTTGTGGATTCCCGCTTCTTGGTTCTTGGTTCTCAGTGCTCCGTGCTCCCTGCTCTTCAGCCAAACAAATGCAGCAAATTGATGACAGTTGGCAGGCAGCTCATAACACTCGATCTAAATGCGTTTGGCCAAGCAAGAGCAGCAAGGACATGCAGGACCTCAGCTGAATGCAACATTGTAAAATGCTAGTTTTATACATGTTTGCTCTGTGTGCTTAAGGTTTATCACTCATACGCAGTGTGGGCCAATCAAGAAGAGTTCTTAAAGTTTCTGGTTAAATTTGAGGGAAAACAAAGACCTAAGAAAAGGTATTTTTAATTTGATTAAAGACCTAAAGCCATAACTTTTGAGTACAAATGTCTAGAAATCACATGCGCACTCTGCTGAATGTAAAAATTCCTCAAAAACTACTAACTGATTTTTATTTTTCCCCCCTATAACCAAACCCGTGAAACCAGCGTCCTTTTTGCCACTTGTCGCCTAAAAGCCTCGCAGCTGCACTTTGGTTTTTGGGCCTCAGGCGGAGAAACAGAAACAGCAAAAAAAAAAGAAAGAGAAAAAAAGGAAAGGAAAAACTGGAACTGAAACTGAGGAACACAAACACTCGCACAAGGCCAAGTTGGTAAGTTGGCGAAGGGGGAATTTCGAGCCGGCTTAATGCATGGCCAAATGAGCGCCAAGGACTCATTCTTTCGACGGAGCAATTAAGGATCGAGAACACACGCGCAAAATGGCAAAAATGTTTACGCTATTAACGCACAATTAAAGATAAAACGTGGCCAAAAAAAAAAAGGAAAAATGAAACACACAACCCAACAAAATATCCCTGGGTGGAAAAGCTGCCACAAAAAGGGCAATTCATTAGGAGGCGAAAGGAGATTGGAGCATATGCAGGCCGAGGGTCAGATGGTCGGTTTTCGTTTTGGTTTTGGATTCCGATTCAGATTCAGTTGGATCCGCGGGGCCGTGTCATAAAAACAAATGTGAACAGGCCAACAGGCGGCACAAAAGGCCGCCGTCCAAAAGGGGCGGGGCGGGGCGGACGGAGGCGGGGCCACGCCCACTCTCCGCCTGGATAAATACTGCAGCAGCACAAATATGCGACAGCAGTAGCAGGCAGAAAACATCGACCCTGGCGCATTCATTTCATTCAGTTCGGAGGAAAAAGAGCCAGGGATGTCACAGAATTCATGACGATATCAAAATATTATTTCCAAGTTAAGCTCATTTTTTCATGAGATATCCGGAAAAATGAACATAGATTTTTAAAAATTCTATTGATTTACTAAATAGTTGTAGTTTGAAAGAATTCATGACGATATTGAATTACTAAACCGTTCTATAAGAAATTGGGATTTAAAAGAATTCATGAAGAGGTACAAATATTCTTATAAATATTCTATTGAATAACCAAATCGTTTTATAAGAAATGGGTATTGTAAAGATCTCTTGACGATATTATTTCAAAGTTAGTTTGGTGAAATGTACATATTTCCTAAAGTTCTTTAAATATTTTATTAAATTACCAATAATTTAATATAGATATGCTTGTACTTTATATAGCTTACCCTTCATATAAGCATTTCAAAACAAACCCATAAATCGTTTCGATATTTTCATCCCTAGTCAGGTGTGCGTGGGCGGTGAAATGGGTGGTAAGGTCGGGACCCCCGGTATGCGCGCATTAATTTTGATTTGGCAACAGCGATGGCCCCCAAACCAACAGTAAACAAATTAAGTCGAGCGTAAAGTCGGCCAGCGGCTGGGGGGCGTGGCACAGGGACTGGGGATTGGGGACGCATGCAAGCGTGCAGAAATCGCAACAAATTAAAAGAGCCACAAACAAAAGCGAGTGCCCCGAAAGCAAAAGCCGAATAAGATGACTGAACATGCCAAAAAGGGGGGGTTTGGGGGTCTGGAGAATGCTGAATGGCGAATAACGTATAACGAGAATGAGGCAAACCAAACATGAAAAACAAACATTTAAAAAAGAAAATGCCAAAAAGTGGAAGTGAAAAACTTGAGATAAATTGGCTTCGACAAGGAACCAGTTTTCCTCAATGAAAGCCGATCAATTTAATTGCTTCTATGACATCAGAGGGCCATTGAGGGAATCGAATACTCAACTGTAGAAGGGATATGTAAAACGAAACCCTTTCAAGTGGATATATCGCGAATACCCCACAAAAGTGGCTTATTTTGACCAGATTCCCGCGTGCATGGTCACACTAAGGCCAGGAAACACAGAAGGGTCACATTGCCAACGCTGCGATTATTTGATTGCCTCGTTTTTGAAGCATTAGCCCGCGGCGGAAATTAACAATTCCCACAGAGGAACACAGGGCGACCTGTTGTCCGTCCATCAAAGGCGCGAGGAGCATTTGTGTAATGAATACAATGCACGTACTCAGTGGCGGTCAGCGGTCAGCAGCGGGGCTAATGGGCATTGGCCAGAAGGGATCCACACTCTTAGCTCTCTGTCATAATTAGTTATGGGCGTGGCAGCGGTTTCACATTATCCAAGGAGCGCCTCCAACAGCCCCGCACTCCATGCTAATGAAGCCTGCGTGTCCGAATGGTCGTGTGTGGTAGCAGTATGGTGTGGTGTGGTCCTAATGGCGACCGCACAAGGATGCAGCCCAGCTGGTAACCTCCTGACCCCTCTTGTGCCGCATATGTAGCACGTGCCGCGCACATTTCACGCTAAAAGCGCCGTAAAATGAAGGAGACAACTTTGCTGGTAGCTAGCTGCCCGAAAATGCATCGTCTCATATATGTGAGGGATGTGGTAAAAGTGGTAAAAGTAGCATCGCTAATTTGGGTTTAAAAGTTGCAAAGACGACCGGAGGCCAATGTCATTTTACAGAGAAAAATATTTTCACTTGGTATTAAAAATAGTGTGACCATGCCAGCTGCCTTCTGTTCAAAATGTGATAGAGTTACCATGCTATCCCAAATGCGTCTACAATTAGGTTATTTTGTTAACAAGTGAGTTAAGTTTGAAAATAAGTTTCCAAGTAAAGTGATTAATTTTCTCTACGTGCCATTTGATTACACTCTTCGGGGTTGTTCCACCGAATGTCCTCGTTTGGGGCAAAGGAGCGTATGGCATCCGTTATTGATACGCAAGGCCAGCTGGCGACGCTGCGGCGGCTTTAACTTTTTGGCAAATGGCATCGCTGACCTCAGCTGCAGCCGAAGGCACGTCTGGGTCACCAAAGACACGGGCGAGACGAGCGTCGCCAGCGGAAGAGGAAACGGAAGTGGAAGTGGATATAGATGTGGAAGTTGAACTTAAATTAGTTTAGCCAAAGCAGTTTGATTGCTTCGCAAATCGAATCGAAATGCAAGCTGGGCGAAGTTGCACCGCAACTCAGCCACAAAATCACTTTGGCTCACAGCTCAGCTCACAACAATTGGCGCTGGGGGAGGCGGCAGCCACATCGTAAACTTTGACAATAAAATCCATAAAATGTCAGCAAGATATAGAAAACAATACAGAGGGTTTGGGCTGAAGCAGCCACGACATTTGAAAAGCGCGAACAATGGGGCAAATCAAAATTTATGGCCAACAATTAAGTGGCAAGTATCGAGAGAGCGATTACGTACTTGTGGCTGCCTTCGTCGCAAGAAAAGGGGGCGCTTTGTTGAAAGATGTGGCATATCAAGTGGCTAAATCGCAGCCATCAACGCGGCTTTTTTGGGCTAAAAATAAAAGCACTCCACGGAGAACCCAAACTCAATTATCATAATTTACTCAGCATAAATAAATATCAACGTCAGTCAATTTTAATTTCGCTCCAAGTGAAATGTGAAGTATGCAAAGCGATTTTTCATGCACATGTGCCACTTGAAGAAGTGGCTGGAGCTGGAGAAGAAATGCCAGTGGCACCGGGAGATAAACAACATCGAATCGCCTGGGTTGTCATCTTCCTCCTCCGCCTTATAACACATCCCATATCCAACATCCCACTTCCCTCTGATTGGCGCACATTATCCCCCCAGCAAAATGGATGGGGATGCGGCAAGTATGAAAACAAGTCGGCAGCGGAAGGATCCGGCCACTGGGACGACTGGCAGGACATACATGTATCCACTGGTTCCGTCTCTCAATGATGATGCCCATTCAGATATTTATTATTTATGCCCAGCGAACTGGCACACACACACGCATTACCTTTTGCAACTGCTGACATTGTGGCATACATTTTGCAACAGGCAGGGCAAAAAAAAAATGGAAATACATCGAACACGGAGAATACTTTCCAGGACTCGAAAAAAAGTCTATTAAGGAAAAAACTAGAATATAGGATTTATAATATACGATTTTCCAATATTCTGCAACGTCCTAATAAAATAAACCCTAATAAAATAAAAAGTGAAGGGAAATGTGGTATTCAGAAAGTATTAATTCGAATTCCCAATCCTTTAGCCACTTTAAACCGATCGAGGATACCAAACGATCAGATCGTAATGTAAACTTGTTAAAAATTCGCATATTCTCCATCCTTCAGAGACATTCAGACACCATTCAAAAAAAAGGCAAAGGAAAAACAACAAAAAGTAAAGATAAAATCGAGAGGACACCAAAAAAAAAAGGAGAGAATAATCAATAGGCTCACAACGCACATCCTCATCCTGTGAAATGTGTGACAAGGACATTCAGGCAGACACACACTCACACACACATACAGACACCCAGGGGTAAATTGCCAGCGAAGGACAATGGCAATTAGGGCATCCGCCCATCTCTTTTTTGTTTTTTTTTTTCGTTTGTGTTTGTGCAAAGGATATGGATTGGTGATGAGCATCAGGCACCAGTTGCGTGGCCGCGTGTACTGGGTGAGGGCCTTCATGGAGATCTCGGGGAAGCCGGGATACGGCAGATTCGGTTCGCCGGAGGAGCTGGACGACGAGGAGGAGGAGGTGTGCGAGGAGCCATCGTCGTCGGAGCTGCAGCTCCCGTTGCAACTGGAGGCGGTCGAGGAGCTGACCGCTCCGCCCCTCGATCTTCTAGCTCGTTCTCCTCCTCGATCTCCCCCTGCTGCTGCTGCCGCTGCGTCGCTCAGCGAGGAGGCTCCACTGTGCCGACGTCCTGTCCGCCGACGTGGCGCCTGCCGATCCTGGCGATCCTGGCGATCCTTGTAGCGACGCCTGCTGCTGCCACCATCGCCTCCCGATCCCGAGGCATTCGATGTCTGCCGATGATGCGATGACCTCTCCGCCGGACTCGTAGATGACTTCACCTGGGCACTGGAGGAACTGGCCTTGCGCAACCGCTGGCTACCCCGCCGATGGCCACTCGCACCGGAAACGGAAACGTTGCTGCCGCCATCGACGATCACCGTCATGGGCGGCTCTTCGTTGGAATGCATTTGACTTAATCTGTTGCTGTTGCTGTTGCTGCTGCTGATGTTGCTGTTGATGTTGATGTTGCTATTGCCAATGTTGCTGTTGCTGTTGCAGCCTTCTGTTGCTGCTGCCACGCGACGTCGCTGGCCATTCCTAGCTGCTGCTGCTGCTGCTGTTGCCAATGTTGCCGCTGTTCCAGATGCTGCAGATGCTGCTGATGTTGCTGATTGATTTGCTGCCCCTGGCTGTGGCAGCATTTTCTGGGGGGGCCAACTGAGCGAACTTTGGTCATTCCATCTTCTTGCCGATTGCTGCAAATGGAAGAGAGAAAATTAATATTTATTATAAAATTATAAAATTAAATGATTTGTCTATAAAAAGAAAAACTCTGTAGCGAAACCTTGTAATTGGGTATTTTGTCATAGTTTTAAGAAACATTTTCAGCTAGATAATAATACTTTTCTATATCAAGACTGATGTTTTATCTTCTTTCAATATATAAAAGTATATTTTCCACTTTTATTAATTGCCAAAAAAATCTTAATTAATTTTATTCTTTGATTCATAAAGACATTTCATCTTTATTTTCTCTTTTTGCCTAACTATTTTTCCCATCTCTTACGAAATAAGAACTTATTTGTTTTGGCTTTATTAATGAGCTCATTTGAACTCAATTTTGGAGCCGACAATTTTCTTCTTGTGTACGTGCAAAGTTGCGGGAATTGATTTTTAATGCGATACTTGGCGTCAGCAGGGGGCGGCACACCCACCCTTAAACCACCAACCACTCAGCACCTCGCCCCCCGCTCGCCCACAAAATGAAGCCAAAAAACATAATTTATACGCACGTGCGTTGCTTTTTCTAAAACTTGGCATATATATACATATATATAAGGGTATGTGTGTATTTGTGGAGTACGTAAAAATAATGAGAAACACATTCTGTGCGTATAGACAAGAAACGAGAAACGTAGCATACTTTTTGGGGGAGACCCTTGTGCGTAGGTGTGCGTTCAATCATTAATTACGGCTCGTGCGTGTGTGTGTGTGAGAGCCCCTAACATATTAACGTGCCAAAAAGTGCTTCGTTGTGGTTTCCCCCAAACACACACACACACACATACACACGCACAATTCTTGCAATTGTGTGAAAATTGGCTCATTGATAGGCTGCCAAAGAAAGGCCACAAAGGACGAGACGTCCTTTTTGAAAAGCTATTGAGATATTTGTGCGGATCTATCGAATCGATTGAGCAAACAGCACACTGGATTTCGGTTTTTGGGCAATAATAACCCACTAGTTTATCAAACAATTCATCAAAAACCGCAGATAAACTGGAAACAAACATGACATTTTAAGTAAACGCATTTGATAAATGGCTTTTTGCGGGTTTATCAATTAATTGCTTGGGTGTTTAATGAGATACGAAGGAAATGTGGGAGGTTTTAATAGATTTATTTACTTGTTATTCCTATTTAGTTACTAAAGTAATTTCATAAATTTATTTTGAATAGATTTATTTATTTAGTAAAATTCACAAAAAAAAGAATATCCAAAAAATCCCCTTTTTTAATCTTTAGATCACATCAATCTTGAGTTGTTCAGTTGGACTATCTATAGTTTTTTTTCAGGACACATGTTCCGCTTTTGTTGCTATTGTTATTTGTAGGTGGACCTTAGGACTAGAAATCAAAATATTTAATCGTTCTCTGGCGCCATTTGTTTATCAGCCGGAAACGGAAGTCAGCGCCAAGACAAACAATAGCAAACACACTCACACACACACGCATAGAGGGGCACGTGACAATACAAAAGTTAGCATATTATTTGGAAAATGTTGAGCAGGCTTAAGCAGACATGGTAGATATAATATGTACATATAGACAAGGACAACTATTGTGGGGAAGGCGAATTGTAAGCGCCTTGTACAAAAACACATGGCACCCATGTAAACTCATGTCTGTGTGTGTGTGGGTTGTGCTTGTGTGTGTGTTTGTGCTCTACACAGATATACATAATTAAACACAAACAGCGCGGGAAAGGAAACTTTGGTGTTGATATTAGTCAAAGGGAGAGTAAAAATACAAACAAACCGAAAGTCGCTGTGTGTGTGTGTCGCCGAATAACGGGATCAATGTGACATTCGAACATGCCAGATATTAACGCGATAACAATTTGAAATGGGTCAACACAGAACGCAACATGAGTTTATGTTGTAAGTGGACCCGAAATTGTGGACACATATACATATATCGCCCATAAACGGTTTCAATGGATTTTCCAATGGCTATTGAAAGGTATTTAAAAACGGAGAAAAAGAAATTCTAGTAGCCGTTTGTCAAATAAAATAGGCATACAATTATTTAATCAATTGCATTTATTTAAAATAAATTTAAAGAAATATAGAAAAAATATAACAAATTGAAACATAAAAATAAATATAAAATATTTAAAGAAATATAAAAAATTAAGAAATAGTTTTAAGAAAAATATGTTAAAATTCCACGGTGCCTTGTAAGTTCTCACACTTTTCGACCAGCTAAAAAACTATTTGCCCCTAGTTGTGTGTGCGCTATTTTTGGCCCCTTTCGCTGGCGGGTTAATGTAAACAACAGCCAGGACAACTCACTCTTCGGTCTGTCGGTGGCATGAAAATATGCAAATAAATTGTCGCTTATGTGGCAAGATATTTGCACAGTTCTCCGTGCCCCGCATATTTGTTTCTTTTGCGGCTGTCGGAGAATCTGCGGATATATAATTCACTTTTAAATGCAAAATCAAGCCGCTGTCATTGATAGCTGTCTCTGGAGGAGCAGAGTTTCCCTCTGCTGTAAAAAAAAAGAAAGGAAGGAGGGAAAAAAGTCAAGGGAACTCCACGAAATAAGCATACGCAGCGTGGTACACACGTTGTGAAATAAATCAGAGGCAGCGCGCCTCGATGTCGCCCGATGGAATGGAGATCCCTTTTTTTCGCCTCGGCTCATAGGGGTCCTTCCTCGAGCCGAAGATTTATGCTCACCGCCTGCTTTATGAGGCAGCGCCTGTCAGGGAAAGTCGGCGACATTAGCATAAAGCCGAAAACAAAAAAAAAAGTGAGTGGGAACTTTGGGAGGGGAGAACACAACTTAACTTTCGGTTATCAATGCTCGTTTCGATTGCCATTCCATTGGGCAATGGCAATGGTCAAGTAGCAGGGCTTTTCCCGTTTTCCCCCCCTTTTCACTTGATTTTCCCCCGAAATCCTGTCATCTTGGGGCTCTGCTGTATTTAACATTAATATTTATGATTGCTCATCTGTGTATAAATCGATGCTCGGTCTCGCTTTCGCTTTCATTGCTTGCTTATTGCTCTGATTTTATTATTATTTTTATTTGGCTTGACTGGCATAAAAAGCAGTTGAAGGAGAAAACTCATTTTCATGTTCAGCAGCTGCCAGAAACACAGACAAATATATATATATTTTATATACCTGCTTGAGCTCGAGGTTTTTGTGTTTCCATTTGATTTTCCAATTCGAGTGGGCCCACCGATTTCCAGCGCTTTTCTTGCTTTTCAGCTTCATTGAGCGCATTTGTTGCTTTTTCCTTCCCCTTCTTGTATTTTCCTTTTATTTTGAGCTTTACTTTCATTCTTTTCATTCACAGGCACACATTGCTTACTGTCCCTTTTAAATACGCAGACATAAAATTCATATTTTTATGCCTCACTTTTTATTGGCCAATGAATGGCGGCGGCCACTGAGCCGCTGGGAAGATCCAAAATCCAAAATCCAGTTTCCCGCATACAGAATCCAAAGTACTGAATACCGAGTCCTGAGTCCTGAATCCACCTGGCGCAGTCATTTGAGCACAACCGTAAATTTGCCAGTAAAGCAGCCAAAGAATCCCTTCAGCATCCCCTCTATACATATACTATATCCATATCCCTCCCTCCTTTTTGGCAGTTCGATAAATTCCGTACTTTTTTATTTGCAACTTTTACGTAATACGGTTAATGGAATCTGTGCGTGGATGCGTGTGCCTTATTCATTATTCGATAAATATTCAGCTTGTGAGCGAAATGCACGTCTTGAGTTTTTCAAATGGGATCCGAGGGCCAGGCGATTCAATTTGGTAATGGAAGCCATAATCGATGAAATGAAATCGATTTATGACCGAGTCTATCGAGTCTGCCACATCTCTACGTTATCAATCGATTATTGAATAATTATGATTATTACCCAATGTCAAAAACATTTGTTAAATTTATTTGTATCAATTTGATCGACTCTTGACCGAGTCTATCGAGCCTGGCACATCTCTATGACATTAATCGATTATTTCGATAATCCAGTCTTTAATGGAAATGAGTAATTATGATTATTACCCATTGGCAAACATTTTTTAAATTCATTTTTATAGACACTTGCATTTCGCCCGTTTTTATCGATTATAATTTCTCATCGTTTGCTCTCATAAGTATCCCATAAAATACACTCTTCATTTGGTTTATGGTCGTAATTATCGTCCTCGGGCTTTGACTACAATATTTTTCGTTTTAATCACACGAAAAAGAACAAAAAAACAAACGGGTCCTTAAATTCTTAAGCTCATCAGTATCGTTATGCATTTTATATTAAATGGCCTCCCTGGCGCATTAAACAATCAATATCGAAACGCTTTTAATGGAATTGCTGCAATTGAATTCGACTTAATTCGATCATTTTGCCTTGCGTTGCGATGACTTCAGTGGAAATTCGACCCCGAATCGAATTAAATGCTCCTTCTTATTTGATTTTATTGACTTTTAACCGCATTTCCTCAACCTCAACCTGGCTGAAAAATTTCAGTTGCAAATTATTGCGCATACGCCGCGTTGGCCCGCCCTGCATTCAATCAACGTTTTTGGCGTCGCGTCTCGCTTTTAAGTAATGAGAACGTCGATGGCGCCTTCATCTCCGCCTCATTGGCAGCATCTGTTAAATAATACAGAAATGGAAGGGCGGAAAAGGTAAAAGGTAAAACAGCAGCGGGGGAAATGCCAAGGAAATGGAAGCCATCCAAGGCTGCGGCCGTGTCGCATCGATATTGTAAATTACTTTTGCTCCGCCACGGCTGACATTGAGAATTCCTTCGGCAAGCAAAAAAAAAGAGCTAAAAGGTAAAAACAAAGAAGCGCAATCCCTTTGCCAAATCACGGAATTATACTGATTTAATGCTTCGGGGGAATACCAAACTAATCGCCGCCTAGGCGAGCATGCCCAAAAAAAAAATATATAAAAATAAATATGCAGGGCACATAGAGGGAAACTGATACAGATATAAATATGTG